AAACAAAATACATCGACTGTACAGCCATATCAGATTACATTATTAACTTGTATGTTGCAATATGGCATCTACACCGATTGCATGAATATTTCATTACCCTGAACTGATTAGATAAAAAATGACCTTATTAAGCGTGCCCACGAATGGTTTCTATTGGAGCACGTCTTTCGTGGTGTATTTAAAAGACGAGTAACATAGTTGTCATGACAACGTTTAGACAATTCGTGCAAAGAAATAGACAACTCGTCTAAGGAAGAAGACAGGGCAACTAATAGAAGAATTTGAAATTGACAATTAGTAAACGGAAACCGACAAGGGAATGGCGGGCTGGTGTACATTTCATTGTCAGCAGGGTAGGCGCTCATTAGCGACCGTATCTGTCAAATGAAGCCTTTATGTCTTCACTATCTGTTAGATTTGCAGTTAGGTTTTTGTGTTTAAGGAATAGTTGACATTCTTTTGTACAACTGTTCGTGTTGAAGGCGACTTTATGATGTCGAACAGGGTTGGTTGACGTGTAGTGTAGGAGGGTGAACGGTGTTAACAGTTGCATATAGCATGTCAGACAATACCTACAACCATGGTTGTTATCAGGCTTTAGAAAAAGATCGACTGATTTGTATCCTGTGAGTGAGTGAGTGAGTGAGTGAGTATGTTCTTACGCCCATCTTGTGGCAATAATCCAGCAATATCTGGTCACTCAGTGTATCCGATGAAACCCAGGCGACCGCTTTAACGACTAGGCTATCGCAGCGAACATTATAACATAACATTCCAAAACTAGGCTAAGATTTTCATGTTTAGTTATTATTTAGTGTGTCACGTGATCCTATGTACAGCGCACAGGTAAAAATGTTTGATCGTGTGGTTTACTTGGACAGGTGACCACGTTAAGCGTTTGACCGCCAAGCCTTTTAAGAGCTTCATCTTGCTGCTCACTGAATCATATGTAACAAATGTCATATGTTGGATGCAGGTTTCTCCTTTACGACGTTGTTCGAGAATTGTCAATGAATGGGTACCCGGTAGGATGAGATTGGATGTGTCCAACAGGCACATTGTGTTGTGTACTGAGCTGGCAATGAATGGGTACCCGGTAGGATGAGATTAAATGTATTTCACAGGCACATTGGGTTGTGTACTGAGCTGGCAATGAATGGGTACAAGTAGGATGATATTAGATGTGTTTCACGGGCACATCGGTTTGTGTACTGAGCTGGCAATGAATGGGTACCCGGTAGTATGAGATTGAATGTGTCTCACAGGCAGCTTGGGTTTTTGTATTCCCTCTGGAAATGAGAATGCAAAACAAGGGCGGACTGATAATAGTACTTCAACAGAAGTAATGATATAGCACACTGATCATGCTTTTGGGTGCGGATATTGCGCATTATAGGTATATAAATATGACGTCATCGTATTATAGCCTGACTTTAAGTTTGATATATTCTGTCACATGTGCTACGTCTTGGCAGCATGTATCAGTTGTATTTGTGTAAGCTGTTATAAGGAAATTAATATCTTTGTCACATGATCATAAATCCCTGAATAAATATCTCAAGGCCTAATATCCTAATTGTATTCCAACACACCGCGCCAGCTTTCTACCAGACCGGTGCTATATATCCTTTAACGCATGTAACGAACCGTTCTGATAGCCACCTTAAGCCTCGACATTGTACACGTCTACGCCAAAAGCACCTGTTTCAGTGGTGCCTACTTAATCGTGTAATAGCTTCCAGAAACTAGACTCCTTTGTGTCCGAATTCGTCGTTAGAAGACTTGCCAATCAACCGAAAAATCCCCTTTTGAAGGGTCGTCGACATTACAGATTGACCCCCGATTTCTGACATGTCTTGGATTTGCACGCTCGGGGTTTTAATGTGAAGAACTTGTCAAAACATACATGGGGAGATGTTAATTTTGTGCATGACTGAATTCTACATGAGAAACGATAGATGTATTCATATTTGTCTTAGTGGGAATATTCCTTTATAATATACAATAACACCAAGGGAATTGTACGATTGTATGAAGGAATTTAGGAGATCTTTTTAAGATTATGAAAATCAACATGCTGCGAAGTCCCTTGTTTGTCGTTTGCCTACCGTCAGTACCAGTGGTATGCAAATCTTTTATATATGGCTTTGGTTTACAGGTATTGTTCCGGGTGGCATGTTTCATATAGAAATTTGTTTATTCCACGAACGACATTGCATAGCCAAATCTGTTTTGGAACAGTCTCTTGGTTTCGGACTGAAGGACACTTCTACGGATAATCAATTTGCAAATTATGCAAGAAAGCTTCATAAATAACGACTATATAGGCTTATGTATAAATGTGCCTCTTCCATTTCCGTTTTTATAATTAGATCTAGCATTTTTATTCTTTTCCCTATTTTTCAAAAGATATACGTTTAACGTAGTCTTTTTAAAAGTCATTTTGAAGTCCTTTTAAAACTAACTATATTTTCTTATATTTGTGAAGACAGTTGTGCGAATGAAGTGAGTGAGTATGGTTTTACGCCGCTTTTAGCAATATTCCAGCAATATCACGGCGGGAGACACCAGAAATGGGCTTCACACATTGTACCCATGTGGAGATTCGAATCCGTTTCTTCGGGGTGACGAGCGAACATTTTAACCACTTGGCTACAACACCGCCCCTCACAGTCTTAAAGCCGTCGGTGATTTGCCAAAATGCCACGTAAATATAACTGTGAGAGGCAAGTTTAAGACCTCTACAACTTTGGTGAAACCCACGAGCACCACCATGGCTATATCTAATCAGGTCGAACCAGGATTTCAACCAATAGCACAGCTTTCTTGAGCGATCAAGGGACGTAACTCCACATCGTGAATTGTGGCACATTAAGCGATTCGTTTACCCGTGGCTACACTTAGAGGTTACCGTTACACAACACCAAATGTTTTTTCATAGACTGCTATAGTAACGTAATATTTTTTAAACAATCATCCTGGCAGTCAACAGCCATTCAATGTACACATGGGTAGAGTCTAGCCTTTATACAACAATAACAACACAAATTCCGGCTAACTTAACCAGAAGATTTTCGGAGCACAGAAAGCTGAACACATGAACCCCAGTTCCGCACCAAATGTCACCTACTGGAAAATATCTGTACACACAATACGCATAAGTCATGGTGAAAAAAATGACAGCACTAAATACTTAAAATTGTGGTCAGTTTTAATTACTGGATGAATGTGCTTTTACAAATCATAAAAACTTACATTATTTCATCCAATCACAGCTGTCACATGTCTCTATCTCTTCAGATGTTTAGAACCGTCGTTCAGGGAGCATGTGATTCTGATTTAGTGTAGTGGAACCTAGACATATGTTGCTTTAACGCCTGGTTGATGTGTAATTGTACACAGCATAAAATTATAACATAAAAATATCTGGTTCCTATCTTACGAGGGATATATCTTAATCAATTACAGTTAATTATCACTTTAAAGCATTTATATAGTCACAATGTGATCAACTCATCTGTCTTTAGTTATCTTACCTCAGTATTAATAGTCATATCTCCTATCAGGGCTGGGATTTAGATAGGTAACCGATTCACACCTCACAAACAAACGTTTGTAACGTTTACGGGAGTCACGTGACTGAAGGTATATATCCCCTGTCCCGATATGTCAATCATGTTGTTATCTCTTTACCATGTCTTAATTTCATGACGTCATTGCCACACGGAGTCTCGCGAGCATTGACTGTCAGTCCGAGGGTCAACAAGCAGTAACAAAACGTATTCTTTTAGTATCCCGAAACGAAATAATCCTGGGATGTTTATCACCGATCTAACCCCTGTAACAAGTGCGTTTGGGTATATAATAACTGTATTTTGCATGTAAGGTACATATATCAAGCCAGACAATCTGTGGCCTTTACAAATCAGTGACTTGGTATTTAAACATTGGGTGATCTTCATTGATAAGGTATCTGAATAATCAATGATAGCAGAAATAGTATCAGTTAAAGCGGTGAATCACCCGCAGGAGACAGGTTTGTCCGTTTTTATTTTATCGGTTTAGAATTTGATTTTGTAGGTAGTTTGTATTTAAAAATACATTATTACAGAATGCATTTGTATTTTAGAGTAATGTAGTTACTTTGTTTAACCGCAAAAAGTTATTACTTCTGTACACAGACCGACGCTTGTCACATCATTTGCGGCATTAACATTAAGTGATAGTTGAATTTGTAATTAAACTTTTAAAATAATGACCAATGAATGAGACGTTTCAAGACGCCGTATCGCTTGTTCAGAGTGAATAGAGCATAACGCTGCTTTGAACAGCATTAATTCCAGTTATATTTCGGCGTGCAGCTCTATCATAGAGGAGGGCCCCAAGTGATGCAGGTCTCAAACGTTTACCACAGTAACGTATACGTTGCTGACAAACATAAAACAAAACCGGGAGGACAGGGATTCGAATACACGATAATATGTCTCTGGAGCGCTCAAGGGAATGCAACTCTGAAGATTGAATTGCCTCTCCTCAGACGTCTAGCCGCGTTCCTGTTCTGTTGATGTGAGTTTACCACAAGCACAGTAATGGTGCTGAAACCCCATCTGCACAGCCACTTACAGCGCATTAAACTAACGCTCCTGTGAATATTTGGTAGGTAATATGTAATTGGTTGTTTTTTGGTCTAACGCCGCACTCAGCAATATTCCCCAGCTACATGGCGGCGGTCTGTAAATAATCGTGTCTGGACCAGACAATCCTGTGATCAACATAAGGAGCATCGTTCTACGCAACTGGGATAATGTGACATGTTTCAACCAAGACAGCGAGCCTGACCACCCGATCCCGTTAGTCGCCTCTTATGACAAGCATGGGTTACTGAAGACCAATTCTGACCCGGATCTTCACGGGTATGGTGGTAATATATACAAGATACTAGTATACAAACTGCATAGTTCAGTATAGTGTTATATAAAACCATATTTTTTCTCTTCCAGTTCGACATATGGAGTCTGATAAAAAGACCTATGACGGCAAACTCCTATCAACTAACGGCGCGATACCGCGTCAAGAGCGCCCCAGTGCGACGCGCAAAGAGCGGCGTTGTGACGCGTCGACGACGACGTCTTGAATCCCGTGCTGAGAGTGAGGGGTGCGAGTCCATTCACAGCATCACGACTGCCACGGACTGTACCTTCTTTGATCTGGACAAGGACTTGCCGGACGACTTCTTCGATCAAGATGGTTGGTTATTGTACAAAATCATGATTACAACAGTGATATATACTTAGATATAACATGTTAAATTGTTCTAAGAGTTCTTATAGTTCTTAAACTATCGGCGTAAAACCATACTCACTCACTTGATCGTGTTTTTTATGATTATAACATAGTCTATGGTTATAGCAGCTTCTGTAAGTATAGCAAATTTTAATGATAGCCTGTTCTTTGGAAATAACACTTTCAATAATTACGTACGACATCTTTATAGTCATAAGATTGATATAGTTAAAGTTATCAATAATGTTGAAATCGTTAAAACCAACTCATTCACACACTCATTCACTGGCTACTACTGATTCTTAGTTTACAACATTTGCGAAGGAAGACAACATAATAACATTATCTATTATTGCCGAAGGGTTTGCCATCGATCTTGAACTTTATTCTCCATATTTTGCGCTCGTAGTAGGATTTATTTGTGAAATGAGAGGATTGCTTTTCTTTATCCGGGAAAATCTGTTTATGAATATATAGAGATTAGATCACAATTTTCAGCATGTCCCTTACTCCGAATTGTATTTAAATGGGTGGTAGTACTGAGTTATAGTTATAAGCTCTTCCGGGTTGCGTCCCTTTGGTACACCAGAAACCGGTTCGTAGCGATTGTCACCAGGTGTGTCAGCGTCTTACCCATGCTTGTAGGGTGGCATCAAGACGTAAAAATCTGACAACGGCGTTAACCCCAACTCACTCACTACTATGTTGTGCCACTGTAGGAAATACCAAAGTATCTGAAATTCTACAGTCACGCGCTACTGCTTTTAACCTTTGTCCGGTGCAAATCACAATGCGTAAATGCACAAATTAAGAAAAGTCAATGAAGTGAAAGCAATAGTTAGAAAAGAAAGTTAACCAACGTATGGGTTATTTATGTATTGGCTTTCAACACGCTGGCTGGAGACATTGCACTAAGTAGCGCTGTGTTCACAGGCCAATGTCAGGACGGTATATGAATGGCATGACTCATATTAGTTAAATGACCAAATAAATATTTAAGTTGCCGTTTGAAGAAAAATACACTGCAATTTCAGTATAGATCTAGAAGCTAGTTTACTAGAATTCGTAGGTCACCGAAGCCCGTCATGATGTCAGATGATGCAGCGTTTGATCTGATGTGCTCTTCATCTGGTAATATGTGTGTGTAGTCATGTATGTTGTGGTATAACATTATCTTTGTTCTGTTTTGCATTTTAGGGTTCTTTATATGTTGTTTTTGTTGAACAACGCTGCACTCAGCATTATTCAGGCTATATTACGACTGCATGCGTGAACCAGACAAGTCAGTGATTGACATCGAATTAGCAGTGTGCATCGAGCGATGCAATAGGAATACGATGACATGCATCTCCAAGTCTTTAAGCCTGACCGCCTGATTCCTTTAGTCGCCTCTTACGTTAAGCATGGGTTGCTGAAAACCAATTCTAACCCGGATCTTCATGGGTCTCATAGAACGGTGGTTAACTGTAGCATAGTCGCCGCGACACGTTGACACGACACATTTCTATATGTTTCTATACATACATACAATGGCAATGCGACCAATCCATATCCTTACATTGCTTCAGATGACGAGGCAGACTCGCCCCGACGACCCCAGAGTATCGCTGGAACCCACAGTCAGAAAATGTACCTGCGTACGTGCAAGGCGATGAGGATCACCCCAACCAACTACGTATTTCGCCACCTAGCGGAGGAGAAGATGGACCTCAAGCACCACCTGCTGGGACCGGAAGGAGCAAAGGCATGCGCAATATCACTCGTTGTAAGTAACCTTGACGACGACATTGTGGCTTGGGAGAATTATAATGGAGAACATATCTTACTTTACGTTTGAATGGACATATGCGTACCTAGATATTCTGAATTAGGTTTAAATATATTTCCCGAAAATCAATCTGTAAAGCTGGGTAGCTGAGTGGCTACACTCGCACACTGAGCAGTCGTTTCCAATTTCTTTGCACGAAAACCTTTCAAGTTACGTCCACTGATGTTTAATTTTCAAATATGTGTCACTGTCGAATCGGTAAAGGTGTTTATTTCTGCACATATCGTTTCGTGTTCTCAAGGAGAATTCCACCGTCCAGAGCCTTGACCTTGAAGACAACGCAGTAGGAGTGAAGGGGGCGGGATATATCGCCGAGATGCTCACAGAGAACAGCTTCATCACGGAACTGGTTAGAACCAACGTTGTTGTTTGTGTTTAGTCATAATGAGACTTATTTCTGACATGGCTGACGAAATAACTGAATTCAAGAATCAATGTTCTTTTAGACTTTCACAGATTCTTTCAGGAAATGGCAGTTGACAGTCCAAAATTTATACTCTTTGATAATGGGGTTTGTTTTTTTAAAAATACAAAAATTAGAAAAGAACTACGTCTCAGTGATTAGTTTGTATTATGTACTTTACTCCTCTTTTTAGTTCTATGACCATTACGGGGCGGTGGGGTAGCCTAGTGGTTAAAGCGTCCGCTCGTCCCGCCGAAGACCCGGGTTCGAATCCCCACATGGGCACAATGTGTGAAGCCTATTTTGGTGTCCCCCGCCGTGATATTGCTGGAATATTGCTAAAAGCGGCGTAACATCATACTCACTCACTCTATGACCATTATACTAACTGTAACTGTAAGTCCAAATTCACATTTAGCTTAATCTATTTAGAAAATCCCCAGAACCCCGGCGAACCATTTTGGCATTCCTTTTATGCTTGAAAATGAAATTATAACATGTTGTTGCTATATATCCTTCAACGTTAATGAAAAATGTACCGATTTTGCGTCCCTGATTAATACTAGATGAAATCAGGAGAAATCATTTCTCATGGGAAAGCCTTCACGCCAGTTAGTACACTTGGGTGAATAGATTTCGCAATGATAGGATTGCTCAGTCATATAACGCTGTGGAAGTGAAACAGTCGTGATTTCGAACTGCATATTCTTCCCGTTTATAATCAATTGATTGTCGTTCATATGTCCATTGCTTTCAACAATACACTTCTATAACATACTTCAATGTGGAGAGCCCTCACATACAAAGCTGAAGTGCTTTAATGGCCAGGGGGGCGGAGTAGCCTACAAGACAAAGCGTTCGCTGGTAACGTCGAAGGTCCAGGTTCCACTCCCCACATGGGTACAATGTCTGGAAGCCATTTCTGGTATCCCCCACCGTGTTACTAATACCATACTCACGCTCTCATTCACTGAAACCCCATCTCACGCTCTCATTCACTGAAACCCATCTCACGCTCTCATTCACTGAAACCCCATCTCACGCTCTCATTCACTGAACCCCATCTCACGCTCTCATTCACTGAAACCCCATCTCACGCTCTCATTCACTGAAACCCCATCTCACGCTCTCATTCACTGAAACCCCATCTCACGCTCTCATTCACTGAAACCCCATCTCACGCTCTCATTCACTGAAACCCCATCACGCATTCACTGCTCTCATTCACTGAAACCCCATCTCACTCTCTCATTCACTGAAACCCCATCTCACTCTCTCATTCACTGAAACCCCATCTCACGCTCTCATTCACTGAAACCCATCTCACGCTCTCCATTCTCCCCATCTCACTCTCTCATTCACTGAAACCCCATCTCACGCTCTCATTCACTGAAACCCCATCTCACGCTCTCATTCACTGAAACCCCATCTCACGCTCTCATTCACTGAAACCCCATCTCACGCTCTCATTCACTGAAACCCATCTCTCACGCCATCTCCCCATCTCACGCTCTCATTCACTGAAACCCCATCTCACGCTCTCATTCACTTCTCACGCTCTCATTCACTGAACCCCATCTCACGCTCTCATTCATTGAAACCCCATCTCACGCTCTCATTCACTGAAACCCATCTCACTCTCTCAACCCATCCCATTCACTCTCTCATTCACTGAACCCCATCTCACGCTCTCATTCACTGAAACTCACGCTCTCATTCACTGAACCCCATCTCACGCTCTCATTCACTGAAACCCCATCTCACGCTCTCATTCACTGAACCCCATCTCACGCTCTCATTCACTGAACCCCATCTCACGCTCTCATTCACTGAAACCCCATCTCACGCTCTCTCATTCACTGAACCCCATCTCACGCTCTCATTCACTGAACCCCATCTCACTCTCTCATTCACTGAAACCCCATCTCACGCTCTCATTCACTGAACCCCATCTCACGCTCTCATTCACTGAAACCCCATCTCACGCTCTCATTCACTGAACCCCATCTCACGCTCTCATTCACTCACTGAAAAACCCCATCTCACGCTCTCATTCACTGAAACCCCATCTCACTCTCTCATTCACTGAAACCCCATCTCACGCTCTCATTCACTGAAACCCCATCTCACGCTCTCATTCACTGAACCCCATCTCACGCTCTCATTCACTGAACCCCCATCTCACGCTCTCATTCACTGAAACCCCATCTCACGCTCTCATTCACTGAAACCCCATCTCACGCTCTCATTCACTGAAACCCCATCTCACGCTCTCATTCACTGAAACCCCATCTCACGCTCTCATTCACTGAAACCCCATCTCACGCTCATCATTCATTCACTGAACCCCATCTCACTCTCTCATTCACTGAAACCCCATCTCACGCTCTCATTCACTGAACCCCATCTCACGCTCTCATTCACTGAACCCCATCTCACGCTCTCATTCACTGAAACCCCATCTCACGCTCTCATTCACTGAAACCCCATCTCACGCTCTCATTCACTGAACCCCCATCTCACTCTCTCATTCACTGAAACCCCATCTCACGCTCTCATTCACTGAACCCCATCTCACGCTCTCATTCACTGAACCCCATCTCACGCTCTCTCATTCATTCACTGAACCCCATCTCACGCTCTCATTCACTGAAACCCATCCCCATCTCACGCTCTCATTCACTGAAACCCCATCTCACTCCTCTCATTCACTGAACCCCATCTCACGCTCTCATTCATTCACTGGATGGAGGATGGAGGAGGAGGATGGATGGAGGAGGAGGGAGAGGATGGATGGAGGATGGAGGGAGGGATGGATGGAGGAGGAGGAGGAGGGAGGAAGGAGGGAGGAGGATGGAGGGAGGAGGATGGAGGAGGGAGGATGGAGGAGTGGATGGATGGAGGAGGATGGAGGAGGAGGGAGTGGAGGATGGAGGAGGAGGAGGAGGGAGGGAGGAGGAGGAGGAGGAGGAGGAGGAGGATGGAGGATGGAGGAGGAGGAGGGAGGATGGAGGAGGAGTCATAATTAAAGCCGCTGCTCATACACACCTAAAAATGGACACTCGTCATCACTTTCCGTAACCTGCAAGTTATTCGTCTTTTCACGAAATAACACGAATTTGTCACGAATGAAGCACCGAGGTTGCTGCGTGAACCATCATTGGAACCAATATAATGACATAAACAACATACCCGTGAAGGTGCGGGTTTGAATATTGATCTTCAAGAACCCATGCTTGTCGTAAGAGGCGACTAACGGGATCGGGTGGTCACGCTCGCTGACTTGGTTGACACATGTCATCGGTTCCCAACTGCGCAGATCGATGCTCATGCTTTTGATCACTGGATTATCTGGTCCAGACTCGATTATTAACAGACCGCCGCCATATAGCTGGAATATTGCTGCGTAAAACTAAACTCACTCACTCACATAGACAACATTAATATACAAATGGTCATCTCCTTTCACTGCATGACCGGAATTAATCCGGCTCCGTTTCTGAGTCAGTCACATTCGAACAACGGCGCATTCTCGGATAAATTACGGAAAGTCGAGATCGAGACGTAATGGAGATTATTTCCTGAGAAAGTGGAGAAACGGGTCACGATATTCAGACCTGGTTTGATGTGAATTCCATGTCGTAGCATTGTTGGTTCAACCGAGATCAATATACGCTGTCAATTTGAACACAAATCGCACCTTAACATACAACATCCAGTGTTCTCATGACGATTTGGTTCACTTGCATTCCATTCGGATAAGGTGCAAATTCTATGAATAAAATATCTTAAATGTATTTTTGTTTTGCACTGGCGTTCGCGTCCCTAGGTTAATTACAGGTAGATATCACCTGTTGATGGTGATTACATGTGACAGACACACGCACAGTCTAGGTATATTACATTTCAGTTACCGACCCCATCCGCATCCATAATGTATAGTAAACAGATCGTGTTGGAAATGGGGAGAATTTGTTTTGATAAAATTAATTATTGCGACTGAATTGTGATAAGACGATACAAAATAGTTTCGATGTTTTTGGTGGTTTGAGGCGAAAATGTTTTTGTGTTCATCGATTTGGGTTTTCAACGCATTTTGTCTCAACCCGTTTGTATCTGTTATGTTTTCTTTACACCTGGAACCGATGTCTTACCTGTGACGTTCATTAACATAACACGGACATTAAGCCGGAAGACATACCTGTTAACTGCTTTAACACGTTAGCTCATTAATGAGAACCCCAAACAGAACATTTACCTTTCGCTGATATATAATTCATATGCATATCTTATATCAAAGGCCTTGGTGTAGTACAGTAGTAAATGATCCGTTATTTGTTAAAATCTGCATAAATATTCCAATATATGGTTATTAATATTACTTGGGGTACTGCTAAAATTGTACAATTTAAATAAAGTTATGAAACTGTCTTTGAAGCAAGGTTTATATAAGGTAAAGCTGAGGATCCATTTAAACTATTGGATACTGACGTCAGGTTCCTCAAGTCATAGCCCTCAGGATTAGGTTTACACGTCTTGTGTAGAGCTGTTACTTTCATTAACGTGAAGCCAGATATCTAAATAAAACACGGAAATCCTCATCCATAAACGACAATTAAGCACGATGTAAAAATTATTTTAATGTCCAATCCAACAAATATATTCTATGTTGTCTTGACACGAGTTCGAATCTCGATTGTGTTTTGCGTCACATAAATTTTCAACTGAAAAAAAGAAGATTCCTTCGTGTCCCTTTTGAATTACTAAGTCCTAATGTAGACTGTGTATAATGTTGCTCTGGTGTTTGTTTTCAGGAAACAACCTACAAGAATATGACGGAGCGTTGTTCTCCAATCTCATTGAGGTAAAGGTTTAACGACACAGTGAACCCCTCCAATCCGGACGGCCTTGATACAAGTGAAATCGTCCGGCTTATTAATGTGCGGATTAATGATTTGTTTATGTAGTAGTAATATTCATATGTACTGTCGTGCAAAAGAAAGTATACACACATATTTGAGTGTGGTTAGAAGTGGAACAAACAAGGAATGATTATTCTATGGTAACTGATATGGATATCACAGCTGTATTTTGGACCTTATGTTGGCTGTGTTTCGGCGACTGTTCCCAGGCATGTAACAGTTTGATAACGTTTCTAATTTTCAAGCGAATATTTTTCTCGCCCAACTCTGACAAACGACTTCACACCAACGTCGGTGTTTCTGGTTACGCTCATTTTTTATATATATTAACATTTAGTTGTTTCTGTTACAGGATTCACAGAACCTTAAAGAATTGAAACTGAGCCACAACTGCTTCTGTGAGATCGGCGGTATCACCATCGGCGATGCTCTTGGTGAGTTTAATCAGAATATGTTGGAGAGTGAGTGAGTTGGGTATAACGCCGCTTTAAGCAGTAGTTCAGTTATATCATGGTTTTACAGCTTAATATGGGAATGAAGCCCAACATTTACCACTCTTGTGAAACCAACATGCACAGGTATGCTGCTGACAAACCATGGCCAAATGACCGAACCGGGATTCGAACCAAAGATCTTAGGTTTCTGATCCGGCTAACAGCAAATGTGTAGGTTCGAAATCATTTATTTGGTTTGATTACATTTTTTATTTATGACCTATAGTTCTCCCTAAGACCACGTGTAACGCGGGACGAACAATACTGCTTTTATAAAGGCAAGTATAGACAGAAGCATCTATATTAAACGAATTCCACTGTATGTAATCCATCAACATTAACTGTTACGGGGTACGGGATACGTGTGTTAACTTCAGAAACTAATTTTCACATATGCAATCTAATGTATAAACATAAATGTGTCCTATGAAACGAGCCTGATAATTTCCACCAGGGCACCGCTTCAAAAAGCGAACTTAAGGTTACCGTTGGCTTATGTAAGTACAACCAGACATTATTGAGAATTTAAGATTGTATTTTTTTTTTTAAATTTCACTCATTACTTACGTATTAAATGTGAATATTAGCAGAACATAACTTTAGATTCAAAGACAGATGAACAGTTAATATTTTCTCAAGTCACCATGGGCAGCAATGCAGGCTTCAATGCGGCGGGGCATACTACTGATCAAAGAAGTTAGAAAGACGTGGTCCATGCTGTCCCAATATCGGACCACCTCTTCTTTCATGTCAGCAATATTTGTCAGATTTTTCTTATTGACACTTTCCTTCATAAGTCCCCAAACATTTTCTATTAGATTTAGGTCAGGGCTATAGCTTGGTCATTCTAATAATATCATATTTTGGGTCCGAAACAAGGCCTGTGAATGCTTTGAACGATGTTTTGGGTCGTTGTCCTGCTGGAAAATCCAAATATTTCCATAGAACACGTGAGCAGATGGAAGTAAATGTCCCTCGAGAATATCTGTGTACCGCTCACTGTTCATATTCCCTTCAAATACACAGAGGGGCGTTGCCCCTAACACTGATATGCCACCCCACACGTTAAATTTCGGACTGTACTTTGGGCGCTGATACAAAGGTTTTTAAGTTTGTTTGGTCCAGAATTTCAGTGTATTAGAAAACAGCCACACAGAACTTTCATCTGAGAAAATCACATTGTCCCAGTTAAAATTTCTATGCTGTAAGCACCAGTTCAACCTTCGCTCCTTTTGTTCAGGTTTCATGATCGGTGATGGAATTCCTCGATTTTTCTGCCAACCACTTGCGTGCAGCTCAGTTCTAATTGTCTCCTTACAGACAGCCACAGTTCCTCTATCAATCATATCCAGCCTTAAGTTTTCTAAACTCATTCGTTTGTTTTTAGAAACAAGAATACCAAGCCGCCTCCTGTCACCGACAGTCAATTTTCTGGGCCTACCTGCGCCTACCTGATGCTCAATGCCATATCCATTTGCAATATTTTTCAAAACACGATAAACAGTGGACAAAGGGATGCCTGTTCTACTTGAAATCACTTTAGCTGATCTGATGTCCTTGTTAAAATACTCTAAAATCAAATTCCTCTTCTCTAAATCATCCATACTGAGGATCACTGAAAATGTCGTTTGCTAGCAAGTAAACAATGGGGGATAACTCTTCACAAACCAATAAAAAAGGATTAACGAAGTTGTCTCTCTTGAATGAAACCAATCACTTGATAGCTGGTCAAGGTTGTTTATATTAGAAATCCATTTATACATATTCCTAAAATTCTCAATAATTTCTGGCCATAGTGCTCTGTGAAACGAGGCCTACAATTCCCACCAGGGCCCAGTTTCACCAAGCCGTTTTACTGCTACGCCTGGCTTACGTAACTTCCGGGCTCTAAGACTATAGTCTGAGATTTTGCTTTGAAGACGGGAACCTGGGGCTCTTTTCACGAAGCAGCCTGTACTAAGGTTAACCTAACTCCCATTCTTTAACATTGCACTAAGGCTACCTTAGTGACTTACGATCACATTAGCGCTTTGTGAAAGGAGGCCCTGGGCAATACATTTTGAGCATTAAGGTTTCTCAGTATCTAGAAATGTTTTCAGGGTGGAATGACACGATAGAGTTCTTGGACTTGAGCTGGAATCATCTGAGACGGTCCGGAGCGACATCGATTGCTAAAGGAATTGGCGTGAGTAGATATCTGACGCTTGACTAACCATGGGAAATAATCAGCGAAGAGCATCATTTGGTACTTAAGATTAAGTGTTAATAAGTGCGTCTGTATCGACCAGACCAGAAATGTCTGGCCCTCGTTAGATCTGCCCTCCATTAAGGAAGCCAGACTGTCATTATGAGGACAATAGCGTTCCAGTTAGGATATCTATATAATTTCTGGGACAAGACATTATTGGTGTTTTAGAATTATGCTTGTAATAAGTTAGATTAGTGTTCTTTACAACCGGAAGAATCAATCAAGAAAATGTTTGTAATTAAACTAATGATCAAGTCACCAAGACTAGTTATACTACTCTAGATAATAACTAATCTAGAAACAATGATAATGCTATGGTCCGTATGACTAGTTCCAACTAAGGCCGCGCGGAGGCTGACACACAACGTTTATGTAATTACCACCAAAAAGGGTCTTTCGGCAAAAATACAGTGGTGTCAGACACTAACATTACTCTTAGCGACTGATCGGGTGGTCGTGGTATATTTTTGCTGAACGCAATATCTATAGCAGAAATACACAGTGCACTTAAGTATTTCTGTGTTCTGTAATTATTCTGATCAGTCAATGATTAGTTATCAAATCCTTATTATCAATGGTGCTACGATGTACTGTGAACATAGAATCAACACTGTCAGTCAAATATATCTTAGTTCCATAGTATTTGTAACACTGATAAATCCCCGTTCTTCTAGATCAACAGTGGGCTAAAGGTGCTGGACTTGTCCTGGAACGGCTTCTATCTGGACGGATGTAAGGAGCTCGCCAACGCCTTGGAGAAGAACTCGACTCTGGAGGACATCAACCTGTCATCCAATAGGATCAACAAACAGTGTCTTCAGGAACTCTGGAAGGGGCTCAAGAAGAACGAGACACTGCAGAAATTACGGGTGAGTATACTCAGTATAGATCCACAAGGTTTATATTGACTTGACTTGGAGCACAAGTGTTTCGTGAGCAGATACAAAATAGTGACATGGATAGGTATACAAGAGTTGTATCCTTTTCCCCAAGAACGAATACAGTAGGTCCACAAATGTCAATTAATAGATCAACCAAAGATGCACGAGAAAGTCCACAAAGGCACATCAGCAGATCCATAAATATGCACGAGCTCTGAAAAGATCTATCAGTAAATCCACAAACAGAAGGTCCATCAAAGATGTCATCACAAACATTAGTTGACGAGTCGGGGCGGTGGGGTAGCCTAGTGGTTAAAGCGTTGGCTCGTCACGCCGAAGACCCGGGGTCGAATCCCCACATGGGTACAATGAGTGAAGCCCATTTCTGGTGTCCCCCGCCGTGATATTGCTGGAATATTGCTAAAAGTGGCGTAAAACCAAGCTCAGTCAGTCAGTTGACGAGTCACTCGAGACACTCGAGAGAACACATCGTTTTCTGTAAATCATTGTAATTCACATTGTATATTCCAGCTGTCTGACAACCCCATCACATCCAGTGGAGCCTACTTCCTCCTCAATTCACTGAGAGAAACAAAATCATCCGGACTAAACTATGTGGACCTGGGGGTAAGCATACCATTGATTATCTAAGTCATACAAGTGGTAACTGAGTCTTTTTAGTGGCCACTGAACGTGGATAGGACGATGAGGACGTTTGCCGTGATTTGCATCTATTATAGAAATAGATGGCTCTCAGTGTGATCCCTTTGCCGAAGCACGCGCCTTGAAAGATAACATGACGGTCGCATCTTGCAGATGCAGTGTTGCTTCCCCTGGGCGAGTTAGTGTCCTCTGATCACTGGCTCTAAGCATAGATTCGGCTCAATTCAGTTTCTTTCAGGAATATATGCTTCGTTAAACGTCTGCCTTAAATTCGAGATTTAATCCACGATAAAAGACATGACAATAAATTGATAATGACAGGAACAATAGGCTAAATAGGTCATTTCCATAAAATCAGACAGGTAAGCACGAACATCTCTCAGGTTGTAGTACGAGCGAAGCCCAAAGTCGCCATATTTGACAGAAAGGGGTCGGCGGCATGGTGACCAGTCGATCTGAGACGCTGCAATACCCTGTAATAATTTGCGTCGTGCCCGGATCCTATGATCGGTTCGTTATGTTTCTTGGTTTGATAGCAGTAGACCAAACTGTCACCCGTTAGAATTGATCTTCAGCAACTCATGCTGGTCGTAAGAGGCGACTAACGGGATCGGGTGGTCAGGCTTGCTGACTTGGTTGTCACATGCCATCGTATCCCATTTGCGTAGATGGACGCTTATCACTGGATTGTCTGGTCCAGGCTCGATTATTTACAGACCGCCTCCATGCATGTATATCTGGAATAGTGCTGAGTGCGGCGTTAAACAACAAACAACCAAACGAACCACACAGCGCCACTTTGGGCCAGATAGCAAGTCGTGATGTAACGTTAACCAAATAAACCAAAGTCAACCATTCACCTTTCCAGACGCAATGCGTGGAGGGGCCGTTCGTGACGATGTTGCAAGACATGCAGGAGCAGCGGTCCCTGCAGATGAAGTACGGTGCTGTGTGGGACCAGTCGATGGAGGCGGAGGATGACGAGATGGACCTGGTGGACGAGAACCCTGTCCTCATCTTGATGGAGTTCGGCAAGCTGCTGGGACTGAGGTTAACAGACCTCTTCTGTATGATGGACAAGGACAACAGCAAGACGCTGACTAGGAAGGAGATCAAGTGCGGGTTATTGGTGGGTCATAAGCTCAAAGTGACAAGTTATAATCCTGATTCCCGAGGATGATACAGTATTCAATAATCGTGAAATTAATGATAAACTCACTCTTCCGAAATCCTGTCCGGGATATATTCAGGATATTTCGATTTAGGTCTGTGCTTCAAAACACATAATTCTTTTTGTTATGTATGGCATTTGTTTAAAAAAGGGATTGTGTTATTTAGCTAGTGTTAGTATTAGCATAATTTTCATCACGTAAAAAAATGGGTTTTACGTGAATATTTCGCTCAGACAACAGGTGAGAGCTGCTTGTACTAGTCCAGACATTTTATAGTGCTAGCCCACTGAGATACTGCCGCAGTCTGTACTCCACTCAGACACATTATACTGACTCCGCACCTTTAAGACAACATAATAATGTTAGGCGGAAGTAAAAACATCCAGTCATTCCATTTTTAGACCTACGCTTAGGCTATGAATATACATACATTTTAATAGAAAAAAATAAGTTGAAAAATTGAAAAGGAGCCCCAGTGAGATGGGAACATGAGGTAAATGTAGACTTCATTTGGGTTTTCGCAATATAGAACGTGCTGGGCGGAATGGAAACATTATGTGGTTTAGAGACTCTGAGACTATCCAACATTGTACTCTTTCAGGAGTGCAACATACCGCTGTCAGAGAAGGCCGTGGACCACTTGGTAGAGAAGCTGGATCAGGATGGTGACGGGGAGATTGACTATGGGTAAGACGTCAGACCATCAGGCAGTGGGGTAGCCTAGTGGATTAGGCGTTTGCTCGTCACGCTGGGTTCGATTCCCCACATGGTCACAATGTGTGAAGCCCATTTCTGGTGTCCCTTGCCGTGATATTGCTGGAATATTTGTTAAAAGCGGTGTAAAACTAAACTCACTCACTCACGTCAGACCAACTGTTGTTACTTTGTTGTGCATCGCACTAAGCAAAATTCCAGGTATATGACGCCAGTCTGTAAATAGTTGAAGGTGGGTCAAGTAAACCAGTGGCTGATGACACGGGCGAAACCGAAGAATTTACTGTCGACAGTCCTGCTTACAATTGTGAAACGTATATTATTGTTTTACTAGCTGATCCAATCTATATATGATATTGCTGACGAAGATCAACAATGATCACTCATCCATTCATAAATGGCGCTTAAATATACCTTGTATCCATTTACAAAAGGTGATTGGTTGGTCAGATTCAGACACGTCGTTCCGTGATGGTCACGTCGATTGTCATAATATCTCCGGTTTGCCTGGTCCGGGGAACTCTCACACTGCTTGCCCACAACCCCAGTAAATTCATTCACATACAGTAATTGTACATCCATCTTCTCGTTGTAGAGAATTAACAGCTGGGCACCAGCAACACCGACGGAAGTTGACGAAGACGATCATGATGTCGCGAGAACGTAACGTTGACATGGAAGACACAGATGTGGGCCGTGTTCGGAAAAAGCTACAAAAGCTGATGGCGAAACAGCTCGGCGGCGCCATCTTGAATACTGGATTCAGTACAATTACAGATCTCGCGAGAAAAAACGGGAAAGTTGTTGACACGAAGGACAAACAGAAGAAGGCAAGGCCTTCCCAAAAACATAAGTGATATTATGTTGATATTACAGAAAAATATTGATATTATGAGTGCATTTACAAAAGATTGTGATATACATACGCAAACTAAGTATTGGATACAAAGGAGCCAAGAATTATCTTATGTTAAGTGATTTAAAAACGGAATGGATAAACCTGAGAATGAGATGATGGCCAAGTTGTTGGTGTAACATTCGGCTCGGCTCAATCCAGTGAGACCTCGGCAAACACTGACAAGAACCCATGTTGAAACTAGGCTTTGATGAACCTTATATGACTGTTCAAATTGCTTCCGTTTTCTTTTGTATTCAAATTAAAGTGAAATATCATTTTCTGTTAAGCGCCAGATAACCTGTCTTTTAAAGAGATGTTGTTTCATACCACCTTTTAAAGAGATGTTGTTTCATACCACCTATCTGCGGCAGGGCTTGGCGCTTTCAGCAACGGCCTTGTCGTACACACTATACCCGTCTCACAATTCACAACCCAGAGTGGAGCAACTTCGGCGGACCAGAATGTTATGAACGGGTTCGAATCCCGGTTCTCCCTGATAATGTATTCAGGTTTGTCCCCGCCATACCAATGCTGGAGCCTCGAGGGTTTTCTCCAAAGGGTTAAACATCTTGGACAGCCATCAATTCCAACATCCAGTTAGCACATTGGGGTGATGAAACAGAAGCGATTGTAAATCACTGGAGCATAGGAGATGGCTCAGTGCATGCTCTGGTTTTAGTAACTTTGTTGTAATTACACGTTGTTTGAACAGAACAGAATACACTTTTATGACATATGGGAAAATTGTCAGAACAGAACACACTGTTATGACATTTGGGATTGTTGTCAGAACAGAACACACCTGTATGACATAGGTGGGTGGGTGTGAAGGATCGGGGGCGGGGTAAGGAACAGAGAACACTCTTGTGACATTTTTGTCAGAACACACCTGTCTGACGTGGGGATGGGGGTGGGGGTGTTTCGGAACTGAAGTCACTAATATGACATGTGGGATTGTTGTCAGATCAGAACAGAGTTTTATGACATTTAGGATTGTTGTCAAAACCGGACACAGTTTAGAATACATTTGGGATTTATTATCCGAACAGAACACTGCTGTGCAGTTGGAGACGACGTTTAGACGACCACAGCATGATTTAGTAATAAAAGGAGGCACGGCTCGCCGATAGTCGAGAGAAGAAGTTGTTGTGGTAACACGCACTGCGGTGGTTGATCAAACATATATTTTCTATACAGACGTCCAGATTCCATTCGCCGTTCAAAATTTCGGGATGAAATTCATAGAGCAGGACTGGAGGTACTTTGTAATTTATTACAGATAGTGAAGTAAACCTCTGAAGTATTCAGGCCAACAATATAACACATATAGAACAATATATCACAGTTACAGACATATTTCACATGCGTACTACACTGACGAGCAAAAGAAAGTATACACTTGAAAATTGTTATCATACCTTATCTACTGAGAATAGTCCACGACACACTACTAACAACTATGATATGATCCATATCAAATACAGCACCATTGAATAACAGACCTTGTTCGGTTGAACGTCATCAAACGTGTCTACTTCATTTCGTTCGAACAAGTTCCTTTCGTTCGGTAATTTGTTCAAATAGGGCTGTGATGGAACATTCATCCATCGATCATTCATTCATCCATTCATTTATTAATTCATTATTAACATTCAAATGATAACTGACACATACAAGAAATGTGTTCAGTTCATCACATCGTTCCCCAGCATGTGTGATCGGTTCCCAAAGTCTACTTATTTATTGCCAAGGAAACGCATGGAAGGAGATTCATCATTGGAAAATGCAAAACGACGGGAAAAGGAGGCTAATGTCTTCAAAGCCAGGAGTTCTATACGAAGGCACCGAAGAACATTAATTTTGACATATGCTTAGTGAGTTCTGAATTAATCATTTCGTGTTATTCGGGAAACAGATAGATTAACGTTGCACAAACATAGATCAGATTTGGAGGAGTAGTTTTCACCAAAAGTTAATGACTTTCCTGATTCAAGCTAGTCTTTCCTCTGGTCTCACCAGGTTCATAATATGATGCGCACGTAAAATCACGGTCATGTCTGCCTGTTTAACGGGTCAGTACGGCCACATTTTACTGATGGTTCCTGTGTCTGAATGAATTTTCTATACATTGATCAGAGGGTCGACAAATTACATTTACGATCCTTTTGTATGTTGAGAATGTAAAACACACAGTTTAAAACACACAGGTATTCACGTACTTCACATATGGTGTATTCACACTGCTATTGGTGTTCCCCGTCATGTTTTGCAAGCCATTATAGGGCAAGCCAAGTAAATAAGTACATAGAGATAATAATATGGTATAGGTAAACCAGTATAAACGACATGTGAACACGCATGCACGCACACACGCAGAAGCACACATACACACTCGGTGGTGATGTAACAAGTGCTAACCATCAAGTGCAAATCATAAATGAAATTAGCATGCTGAATACTTATCTTATCCAAAACATATCCTACAAGCATAGGGGCGGCGGGGTAGCCTAGTGGTTAAAGCGTCCGCTCGTCACGCTGAAGACCTGGGTTCGATTCCCCACATGGGTACAATGTGTGAAGCCCATTTCTAGTGTTCCCCGCTGTGATATTGCTGGAATGTAGCTAAAAGCGGCGTAAAATCAAACTCATTCACTCACTCACTACAAACATAACCATTTGCAGTAGTGTATGATGCACTACAGGTGAACTTGTTGCTAAGAAAACTGACACTGTTTTACACCGTAGAGACAGGTGTATTTTGCTACATTCTTGAGTGATTCGGAGACACATGTTACGAGTTTTGTAATACATTTTAATACCAATACAAGCAGCTTCCAAATGGCTTAAGTCTGAATTGAGGATAAATTTAATTACAGGTCTCGGTCTTCGGTAATATAACCACACAGATCTTTAAGAAAATGACTTTTAATTCTTGAAATTTATTGGTATAAGTGTGTTCTTCAAATGTAAATGCCCATTTACCTAGGCTTCCTGTAGAACTATATATTGCCTTATAAAAATACAATGAATTACTGAAAAAAATCATTTTCATTTTTTGTAATCCATTTCCACGCAATATATATGCCTTTGTATTTCAGTTTTCGGACCCAGGTTCGATTCCCCACATGGGTACAATGTGCGAAGCCCATTTCTGGTGTCCCCCGCCGTGATATTGCTGGAATATTGCTAAAAGCGGTGTAACACCAAACTGAATCTGTCTTATCATTTGTCTATACCTATCGGTCTCTTATCTCATGCTTTCTTCCTCTGTCACTCTCTCCTAGTTCTACCCTTGTATCTTTATCTCATTTCTGACTGAGTCTCCACTGCCATCTGTCTCTCTGCCTTTTTTTACCTCTGTCATCCCTCAACTCCAATCTGTCTGTATCTCCAATATCCCTCCCTGTATGGATCTCCGAACCCTATACTTGTATCGTTATCCGTAATCTGTCTCCGTCTGTCTCTATGTGTCTATCCATTTGGTTACCTGCCCTGCACTGTGTGACTATCTCTCTAACTATCCGTCCAATTCCCTTCCAATGTTTGTGTTTGATGTACATAACCCATATTCACTCTTTGTTGTAAATCTTCATTACTGGAGGAAATAAAATATATCCCACTTAAACGAAATAATATGAAAAACTGATTAGATATAACTCGGAACCACTGTTCAACACATACACACCACTGAATACCTCAGATTATACCTTTCACCGGATATTGCTGTACAACAGAGAGGAACGGTCGAACTTCTCGCAAACTAGTCTTGGGAATCGGAAACCAAAACCACTATCGATTATCGGAGGACTTGTGGTGAACGATTATCGGTTATAATCGAAATATATACATTTTTAATGTAATCACCAATTTTAAGGGTTTTTCCCCAGGGTTTTTCTAATTAATGTTTTTTTATAACTAATACTGTCATGCAATGAAATGAACGCATGCAAGTAAGACACTGGAATTGTAATTAAACAATAAAAGTGGTTAAAATTCTACAATGCGCATAGCTTTACGCTGTTGAGCGCATGTTTGTTCGTGAATATTCATCAAATTAAATGGTTAGTATACTTAATTCAAGGGTGTTATATAAAAACAACAAAATTCTGACTAATAAAAAATAATTCGATAAGAGTGAAAATTGAGCAATGTGTGAGTGAACGTTTATTGCCACATTGAGCAATGTGGGTGAAAGTTTATGGCCACATTGAGCGATGTGAGTGAAAGTTTATTGCCACATTGAGCAATGTGAGTGAACGTTTATTGACACATTGAGCAATGTGAGTGATCGTTTATTGCCACATTGAGCAATGTGTGAGTGAAAGTTTATTGCCACATTGAGCAATGTGAGTGAAAGTTTATTGCCACATTGAGCAATGTGAGTGAAAGTTTATTGCCACTTTGAGCAATGTGTGAGTTAAAGTTTATTGCCACATTGAGCAATGTGTGAGTGAAAGTTTATTGCCACATTGAGCAATGTGAGTGAACGTTTATTGCCACATTGAGCGATGTGTGAGTGAAGTTTATTCAAGTTTATTCAAGGCGACTTTCCGAGCGAGTGAAAGTATTAGACGCACTGGCGTCTAACTGTGGATATACGACATTCCAGAACTGTGCACAACATTTTTACTAACCAGGATTCACTTATAAATAACATTTTTGAAAATGCAGCAACTCAGTTCATTTTGTAAAAACACAAATATCACTGCTCACAAAAGGGCTGTTTGACTGTGACGCCCGTCTGTCTAAATATAGATTCGACATAGTTAACAAGCCGAGATGTCCTTGGAAGGACCATAGACACATAAGGGAGTGATTTGATGGAGTGCGTTCACAAATAACGTGAGTATTTGTCTTCAGACAATGCAGTTTAACTAAACAGGGATTATTTCTGGAATCAACAACTTTCAGCTTGAGGGTAACCTTACCAGGGTTTGTTTTAGTTCCTGAACAATTGATCGTCATTGGTCACCCAAGTACACTAGAGTTACCTCCCTTGCCAGATAGTTTCGCCAGTCTGCTGGGACTAAACTCACCTGACCCTGGTTCCCGCGTTCACTCGTTAGTCCGATGTGCTCGGACATAAGCTGTTGTATTCGCGCGGTTTGTTTCACGTTCTCGGAAAACCATGAACATATTTTCGATTTCTAAAATGTTTCTTGTCTTCTCGAAATCAGCTTCTTCTGTGACGTCATTTTAAGACCCGAAGTCCCGACCTAAATTGGTATATTGGGGTAGAATAAATACCCAGTACCCAGTGCTGTTCACAAGAGACGACTAGTGGGTAAGTTTGGCACAAGTGTAATCAGTTTAATGTTGGGTAAGAGGAGACACGATGTAAGTCTATATATGAACGTAAGCGTGACTTGGCATATGCAACAAGTGACTCTTTGGGAAACGAGACGGACTTTTTTTTTTCCGAAAATCTCGTTTCCGTTTTCTGCAAACATTCATCGGAGAAGTTATGCGTAATTCACCAATATTGAGGCCACGTATTCATGTATTTTGAGAGGTGGGCTAGTATTTATTTCATATGAAATTTGGTGACTGGTGTTATTAACACTTCACCGCGATATACCTAATATACTTAAGTTGCCACACTTTCAGATGTAATGTTTTGTTATATTGCTAATTAAGTATAATTAATATAATTTATTACTCACCCGTTGAAGATATCACTATTTAATAATTTTACAATGTTATTACATATTGTGTAATAACATCACGTGATGCCGTACGTATGACGTCAAAGTGGTTTACAGTTATGACGTCACAATGCTCATACCTCTGTCACAATAGTATTAGACCTTGCCTGACTATCGGAAAGCTGAGAGTCATCACACTCGTTGAATTCTTAAGAAAGAATTACTTTGCTCGATATTATTTTGCTAATGTTTGGTGAGTAATAAATAAAATACTAAACTATGTCCCGTCTAGTATTCTCTATATAATAAGTCCAAATCTTACATGTTTCGCTAAAAGATCAATGTACACTTTATGTAATACGTCACACTGAATAGACGTCACTACGCCATTCGCCCTCGTGCTTTAACCATAGGCGGATCCAAAGTCTAGTGGGTCTAAGTGGCTCAGTATTATTCGTTACACTGCTACACTATCTTGGTCGCGTCAGCTAACCTTTGAGCGACCTATGACCGTCCAATCAAACTTAGACGGCCGAACGGATTTAACCAATCAGACAACGACTACTTGTTAGGGTTCGGCGGGACTTACAAATCGGTTTTTGGATTTTCTTTTCCCTGGTCGCTGACACTGATCTATCAACAAACGAAAATCAGCATAAAACACAGATATTTGACCTGCAGTATATACGCTTATGGGTTTTCTAATGACATGGTTACTATTTGCTTATATTTTCGCAAGATGACATCCTTGACTATTGACAGAAACGCTATTTTCAGCGACTGTTTACTCATTACGTGTATCACTCGGAAGCGATCGTGTGGAAAATAGCATTCGGAATCGTTCGAGTCTTTGAGGTAAAGGATCAAACGGTATGTGCGAATGTTAACTTTCGCGATTTGGTAAGCTATGTTCTGATTGATCAGTCCAAAAGGTTAGCTGACGCGACCTTCTACTAGGTTTTGTTAGACTCAGTATAGCAGAAAAAGGAAACATGTTTTAATTATGTTTTATTAATCAGGTTACTTTTTCGCATTGGCGGAGCCCAGGCGGGATTGGGGGCACCCCCCTGACATTGGATTCGCCTATAATCAGAATTCAACTATAATAGGTCAGGGCAAAATTGTACTTTATTACACCAAACATGTACTGTTTCAAATATCTATCCAATTGAAGTGAATTATAAACGACGAATGTGACGGACTCAAAAGCCCTTAACTGTCGAACAAGAATACTCATTGTTAACCTTTTCGAGGTTGAAATGCTAAGAAAACACATACGGAGAATCGCATTCCTATCTGGTTAGCGGCGCTCTGATTGGTTAGATGAAAGGTTGTTCTGACCTTGACCTTGTGATGTCCCCAGATCTTTGTTTAGCAAGTGTAGGTGTTAGAGACCATGGTGCGATTGTGATTGTGTGCAACGCTACCAAACCGTACTTTATGAAGTCAATACCACGTATATCTCGCTATATTCATGTTTTTTTCTGTCTTTTCAGATATGTGTTTTCTTGTTTTTTCCTTGTTTTTTTAGTTTTTGGTCGAATCAGCTGGATCTGCCATGGCAGGTAGAGAAGTGGTTTACCACATATTGACAGCTTCGTGATTTTACTTGCCTTGTTGGTATTGTCAGTGGTGTGGGAAATATTATCTGGATACATTCAAATGACCAAGGAGGAAATATGAACAATCAAACAAGACTGCTGCATGGGCCTGACTGACTATCAATGGCGTTGGACTCATGAAATGCCTATCTCTTATTGAATTGTGTATGCTTAAATATTAAACAAGTATTATTTTGCGAGATTTATGTCACGGACGGCAGGTGTAAGTTTGAAATGGCCCCTTGTTTCCATAGCTTCCGTGGTGAGAATTCTGTGATTCTGTCTGTCTGTTGTGTAATGGCAATGTATTACATCATAATGGATATGAGTTTATATTACACGCTCCACAATACCAGTTTAGTTAAAGAAGCAGCCATTGACGATCCCAGTCGATTCTCACCCTTCCACCCACTGACAATAAGGCTGCTAGTCTTGGACCAGACAAACCATTACATCGTCAGGCCATCTACGGAAGTGTTCAACTACATGACCAACTTCAGCAACGTCTTTTCCTTCATCTCCCCCAACATCATCAGCGTCACTCACGCCTTCATCAGCATCGTCGTGGGAAAGATGGTGTCGTCAGACAACTTACGTCATCGACAAATGGGAGCGTTTTTCTTCGAGCTCCGAACATGGTTGGTTAGTTTTGCTGGTGTCGTGTTTCGTAGCCAGGCTGGTCGTCCTATATTCAGCTCCCTTCACGGTATATATGGAACAACTCTCAACAGCGTATGCGACATGCTTGGAGGGGTCGCCCTATGCGTAGGCGTTTGCGTGTATGCTGTAAGACATTACGGAAGACGAAGAACAAATGAGGTGTCTGTTGGAAAAGGTTTAAATGTACAGGTCCCATCAAATCGGGTGATTGTTTTTAACGTTTTCTTATACGCACTGTTGGTTGTACTATCATACGGATTCCTGGCCTATTTTGTCATGCATCTCGAGCGGTTCCTGGAGAAGCCATTCCCAGATCCTCAGCTAACGGTAGGGTTGACTTGTTTCAGAAGTGAGTATGCGAGTCAGTTAGGCTTAATAGTGCAGTGGACACCTTTCCAGTGATATCACAGCATAGAAACAGCATTAGTAAATCCCCGCGAAGATTAGAGTAACAGCTGGTCTCCAGCAACACTCGCTTGAGGTGACCAACGGCATCGGGATAGGGTTCACCCTGACATTATATCGCAGTTGCGTAGATCCGTGCTCACGGTATCAGTCACTGGATTGTCTGGTCCAGATTGGATTATTTACACTACCCCGCCATATAGCTGAAATATATTGTTGAATATGGCAAACATACAACAAACAAAACTAATTTCATGTCTCCAAAATGCGTACGTAGATCGATGATCGTGGCATCAATCACTGGATTGTCTGGATCACTGGATCACTGTATTGTATATCTTTTTGTGTCGTAGATCATTAGTCATAATGTCATGATGGTCCGATATGAACCGGTATTCAATGCAACGCGGGGTACTAAATCTTTTGACATATGTGGTGTGATTATTCTACACTCTGAAAAACAGAAACCTATTTGCCTTTGACCAGACAGTACAAACGACTCTTCTCCATGCTTCGTCTACCTGGCTCTTCCTCTGGATGTGGCGGTTCTTCACCCAACAGATGTTCCAGTACCTTGTCATCGCCATTGCAATGGACAAAACCTGGGTAACATTCCTGAACATAAGTTTTTTAATTTACTACAACACGGGCGCTATTGACGTTAAACGCAACGCATATCGCTTGCAGTGTCGCGTCCCTTATCCATACCAGAATACTGTGACCATTGGAATTCCAGATTCGCTATGTTTGTGATTCTTGGTTTGTCCCCACCATGGTAGTGTTGGTTCCGAATAACGTGGGGTTACAGATATATAACTGAAACACTGTTGAAAGAGACCATTACTCACTCACTCACTGGGTATATCAATTAGTAATATGTGCTAATGAAGCTCAGCTGCCGTAGACGTAAATAGTACATTTACTGTAAGATAGTTGTAAGTACCTGACAGCATTCGGTGATTCTCCGTTTGTCGTGTCGAGTGATGATCTGGTTGAATGCGTTTCGAAGTTTTTTGTTTTGTTTTATTTATTCTTCGATATAATATCCGTTACGTTCTTTAGTGACTGGTAACATTTATATTTTCAGGACTATGTGAGCATGTCGCTGTATTTCTTCTACCCGACTGTGATAATCCTCATGTCCCTGTGCTATATCTACATCGTCCATGTGAGTGTCTCATCAAACAAGTAGAAAATATCCAACTCTGAACTGATTATCTGCAAATACATCGTGTCAGCAGCGACGCTTTGTGGGCGGACTTAAAACATGCATTGTCGAGGAACGGGTATTCGATAATTTCAAGATGTTTAAGTATATTAATGTCCATTGTCATTTTAATGAGTTTGGAGCAAAGCATAAGGAGAATTCTAATTCAACTTAGTATGTAGCACGAGTTCTGATTGGTCAGTGCTATAAATTTCCGACCGTATAATCAGCATATACGGTCGCAATTTGAAAACCGATTCACCAAAACCTTTGAATGTATCCCTACACTATTGGGGTACCGCTGCTTTGCAGGACATTGTCATTTGCAGAAGCCATAGGTCAATTAACTCCCCTTTCCAGCTAAAATGGGTGGAATTTGTGTTAAAAAAGACAAAACAGTATCATAAATTTAATTTTAAGTTCAAACAACTTACTCGCAACAGGCTGTTGACCCAACACTGTTAGATCATGAAAAAAGATTTATGACGTCATTATGGAGCGTGACGTCACCTACTGTGACGTCATTTGACAACAGAACTGATAATGGCCCGTAGTTGGTGTAAGTTCAAGGAGTGATATGATTAACCTTTGACCTAGGGGAACTTTGACCTGGTTTAAATAATGAATTCCTTTCACGAAAAAACAGCTTAAAACGAGTTGAATTAGAATGGGGATAACTGTACTGTGTTTGACCAAAGACGTATATAGTTTGGCGATACCGCTATATCGGCTCCGCTTGCGCGTCGCCGATATAACTAAATTTGCGGCTATATAACCACCGGTATACGTCCCCAATTCGTCAAACACAGTACAGTTATCCCCTAAATGTTGACGCGACAGAAACTTTACACTGTGCCATATATTAGTGACGTCATGGATAATGGATGACGTCATATGACATTCTTCCACAAAATATATGACGTCATATCTTCAACTGACCAATGATCACCGAGATCTGCTCGAATGCAAAATCGGAAGGTATCCTGAAAGTTAGTAGAAACATGTACATTTTACACTGTTTCGTGTTCTGCTAAGCATGTTTATCATAGGCTGTGATGATGCATGTTTACCGCTTCACATTTCCTTTTTAAAAAGGGAATCAAAACGTCTTACACCTCTCCTAACGTTTTGAGAAGAATGTTCGAGAGAAAATTTTAATGATTTGAAGCAGCCGGAAGTGTTATATGACTGGCTGCATTTTATTGAATCCAGTTGATATGGACCTGTGACCGAGCAGGAAATTACACTGATTTGTCTGGTTAAACTATAGGCTAAAAGACTATATCCAGTGATATGACTCTAAATATTGTTGGTGTAAATGCTACTGTTTGAATTGCGATATATTAATACATATCAAATCTGGATTTCAGATGAATTCTATTATCCTGAGCGGCGAGTTCACCTCGTGACGTTTGTAGACTTCACCTGGACAGTATCAACACGATCTGCAAATTCTTCCAAGTCATTCACCATCTCTACTAGAATGTACTTGCGTTTTCAGGAGACATCCACGCAATATTGCAAAGAGTTAAAAATATTACTAATGTTTGATGTGGATTTTATATACTCAGCAGCAAAAAGAACGTCAGTACGAATTCAAAATCAGATAGGCACTGTAATCAAATCATTACAGAAATGGAAACAATAAGCGGATCAAAAACATTTTTGTGTACAATATCCTATCACATGAATGAATAACTCAGCACAATTCCAAGACATTACGTGAACGTTTGCAGTCCATTCAGACCCTTGACTTCAGTATCTAGTGTGATCACCACGAGCGGTAATAACTGCAGCACAGCCTCTATGCATGGAGTGCACCAATCGAATGATGAAGGCCACTGGCACCTGGAACCACACTCATTATTCAATCTCCTCTGAATTTCATCCCAAAGATGTTCAATTGGGTTTAAAGCACGACTAAGGGCTGACCACTGCATAATGTTGACACCGTTCTGCTGTAGGAAGTCCCGTGTAGCTCTGGCAGTATGGGCCAGGGCGTTATCATGCTGGAAAATGTTGTTCCGGTGACGTGCGAAATGTGGTATGACGTAGGGTCTGAGAGCTTGGTCGATGTAGCGCACCGCTGTGAAGCCGCCTCTTCTCCCTGGAACACCACAGGACCCACTTTCTGGTTCAGGCCTATTCCACCCCATACCATGATGCTTGCACCTCCCCATGAGTCTCTTTCCATAACACATTGGTCTGAGTAACGCTGGTCTACGACAATAGAGGTTCCCGCTGTAAGACGTCGGCGTACTGTATCAGTACTGATTGGTCTTCCGTGTGTTCCGACTGTCTGGCGTGCTGTCTGGCGAAGGGATTCTGTACGTGCTGTCGCACAACATGGCGGTCGTGTTGTCTTGTGGTCGCCCTTGGTCTGCCAGTACGGCGCCTGGCGCCTGGTTCCTCTTAGCTGTCGTGAGTCGCGGCATCATGCTGACGTTGTAATGTGAATGTTTCAACCAGGTTTGGGGGTGATTTTATGGGGCTGGTCCTTGTGAACATCACGTGCAGCATGAGTTGCATGAAAAACATGGAGAACACCGTACCATCTCCGAGATCAGGTTGCATTTTTGAGACCATTTCCTGGGTTCAATTCTGAGTTTGGGAATGAATGTCTTTGCTCAGGTAAAGTTGGAGATGTTGTGAAAATATACAATCAAAACATAAAATGAGTTTACAGTTATCCGTTTCAGCGAAGGAAAATTCCAAACTGACGTTTCTTTTCCTGCTTAGTAAATATTGATGATGATTTAATGATGTACTAGTCATGCAATACGTGCATGAATGTTGTGCAGTGCCTTTAATATTTGCAAGACGTCATGCAAATGTGTGATGTGTCAAAATGCTTATACCATTATTATGAGCTGAACATATACTCATGCCAATAATGGTTGTCATATACTCATGCCAATAATGGTTGTCACCCCCCTTTAATATTTTTTATTGGAGAGGGTGTGTTGGGTTTGGGGTGGGGAGGGGGGTGACAACCATTATTGGCATGAGTATATTTAAACAGACTGGGCTAGAAGAAGTGGCTGATACATAGATACGATCATATGATAAACAGTCGAGGCTCAAGCTTGCAGTCTCAAAATCTAATCCTGGTCTGTTTCGATTTATTAGATATATTTCAGAAATGAAAAGAGAATCTGACTCTCCGATCTGTTCAACGTAACATCGATATTTTTTATCCACAGGTCACATACGAACCACGGATGAATCTCTAATATCTAAACGGCCAGTAGCTAGTATCAAAACGTTTAGATTTTGTCTTTCGTTGGATTTATGATTTTCTATAACTTTATAATTACATTCCATGTGAATAAAATGGTTGAACATATTAACTGTATTCGCATATTCCTGGACTAGTTTCACTAGGTAGCATCACCACACGGCTATGTTAGTAGGTGTTTTGGTTTGAAAGCCGTGAAGGTCCGGGTTAGAATTGGTCTTCAGTAACCCATGCTTGTCGTAAGAGTCGACTAACGGGATCGGGTGGTCAGGCTCGATGACTTGGTTGACACATGTCATCGTATCCCAGTTGCGTAGATCAATGCTCATGCCGTTAATCACTGGATTGCCTTATCCAAGCTCGATTATTTACAGACCGCTGCAAAATAGCTGAATATTCCTGAGTGCGGCGTTAAACAACAAACTATACAAACTTTTGGGTTGAGACACGGGTCGGATAATCGTTACTCTGAGACCCTGTTAAGCGACTATTCTGACGGTGGAGACCGTGTTGTGAAGCAAGTACTGGCAAGGTTCCATATCGGGGAGATCGGTCTATGGAGCAATGCCTTGCGGGGTTAATAATCCGTGAATTAAACACAGGGGGCGCTGTTTAAGGCAAGATCCTGTTACAGAGTACCTGGACTGTCAATGCTACAATGTTTTATACAAGTTCGTATCAATTTCATCCTGCTATATTTCAGCTTGATAAACAAACACAAATTCTGTAACTATTTGTAAAGAAAAAGGAACTTTATGTTCGCATTCTTAGTGTTATTTGCTTTTGAGCATGTGGATGGGAAACCTATCGTATCTAAACGACTTCCAGCACAGAGAATACTGATCCCCGGGATTTCCGTCGTCCAATGGCCTGGTATATCTGTAGACTTAGTCTCGTCGCCATATGGCTGAAATAATGCCAGTGCGACGTTAGAATTTTACTCACTCACTCTCAAGGAGTGCAGTTCGTTATGCCTTACATTCCGTATGGGGGCGGTAGGGTAGCCTAATGGTTAAAGCGTCCGCTTGTCACGCTAAAGGTCTGGGTGCAAAGCCCATTTCTAGTGTCCCCCTGCCGTGATATTGCTGGAATATTGCTAAAAGCGGAGTAAAATCATACTCACTCATTACATTCCGTATGATCAGAGGTTGAAGCCAAGATTCGCTCGGATTCTAAATATTTGGTTGTCAATACCATACCCGTCAGGCGGTAATATGTGCGACACTTCGAGTCTGTAAATAATCGAATCTGGACCAGACAATCCAGTGATGGATATCATGAGTGCATCGCTTTATGAATTCCGTTCACATCAATCTGGCTCACCTAGAGCTGAAATACTGCTCACAGCGGCATGAGACTCTCACTCACTCACTCACTCACTCATTTTTGATTGGCATTTAGCAGTTAAAAATTAGAGTGAAATATAACCTCCCCATCGTAAGTAACTTAATCATAACGATTCATATATTAAAGGGCACGTTATCAATTCATCAAAAAGTAATATACAAAAACAATATCACATTACACCGTGAAATAGCGATATTAAGAGTTGCGTTAAACAAAATTCTCTGAAGCACCCACTTATTTTTTGTATTGGTGCTACCAACTCGTTCACAGACAACGTTGTCATATAGATCGCGGTAGAGGAGTTACCCGATATAGAGACTGATCAATCACAAGTCATGGTTCGTGTTCAGCTACAGTCAACGGGGGGTCGGAGACGCTACTTCAATCGACATAACTCTGTTGTGAATGTGAAGGGTTATTTTCATATAGTCAAGGGTCCTTCTCGACGATTTACATTCGAATTATTGATGATGCTTAATGACAAAGTAACATATAGTTTGATATAAATGTTGAACACGTAAGTGTAAAATACACTTTACAGGCGAATAAATGAATAACTCTTACTGAATAAAGCTTAGAGAAGGACGAAGAATTGAATAATGCTTAACGAAGAAATGAATAATGCTTAACGAAGAAATGAATAATGCCTAACGAAAAAATGAATAATGCTTAACGAAGAATTGAATAATGCTTAACGAAGAAATGAATAATGCTTAACGAAGGAATGAATAATGCTTAACGAAGAAATGAATAATGCCTAACGGAGAATTTAATGCCTAAAGAAGAATTGAATAATGCTTAACGAAGAATTGAATAATGCCTAACGAAGGAATGAATAATGCTTAACGAAGAAATGAATAATGTCCAAAGAAGAATTGAATAATGCTTAATGAAAGAATGAATAATGCTTAACGAAGGAAGGAATAATGCCTAAAGAAGAATTGAATAATGCTTAACGAAATGAATAATGCTTAACGAAGGAATGAATAATGCCTAAAGAAGAATTGAATAATGCTTAATGAAAGAATGAATAATGCTTAACGAAGGAAGGAATAATGCCTAAAGAAGAATTGAATAATGCCTAACGAAGAATTGAATAATGCCTAACGAAGAAATGAATAATGCTTAACGAAGAATTGAATAATGCCTAAAGAATAATTGAATAATGCCTAACGAAGAATTGAATAATGCCTAAAGATGAATGAATAATGCTTAACGAAGAAATGAATAATGTCTAAAGAAGAATTGAATAATGCTTAATGAAAGAATGAATAATGCTTAACGAAGGAAGGAATAATGCCTAAAGAAGAATTGAATAATGCTTAACGAAATGAATAATGCTTAACGAAGGAATGAATAATGCTTAACGAAGAAATGAATAATGCCTAAAGAAGAATTGAATAATGCTTAATGAAAGAATGAATAATGCTTAACGAAGGAAGGAATAATGCCTAAAGAAGAATTGAATAATGCTTAACGAAGAATTGAATAATGCTTAATGAAGGAATGAATAATGCCTAACGAAGAAATGAATAATGCTTAACGAAGAATTGAATAATGCCTAAAGAATAATTGAATAATGCCTAACGAAGAATTGAATAATGCCTAAAGAAGACTTGAATAATGCTTAACGAAGAATTGAATAATGCTTAATGAAGAAATGAATAATGCTTAACGAAGGAAGGAATAATGCTTAATGAAGAAATGAATAATGCCTAAAGAAGAATTGAACAATTCTTAACGAAGAATTGAACAATGCTTAATGAAGGAATGAATAATGCTTAACGAAGGAATGAATAATGCTTAACGAAGAAATGAATCATGCCTAACGGAGAATTGAATAATGCCTAACGAAGAATTGAATAATGCTTAACGAAGAATTGAGTAATGCTTAACGAAGGAATGAATAATGCTTAACGAAGGAATGAATAATGCTTAACGAAGAAATGAATCATGCCTAACGGAGAATTGAATAATGCCTAACGAAGAATTGAATAATGCTTAACGAAGAATTGAATAATGCTTAACGAAGAATTGAATAATGCCTAACGAAGAAATGAATAATGTGTAATGTGGTCATTGATTGACATTTTTTAATAGAACCCGAAAGTGCTTTAAACTTTTGAGACGCTCCCCACGTGCACCCTGCAACAAACAGGTGCGAGGCCCGTCTCAGGTAGCAGGCTTCCGGGCTACTCCAAGTTTACCTATGTGATCTACATGACACGATACTTTCGTGCGGGGAGCTTCGTGTCACGTGACACACCTAAAGACCCAGGTGGATTATGCCTGTCCGCGGAGGAACGCCGGAGAAGTAGATTAGTCTGATAGTGGTGTACCGTTGTACGGGAGACAGCCTACATTCAGCGTTAACATAATTACCGTTACTTCATGGTAAGGGATTTTTGGATCTATCAGATCAATGGTCAGCATTTGTGGAGATCTTTCAAATTTGTGATATAAGTGTATTTAGAGAAGAACGTTAATTCCGTTAACGCTGCCAAATTCTGATAAGACTCAAAACTCCTTGGGTTTCTTTAACGAGACACGCACGACGAAAATTCCAGCGAGGTTTGGATTAGTTCAATACAAATGAGATTATAAGTCTCATTTCGGGAGAAGCGAATCAGCTGGGTCTCGAGGCAATGTTTGTTTTCGGATTTAAATCCAGCCGACCGAAGTCTGTGTACTAATCAAACACCATCATGACATTTCAGTTGTGAAATATCTCAGTATCAATCTATCACCGCGACATATTTTGTTGTTGACATTGACAACATTTTTCTCTGTTTGCATAGTTGTCAGGGAGGTCAACGGTGTCAGTTGTGCCCGGTGTGTGAATCGTCGACTTTACTCTTCTGTACCCCACAAACCGGCGTTCGACATCAACTAACAATATGTCGGCTGTTGCCATGGTAATGAGAACAAATGTACATAACAAGTCTATTCAAAAGGAGTTCCTCAGCAAGTTAACGGAATATATGGCCAAACTCTTCGGCATTGAGACCAAGGTAAGCCAGAGGGAAAACGTGGAGTGAATGGATAGTGGGTGAGTGAGTGAGAGGCGAGAGTCCTTCCCCTTCAACCCTCAATTTCAAGTGCGTGAGTGAATGGATAGTGGGTGAGTGAGTGAGTTTTGGCTTAAAGTGAGAGGATTTGACGTGATCTTAGACAGAACTTAATCACTTTGGGCAAACCTACTGGAGGGTAATGGTGCGTACAAACTGAGGTTTATCAAGATCATTTTGGTCATCAGATCCTGGCAAGCCCAAGGGACGCGACTCTGGTTAACCAATTGCTAAACATTTCTATGTGAACCTTTCGCAGTCTGTACCACCGATAGCAAACACAGTTTTACATGCTAATATATGGAGTGTAAATTCAACCTTATATGTATTTACACCAGCGGTTAGTCACGTGGACTACATATATGTACAGTCTGCAATTTCGTCTGGTGATCTCTTTACAACGAGCTCTTTTCATCAACAGAAGAGAGAAATATATCACCATCTACTTATCATATCTTGTTTGTTTCATGTTTAGACATTATCAAAAAGAGGATTACGCTTTCTTATGCAGTTTAGATCAGGGTATGCCTTACTGAACACATGGCAAACCACGTGGGTCAACTAAGGTAAATGTTATGGTATGTGGGTGGACTGTTAATCACTGATCAGTATACCCGTGTTAACATAACCAGTGGGGCGGTGGGGTAGTCTAGTGGTTATAGCGTTGGCTCGTCACGCCGAAGACCCGGGTTCGAATCCCCACATGGGTACAATGAGTGAAGCCCATTTCTGGTGTCCCCCCGTCGTGATATTGCTGGAATATTGCTAAAAGCGGCGTAAAACCAAACTCAGTCAGTCAGTAACAGAACCAGTTCAGTCAGGTACCGTTACTAAACGTAGTGCTACAATGAATGAGCCTTTAATATGTATGTACAGGGGGCATTCTGATTTGAATATGCATACAGAATTATCAGATAACTGTCTTGAAATATGTATAAATATGACACTTGTTTTGGATTATGGACAAAGAAAGTTTGTCTTGTGATCATGCCATTAAACAGGTTGGAAACTTCTTACCCATGTGAAGATAACTTCAAACAAAACTATCGCTAGTCTGTGTTTGATTCTTCAAACTTCCTTTGAAAATCTAATTTCTGTATTTCGTCGTCTGTGACGTCATTAAACAATCGAACGTGACGTCAATGAATAGGGCCATTACACTTACTCACGGTGTTTTACTGCACAAATGTACATGAATAAAATGGATAATAAAGAAATCATTACACTCGAGCACATGTGTCATACGACTTATACAAAACTCGTGCAAAATTATGTACTGCCCTCGCTCTCGCGATACCAAATTTCACACTCGTCTCATATAAGTTGTCTGACACATTTGCTCGTGTAACAATCTCTAATATCATCCCACGCCGGATAAATGAAATGACACCACTATGCTTTGAAGACAACTGTGACATTATCAGTTACAATGACGTCACGGTCAAATTAAATCCGTGGGTAATATCTCTGCTGTTCTTTTTGCTCCAAAGACATTGGTTAATGTGTTTACACACTGAATGAATTTTTTTTGTTATAAACACAAATTGTGATATAAAGAAAAATGTCTTATAAGTTGTGATGGTATATCAAAAGCAACTCGGAGGAGACTCATCCAGGAACAAGATCCCACGCAAGGCAATAACACTGGATATTCAGTCTCGTGTACAATGTCATTCATGTTCATTCGGGTCGAGTGCATTCTGGCAGTCGTAATCCCTGCCAGTATATCACTATTGACTGCTGTCGAGCTGACAGTTCATGCAAGTCAGTACGGTCGACAACGTTCTTTACACTGGTAATTTCAGTAACTGTATTATTGTGCTGGGCCGAGCGCCGGGTTATCAATATGTCATTGGCAAGTATATCAGTGTCATGCTGTACAGTGGGATTAAGCCTAACCCAAGCTCACACAACGATCAGCTATACAGGAGGTTCCCGACCTGTACCATATACATAGACTCGTGGCGTTTGTTATTTTTGTCCCCACATGAAAATGTCAAATAAACTGACGTCCAAAAGAAAGTATACACCCTTGTTTGATCGTTGTGGAATTGCAACGAACTAGGAATTGTTATTCGACGATGATGTATTTGATACGGGTATAAGAGTGAGTGAGTGAGTATGGTTTTACGCCGCTTTTAGCAAAGTTCCAGCAATATCACGGTGGGGGACTCCAGAAATGGGCTTCTCTCATTGCATCCATGTGGGGAATCGAACCCGGGCCTTCGGCGTGACGACCGAACGCTTTAACCACTAGGCTACCCCACCACCCCACGGGTATAAGAAGCATCATATTAATGAGTATCTCACAGCATGGGACCGTTTAGCAGCGTCCGTATTGTTAAGTCAAGTGTTTTCAAGGGCACAGTTTCTGTACGCATTTATCCACGGGATTTGATGTGCAGTCTGTGATTCAAGTAAACTACGTTTATAACGAACAGACGGATATATCGACATGTTTTGGTCCCGGCCACTTGGTGTATATTTAATCGAAATACATATAACGAACTATGGTCATTCGAGTTCGTTATAACCGTAGTACTTGATAAAGGTATCAAGTTATATTGTGTTGAGTTTGATATTTCACTTTCTGATGCGAGAGTAGCGCGTATTTAAGAGGTACCAAATTAGTACCTTCCAATAAGGGCTACCAGATCCAACTTTTACCAGCCTGAAGGGAATATTTATAAGCGCCCCCAACTAAGCCCGAAATGTTTTTCTTGTGTCTTGTACAGACCTCTTTACAGAGAACAGCAGTGTAGAAGTGTTACATAAATTCCCAGTAGCACTGTTTCAGAAAAGGCTTTCGATTCATCAACATGTAAGCCAAGTTTGTTCTCTACCGTTATCACTGCGAATACGGTAGCATGACTGTCTGCCTGCCTTTCGAAGTCTATGTGAGACAAGTCCATCTTATCAGGGGTCGGTAATGGTTTGGTGATTTGTGCACAGTTCCTTTACACCCGACAATCTAAGCCTGACAATGGATGTGTGTGAAACGAATAAGAAACATGCTAATCACACACAACCAAGTGTTGAAACAGTAACTGTCATTTGAGAACATAAGTCCTACGTTACTGATGCACAACAGTCTCATGACAGCTGAGTTGGTACTTAATGATCCAATGGATAATAAACTTGTCTAAACACGCCACTTAGCTTATTTTAACAGTAGACACAAGTATTTAAAACACAGTTTGAGCATCTCATATATTTTTTCTAAAAACTGGGGATGGGTAGGTGATGAGATAAAACATTATGTTGCATTACGTATACTACCTGGCAAAAGAAATTAGCGTTATCAAACCCTCACAAGGTTGAAACCAGTCTCCGAAACATTGCAACTTAGGTCTATGTATACATGTGCGGTATAAAGGAACACCTATTATTATACAGATGATATGGCCATGATCGCGAGGATGGTTACCGGAAGTCACGTTGTACCTACCGCGAAATCAAGTGGCGAACATATATCATTCATATTGGAACATTAGATTCTGGAGCAGATATGTAGACCATGTCACTTTGTTGAAAGTGGATAAGGCAATCAGTGACTTCTTTCTTTCTTGTTGAATAATAGGTCATTTATCCATTGTCATAGGTGTTTGGTCAGTGCTAACAGAGCGACAGGTGTTATGTTACTGACACATGAACACACCGGGTTTAGCCAAATATTCGAAACAGCAATAAGCCGATCGTGACAGCCATGGGATACTACTCTTTGCTACAAGTCCCATTACCTCCATCTAGTGGGCGACTCAGGCCAACAGTTAGCTGGCATGGAGATGTACTCCTATAACTACACAGCTAACAAAAAACATGAAACACCCTTTCCAATAATTATATCATATTTGAGCCTGTAGTATTTCAGACCCGTGAAGATCCGGTGTAGAATAGGTCTTCAGCAACCCATGTGCTTGCCATAAAAGGTTGACACGTCATCGGTTCCCAATTGCGCAGATCGATGCTCATGCTGTTGATCACTGGATTGTCTGGTCCAGACTCGATTATTTACAGACCGCCACCATATAGCTGGGATATTGGGGAGTGCGGCGTAAAACTAAACTCACTAACTCACTGTAGTATTTCAATCACATCCCACTGTTTGTTTAGAATGTGACCATGGAGCTCCACCTGGAGGCACTGATGATGAGAGCAGGATCCACTGCACCCATGATGAACATTGACCTCCACCATAACAGTAACCGGGCCAACCAGGAAAACAAACCACAGCTCGCATCAGACATCGCCACGTTCATATCAGCTCAGATCAGGATACCTGAGGATAGGTGAGCTATGTTTTGTGAATTGCAGATGAGCTATATTGCTGGGTGAATTGAAGGTCAGGACAGTGTCCTTCTTGGCAATGGGTTACATGTATGCTGCTGGGAAATGTGCAAGCATGGTGGGAAAGCACCCTTGAATTAAGTTCTTAGATCAATTGGTATCAGGGCAGCATCTCTGGGCAGAAAGTGCTAGGTAAACTGTAGGGCTGAATGTCCCTAGACAAGGTGACCTGTTGTAAAATAGGTTAACAGTACTTTCAATCTTCCCATGCTTGTCAGCAAAAGAGGACCATTGGCCACTCCTGGCAACTAAGCCAGTTGCATCCTATTGGATGGTGTGTTTTGCTACTGTCTGGGCCATTCATTACTTTTTAAAAGTCTTGATGTAACTAGTACTGCTTTGGGGTTACACATTATAGTCACTCACAGTTTCCATGTTTTCTTTGCAGGATACTGGTGCTGTTCTTTGATACACGGAAATGCACATGAGAATACAGCACTCGTATCAATACATCCATGAATCCCTCTTCCAATGGTGGTGTTATGTACTGAATCTACATAGTGCCTGCCTTAATAATTATGAAACTTGCCAAAAAGTGACATATCCCATTGAACCCAATCTTGTTTTTGTTGTATCCAGTCACAGATTTTATGTATTCTTAAGATTGTAGATTCATTTAGCTGAACCTGAATGTTAATATATTTTATAACATTGTCCTGAAACTTCAGTAACCTTGGAATGGCTACATTCTGTGTAATGAAATAAAATAAATTCTTATTTCAACATTTAATGAAAACACAACAGTTGATGTTGAATCTTAGCTCATAAATCTGAATTTCTGATTCCAATGTTTTATATATTAAAAGTTGAGGTTGTAAACAAAAATCTCAATCTTATGTTTGTTGTGCTAAGCCACCTTTAGTCAGCAAAGTTTCAGTTACCTGTTGCAGACTACTCAAAATAAGTCAAAAACACCCACAATCTTGGAAGAGTGTTGAACACTGAGAAATAACTACAATTGTATGAAAATATGGGCGTTCTTGAACATATTTGAGCAATATATTTCTGACTATCTCATGTCTAGGTCATTCTTCAAGAGCTGAGATTGCTTTGTAAATAAGGCCCCATTGCCTACAAGAAAGAGTACCAGCAACATCACAGCCAATAGCTGGTCCTCAAGAGCTACCTTATTTGTCACAACTCACATCACAACCTTAAACAGCTAAGAAGAAAGGACCAATGAGAACCCCCCTGTTTTGCACTTACTTTTAGCGGGCAAAGTAATAAACAAAGTTTACTAAAAAAAAAAGGTCTGGCCTTAAAAGTGAGGGATGTCCCCAAACACTAACAGTGCTGATTTACCACACAGACTCTGTTAAGGGGCTCACTCAGGAACATCACCTCAGGAACCAATAAAAAACAACACATAACCTCAGGCAGACCTTCACAGAAGACAAACAAATCATATTCTGTACAAAGTTTAATTACAATTCATAAAATGTATGAACACATTGAGTAGTATGGGTGTTTCAAAAGCAACGAACAAATGTCATTACTTGAACAGATGACAGTACAGGGAACCCTCACATGTGAGGGTCCGACATCTCACACAGCTAAGAGTATTACTAGGGCATTACCCCTGCCAATATCAGCACAGAGGCTCAGAAAACCATTCAGTATCTTGTAACTGATGACTCTTTATTACTGTTACAAATTTATCAATATTTCAACTAAATTTTTCTGTTAATTTTTCACAATTAACCAATAACATATTTTGATATATTAAAATATTTTAATGATTTCAATTTGTTACTGTTTGTCATATAGGTAATATTTTGGAAGCTTTCAAAACCAAGTTCACCTTTTAGAATAAACAGTGTGATTAATGTCAAATCCTCCCTTCATTGGTTCCCTTGATGAATGACATGAAAAATACACTTGGAAAAAACTAAACATATTCATTTTCACATGTCCTGAAATTTTGGAGTTTAGTTATTTTTGCAATGAATACATATGACAATGATCACCGATTAACAGTTGGTTCAAGAACACTTTCTCTTCAATATCATTTAGTGTTGACATAGAACAATTACAATCAAATTCATTGTCAGTAATTCAAAGTATGTCACAATACAAACAAAAGTCCATGTGATTTGTCAAAATTAAAGCTTGATATGTTTAAAACATCCATGGCTGTCTAACTTGGAAATACAAACCATGAGGTGCTTAATTATTTTCCAAGTGTATAGTTCGCCTTCCAAATATTGCTTGTTTACTGTGTTTTAGGTACTGAACACAGATCCATGTAAGACATGTCAACAAAAACATGTCTGTAACAACTTCATGGAGACATACAACCAAACTGATGATCTGAGCATTTATAGAATTCATACACATTCACCAAGTTCTAATGTAAGTTTCAGGTATTCCTTGCACCCAGATGAGGTTAAAAAAGAAATATGTATTCAAAACTGACTGAAAATACAAATGCAAAAAAATGAACACGTCTGTAAATGTAACAGAAGAAATAATAAACTCTGTATACATCAAATGCTCAGACTATGCAATAATTAATATAAACATAAAATGTTTAAATGGTATTTTTCAAAATGTCATACTCAATTCATATTTATTTTTCATATTCATCTGTAACATTAATAAAAAAATACCCCCACTTTTCATATCATCAAAGCTTTATATGGCACATTGTTCAATGACAAGCAGTGTTCCTTTTTCCACGGTGATCATAGCACTGCTGATACTTCCAAAAACCTTTTTAAAACACTATCATGACAATAAAAGAACACATAAGATGCACTTATTAAAGTAAAAAATGATAGTTCTTCAAGAGAACTTACTTATCACACATACATACGAACATAGGGTCTAGTCAATGAAAAAAATAACTTCATAAAGATGTAAAAATGCACAACTGCCAATGAAACGATAAATGTCCCCCTTCAATGAATCCTTTTCATAAAGTTAGAGATTTGATCTAAACCCTCTTTATAATGATGATTATGAAAGTAAACTTGTTAAAAGCAAATCTAAGGATACTGCATTAGTTTTCTGAGTGAGTTTGGTTTAACACCAATCTTAGCAATATTCCAGCAAATATCATGGCAGGGGAGACCAGAAATGGGATTCACACATTGTACCCATGTGGGGAATCGAACCCAGGTCTTCAGCGTGACGAGCAAATGCTTTAACCACTAGGTTACCCAACCGCCCTGCATAAGTTTTCTGAAACACTAAACCACATCTAAGATTTCAGCTCCATGTAGAAGGTAAGTCCAAACTGACATGCCTTGGATGTTTACCATTTTAGAGAAGTCTATATAAGTGTGATTCAAACAAAACAAGCATATAAATCAGAGCAAATCTTGGATTGAAAAAAAAGAGGCAGAATCAAGCAGAGTGCTCTAAACTGCTCAGCCACCCATGCCCTGACCAGTTTGGGGTCATATCAAAAGATGACTGAAGCGACAAGGAAAACTCAAGAACCCCAATAGTAAAATCACAAGCTACGAGCTATCTAGGAGCAACGAGTGTATCCATGTGAGGATTCAACCTGTGTACCACCCTTCTTACAGACAAAAAGCATGAAACTCTTCTCACATTACCATTGACTTTCATATGTAGTAATAGCTTCACATCATACCACAAGAGTGAGTGAGTGAGTTGAGTTCTACGCCACACTCAGCAATATTCCAGCTATATGGCAGCGGTCTGTAAATAATCAAGCCTGGACCAGGCAATCCAGTGATCAACAACATGAGCATTGATCTGCGCAATTGGGATACGATGACATGTGTCAACCAAGTAAGCAAGCCTGACCACCGGATCCTGTTAGTCGCCTCTAACGACACACATGAGTTACTGACGATCAATTCTAACCCGGTCATACCACAAGGGGATGTAACTAAATGTTTTTATACAGAGAGAGGTAGGTATGAATGATACACTACCTACTGTTTGACATGTATTCAACATCAAAGGTACACCAGAATCATAATTCACATTACAATAAATTCCTAGACCATATAACATACACCTAACGTTTTACAAAAATGGACAAATTGACATGGAAAACATAACAACCGTAACAGTATTTTATGACTGAGGTCTCAGAAACATAACCAGATATTACTGAATAATTGAATGTCAATCTAAGATTGCAGAAACAGGCAAAATACATTCATTATTTCAGGATAGACAGAACACTTCAAAATGAAAACTAATCTTGGGTCCACTTACAAATGTGTTAAGACTAATAATATTCCCTGTTTAGATCCATTATTGCATCATTTGATCAAAATGATAATAAATCTCAGTTTAAGGATGAATAGAAGTTGAGGTGTTGTATCTCCTGAGGGGCAGATCATGGCAAGAAGTGGTGTAGCATAGATAGTGGGGAGTTTGTGACTCAAGGTATTTTACATGCATACTGACCAGTGTGGCAAAAACTGGCTGTCCACACCACTGATGCTAAAATCTCTGTCTAGCTAACCCATGGCTATCTGCAGAGTGAGATGGGGCATAAAGCTGTGTTGTAACATTTAAGTAAAAATGAATGTACAGATTTGTAGTGATCCTCACTAGGCTGTAGACATTTATAACCAGAGAAACCCCCAGCATAACTTTGGCACTGACAAATTAAGAATCAAAAGTGATTATGGGGTTCAAAAGCTTAGGCAGATCCTGAATGATTAAGGAGCAAAACACTGCACAGCAAATTGTACTGCCGAAAAACATTTGGCCAACTGTGTATAAGTAAGTTTTACTGGCTATTAATGTGCATTCTAATCCCATACCACTCAAAATAGCATCTTACAAAGGAGTATGGTGCATTAGCATGAATTATTAAAGTGAAGTACAAGTGTGTGTATGAAACTGCAAGCTGACAATGGCTGCTTTGCAACATTATAAGAACAAGACCAGCTAGTTCTGTATTGTGATTTTATTCATAAAGCTTTTCAATTCATCTGAACCACACCAAAAGGTAGTCCTGGGAATAGAACTGCAATCTCTACATGACAAGTGAGAGCACTATCTACTTTCCCAATGTACCATGAACTCAATGGCTACATATATGTTACTGACAGGGTGTGTCAGATGATGACAACTCACAAACGTACGTCCTACTAAAACCATAGAAGGCCCATTCACATCATTACGAGCCAACTACATGCCTAAGCCATGGAGGCATTTATTACACCCACTAACTCATCAATGATCAAAATGGGATGAGTCTATAATCTCTCTTATCATGAAAATATGAATCCAACACACAACAAATTCAGTGAGTAAACCATTTTGTACCGTGAATGTCATGAATTCCTACAACCACAACTGGTGCATTTACCATAACAACCAAAGACAAATTACAGCATATAAACAGTTGGTGCTTACAACACAGCTATTTCTTCAAAATGACAATCCACTCTATCCAAATAACAATGTCTGAAGAGATGAGTACAAATTGGTACATGGTATTGAATTCTTTTAAAATGCTGCCATTACCTAAGCTTTCCCTGAAGCAACTAACAATGTAACTCTGTCAAGAGTAGCATTTTGATGTATAAAGTACTTGTCTGGTATTTACATGGTGGTTTTTTCCATTTGGCATTAACATCTGAATCAGGACATCAAATATACATAGATATCTGTCTCTATAACATATTGAAATTGTGAATATTCTCATCAATGTTGCTTGCTGTATCACATTATTTTTGTTCATGTTTTCCACACACACATTATTTTGGTAAAACATAATCTTCAGCTGAATCTAAAAGATGCTTTTTCATGCTTCTTTATTCAAATCTGCTATGTACAGTCTTATCATACTTTTTCTTGAGAAAAAGGAAGGATTTTGTATGTAAAAAATCTCACTTAATTCAACAGTAATGACTGAAGCGAGCATGCAGCCAAGATGGACTACCAATGGTATTCAATAACCCTCCCTTAACATGAATGTCCACCTAAAGCATCATTCAGCATTCAGAGCCATTTCTTTCAGATTTAATCCAGACTCTTCAGCAAACATCCCCTGGAATCTTATCCACATCTCCATCCCAAACAGCACTACTGCACAATAACTTCAACTGCATATATAACAACCATGTATGATGGGTCAGTATGTATTTGATACACACATTACACTGCAGCCACGAGTCAATGCTGATTCAGCACTTTTACAACTCAACACAGGAAAGCTTAGAACAATGAGCAAGTCAGATGGCCTCTTTCTGGTCAATATGTCTAACAATCCAGTAACCTTCAGTTATTGTTTAGGGTAGTGATGATTCACAAATGCATCCCAAAGCATATCACAACACCCCAAACATCTGTCCAACTGAAACAACTACTTTTCATCCAGAAACAGTGCACATACAAACAGGCCATTCTCAAACAAAGTGATATGAAAATGTTCATCAACATGTGACAAAAAATACCCCCAACCTAACCAAGTCATGACACAATGTAACAATTTATCTAAGTCAATGGCTATATTGACAAATGACTGTTTGATCTGCTGTCGTGAGATTCACACTACTGTGACATTCTCGCTAATACTGTGTTTTCTTCATCTATGTAAACATGAAGGCACCATCGATGATAGAAAATTAGGTATACCTGTCTCAAGAGGAAATGTCTGTACACAAAAATAAAATACTTTGTGTGTATGTATGTACAACATATACAAAACTTGTTACGACGAGTCTTGGTCCTGCTCGTCTGTTATCACAGAGGTCATTTCTTCTTGGAAGATGAACTGGGATAATTAAGGAAACACACAGGAGAACAATGGAGAATACATAGTGAAAATAATTGTGAATGAGTTTGCTTTTATCACTGCTTTTAACTCTATTTCATCTATATTATCTAAATGAGAGGTCAAAGTGAAAAACAGGTTGCATAAATTTTCCATTTTTGGGAATTGCTTTTCAAGGTGATGAAAACCTCCGAAAGAAAAGCAAGGCAAAATGGGGTTCAAAAACGTCATCTAAGGGACATATTTTTGCCAAACAAGAAGCACTATCTGAGATGACTGGGCTAACTTTGCTGCCAAAGTAAATATTGAATGAGTTGTATTTGGTAATCTTCCTAGATATCTTTGTGTCTATCATAGGACATCAGCCTGATGTGTCCCAAATGATAGATTTTCCCTCTTTTGTGAAATTCAAGAGAATTTTTAGAAAGCTAATAAACCAAGGATCATGGTTACAGCAATTCCTGGATTTGAACTCAGGGGTGGGGTTTTACTCCACTTTTAGCAATATTCCAGCAATATCACGGCAGGGGACACCAGAATTGGGCTTCACACATTGTACCATGTGGTTAATTGAACCTGGGGCCTTTGGCATGATGAGCGAACACTTTAACCACTGGGCTACCCCAACATCCCCTTGATCAGCTGATCTTGGTACCACAAAGTACTGTAACTCTACTGTATACACTGTACTGTACTGTACTTTTGAAAATGGATACAAAAATTTCAATTTCACAGTTTAGTGTTAAATTGTTACATCAATTGACATTGTCATCCATCATGAGTATTGTCTTTTTTCTTGCATCAACATGATACAAACAGTGTCCTACCAGTGTTTAAGGATACGTTTTCTCTTTTTTCACTTTGACTTTAGACTTGGCTGGGGACTCGTCAGAATCAAAGACTTCCTGTGAACAAATGTTACAGAATAATCAACCATAACAACTATAAACAGTTCATATTTATGTACATTCTATACAATAAATTCATTATAACAAATATGAACATCATACATTAATTTCTTCTGCTCCCCTAAAAGATATGATATGAGTTAATTTCAACCACTGCCCATTTCACAGAAGTCAATAAAACACTATTTCTTGCTTACTGAAATGTTAACAAATAAACTGATTGACCCAACTATCATGGCAAGTTGTCTCAAAATGAAGAAGCTGCTACAAACCCTATTGCCACGCCTTGGCATGGATGGACTGGATCTCTCCCAGCTGTGTTCCCGGCTCCTGCTGCGTCTCCGATCGGGTTCACCATTCAGCTTGGACGTTTCTGTGAAGAGAAGCATGAGAGTCAGAAGGGCACAATGCCATGTGTAGAAATATTCCAGCCATTTCACAGCATTAGATGCTAACGATTCACACACACCATTCATGGAATCAGATCTAGCAATTTGGCATGATCTTTTAATGCTTAACTTATGTGAGTTAGTGAAAAGGGTCTTAAATCACTTCAAGCAATATTCCAATATCACGGCGAGGAACACCAGCTATGGGCTTCACACCTTGTACGAGCGTACCCATGTGGAAAATTGAACCTGGGTCATTGTTGTGACAAGCGAACGTTTTAAGCACTAAGCTATCCCAAAGACTGAGTGAGTGAGTGAGTGAGTGGTGGTTTTAGAGCATCTCAACAAATATTCCAGTATTATCATTGCACAGGTCACAAATACATTGTTGCAAAATATATTTGCTTTAAAAAAATATAGGCTGAAAATTTATGAACTTTTCTCTCACATCAGTGGGTCCCTCAGTGTTTCTTTACTTTTCATCACGATATCATGACTTGCCTAGGATCTGAAGATTGAAGCCTTTACCTCAATAGCAGGGAGTTTGTTTGCTTAATGCAGCTTTGAACAGTATACCAGTTTATCAGTGTAGCACCTTAATCAGAACTAAGGGACTGTTCATTATTCATGGCTAGGGGGGTTGATGATGATTTTTATGGAGAAGCTTGTCCAATGTGAATGACCACCCCCAACCCCCCTGCCTAACATTAATGTACAAAGTGACTCCACTCCCACATGTCATGTACAAAATCTATGACACCCATCTTCCCATAATTTTTTAGCATAATTTCATAATATTTTATGTACAAAACTGATGAACACCCCCACCCCCCACGTGCATATAGACAAAGTTGATGTCCCCAACCCCGAACAAACTGGTGGCTACCCCTTAAAATCATCAAGCCATAAATTATGAATGTTCCCTAACTAACGTATTGACAACTGGTGGTGAGGAGTCTCAGCATTTTATTGAATGCGGTTTATTGTCACAACAATCTTTATTTCTGTTGCTTGAAATTAAAGGAGTCTGTGGATGAAACAAGTGAAACTTTCCATTTCATTGTAGTACTGGTCATGAGAATCAATATCAGCTCACTACCATCATTCACTCCACCTCATCCTAATTGCAGTGAAGTATAAATAGCTGTGTGAGGGGAAGAAGAGTGAGGGGAGAGTTCTTTATCAACAACATCCTGAGCCATTTCTGGAGATTTAAACATATGCTTGCATCTTGATATCATCAACATGGTCACTATTTTTGAAAGGGTAGAGGCTTGTTCCATTTGGACCCTGGCCTATACAATTCCAAAAAGTGGGAAAGATAAGTCAACGTAAGATGGAAGAGAAGTACAGATTATGGCCATTGTTTTGATCAGATTTTGATTTGGAACATTCACAAAAACTCAAACTTAACCCCTTTGTTCATGCACTTGTCCAACATGGATCATGTTTAGTAGTCAATATATAAGTAAGGCTAAATAAAAAAAAAGTTGTGGTTCCAATTACATCTCTTAAAAATTTAGGGTAGGTAGGTAGGAATTTAAAAAAAATTTACATGTTTTTTTTTTAGAAGGTACTAAAACCATATGTATCAATGTGTAATTGTTTATTCAACCAAGCTTGCTGCCATCATGTTGACTTTCTCTATCAGAATGACCGATATCTGTCGGTGCCGGGAAAAACAATGGTATCTGAAAGCTTATTTTATTCAGTGCGCTTAAAAAAAATAGGGTTGGTACCAGAATTTAAGGGCTGGTCGGTAATTAGACCCACAACATTCTTTTTGTGCCGAAGGGAAAGTATATTCTGAAAGAAGCTGCAAATAATGAAGACACCTAAGATGGGAAATAAAAGGCATAAAACCATATTCACTTAAACAAGATAATACTGCATTACTTCGCCATGTGACTTACTCTCCCTACATTGTTTCATTGTATACCAAAACAAAATTCCCTCGTTCATTTCAAAATATTTTTTTAAAAGTTTTGTCACAAGAGCCAAATGATCAGGATATAATGTGTGACTTGCCTGCCCTGACATGGATCAGTGGTTATCAATAGGACGCAAACATTTCAGGATTGTTGTATCGCCATGTCATGGATTGTTATTGTATTTAATACTACTGGTCGAACTTGACCAACTCATATTACTAAAAGACTAAAGTGATATAACTGGAATATTGTAAGCTGTGCTGTTAAATGATATATGCCCATTGTGTCAGTCTTACTTGTGTAATCTTCGCTGCGCCTCCTCTTGGTCTCGTTGTCCATTTCCAGTGAATGGTCCTGAATAGTGAGACTAGTGGATTAGTGTGGGGATAGAAAGGATGGTAGAGAGGGATAGTGGGTCAATGAAGCTGATGAATGACTTTGTAGAGGCAGTGAGATTATATATGTACATTATTACCTATGAGGGCGAATGTATCGGGGTTCATATTTTTCATACGATGCCCTATGGCAAAATATCACTTTGTCATGGTGACGTGACGTCATGAACAATGCTATTATGTCACATTTCTTCTGTGACGTTGCGATCTACATGCGGCGACAGTGGGTAGACAGCCTATGTTTGAAAGTAGATTTGGGTTATTTTCCTCAATTTGACGACTTCGGTAATAAACAGAATATTATATTCGAGCCCATATCATACTATTTTTACGAAACTCGTGCCTACATATCGGTATATTCCTCGCTCTCGCTCGGGAAATACCAACATTTAGGCACTCGTGTTATAAACATAGGTAGTATGACATGGGCACTCACATAATATCCTCTATATCCTAAATTAGTCAGCAACTTAGGGCTGATCACATTTCATCAGATTTTTTACTATAAAGCACTCATGCATTAAGAAACATATACTCTCAAGCATTAGAAGTATCATGAAACCTATGAGTCTTGTGTGTATGGGAGATTCTCAAGAAATATTTAGGCAGGAAGAGAACCTTTTGTCCCAGTGGAATATGAACTGTTTTAATCTGCCATTTTGACATATTTGGTGTTACTGAAGATCCAACTCAAGAATCATACTCTTTGTGACCAGTAAAGGTTTTCCCTCACTTAATTAATAACACAGATGCATAGTCTGTTTGGGTTCAAATGAGAAAGATGAATGATTAAGTGACACGAAATATGGGTAAGTGCACTAAACATAAATAAGACAAATGGTCCTGAAACCTCTGTACCCAACAGGATCAGAAATCTGACGTTTTATGATCGATCTCGGAAAAAGTCGTTTTAGAAACCATCATGTAATATTGTGCTATTTTCACACTTCACACCGAAGGGTGACAAACTGCTGTTGGAACAGCACCAGCACACATTCAGATGCATCTCAGCACAGCCAGATGAGATGACCCCAGCTGGTCAGGTGCTGTTCCATCAGCTGTTTGTCAAAAGTATTTAAACTTCTAAACATATAAATATATAGAAGTCTCAAATTACAATCCCCTGAAATAAAATGGTTGCTCCATCAGTTCATGCCTCCTGTATCTGTTTATTTCAAACGCTGATTCTCGTCATGTGCATACATCATACTTCTTGTAAGTCTGATGTCAGTAAACATACTTTTAAATATTAAACCCTCCCCTTGAAATCTGACTGTAAAATGTTGACATTTTTAGAAAGGAAACCACACATTCCATTGGATTAATGCACAGCAGTTCATCAGCAAGGCCAATACACCAAGGAAGGTTGCCGAATTGTTATAATCGTTGTTGTATTTCATCCTGTTGTAAGTAGAGTTGATGCTGTTCGTTTCCTTGAAAATATAGGATGGTTGCCTTTATGGTCATTTATTGACTTTATCAAAAACTTTTTTCACTTTTTTTTTATTAACAGCGTGTACATATTCCATAGGTTGGTAGCTCTATGCTAGTTTCTTTGATAGGCTATGCTTGAGATAAACATCAGGAAGAATCTTTCTATTAAGATCAGCTGACATGGCAGCCATTTTCCTCCAACTTCCTGTGTAGTCTATTGTAACAGAATCCTTTTCACATAGACCATATGTTGACAATGGGTGTGTTGCATATGTCTGTGTAGAAATATATTCTGCAAAATGCATTATCAGCTGACAGCCATGTTTGACTTGTGAACAATAAATTCTTCTTAATTTATACTGGAAAATTGAAATTGCCTCATTAAAGAATTTTGTAATCTCTCATAAGGCCAGACCAATTTTATTATTTGTTTTACGGATCAGCCGGACATTTTTTTTCAAGAATAAGAAATAATAATAATAATAATTTTCCCTGCCCAAAAAATAAAATCCAATTGTTTTTATTGGCCAAAAATGTAAACTTACAAAAACATTTTTAAATTTTCTTTTGCCCCATATACACTTCATAAATTGCCAAAAAGTAAAACACTTTTTAGTACTTAGCAGGAATATTACTTTGATTGGTGATTTTATTTGGGTTTTTTTCCCTCCTGCCCTAGGTTTTCTGAGGACAAAAATCATATCTGCATTTCAATTTGCATCCTTGGCCAGTACCACTGACAACCCTAACACAACCAATGGTAGAACCATATGTCTTATTTGAATCATTTATAACCAATAATCTTCAGGCCCCAGGCTGTGAACCAAGAGTTCCTATTTAACAGACCATGATGTCATATTTTTATGGGTTTTTTTTATACAGATGTATTTACAGTAAGTTAATTAATATCAGTAGAAATAGAATTAGGGTAAGTAAGCTTGATTTCAGTATTGATCTCCTTGCTTCACTTACTGAACATTTTTGTTGTTGACATCTTCATTTCTGAACAAACATTCAGATCTTCAGAGTCACATCTTGAATAACTGGTCTTTTTGTCAATAATATCTTTACATGGAAGATTCCAGACAATTTGTCCATTAGATATTTGTGGATAAGTGTCATATCCTATACAAGTACTTCTTGGGAAAAACATTTTGTCCTTCCAGGTTTTCACTAGTTTCTAGGACTGATCCTTGTGGACCTACTGAAGATTTCCAGAGTCAGATGACATGCTTACCCTTTTCCTCTCCTTCTTCTCCTTCTCTCTGTAGATCTCCTTTTCTCTTTCATAAGAAGGGCTCTAAAAAAGATGAACAGGGTTATGTGCAAAGTATAGTACAGGTGGGCTATGTTTCTGGTGTCTGCCTCTTGGTGTGGAGTTCCTGTGCGGTTCTGGTTTGGTTAGAATTCTTGCCCGGCAATTCATGCTTGTATTAACAGTTGTAATAGATCTGGTGTTAAGCCTGCTGAGAACTACTTGATTGTGTTCGTCACCACCCCTCCCATGTTGGCAAGTTCAAGCTCTCAATCAATGGTTTGCCTGGTCCAGACCTATTGACCTGCCTCTGTGATGTGGTTGGAACATTGTTGACTCTCTCTCTCTCTTCGGGTTGAGACAGATCTAAGTGATACACACAGCTCCTGATGCCCTGTACAAGAGAAGGTCAGCAGCAAAGTATCCTAATGTAGTAAAGGACATGAACTTCCCTCTCCGATCAGTACCTGTCACACAATCATTGCTTCATTTCTAGCGGAGGACAGTTAATACTTCAGGACTTCAGTAGCTGAACTGACCACTTAGGATGGTAGTACTGATGTAAGCACAGCACAATGGACAGACAGGCGCCCAGAAAAAGTGCAGACCATAACCCTCCCTCTCAGATCAGTACTTGGCATGCAATCTGCTCCACTTCTGGCTTGGTCTTCAGCCCTTTCATCAACAGAACAGCTCGAGTGGACTAATCACCCATAAAAGACATGAATATTGAAGCATGTGTCTGTATATCCATGTCCAGTGATCTTTATAAGTTCAGGTACTGCAATATCTCTGTGAAGGTATGTTCCCATTAAAGCAAGACAATTTGTCTGCTAGCTTTCCAGTCTCAAATGAGCAAGGTTATAGGTTGATAATCCTTGACATATCAGTGTTCTATAAATACAAAGTTGAAGGCAGCCTGTTCACATTTGATAGTTGCCACTAAGGCATCATCAGTTACATACACTATAAGTCAATGCTATTTCACAGATGTATGTTGACGGTCTAGTCTTGTCAGAATTGGAGAAGTCAGATTGATCAACGCCACCAGTTTACAATGATCTACTTGATCAGCTAAGTCTTGGTTGAGAGTTGGCTTTCCATGGTCCATCAAACGTCCATAATCAAATCCCATTTCGTTTCAGGTCTTGGGGACACGCTGTGTTATACACTTTCTTCATAGACTTTATGACATCAATGTAACCAGTATGTACATGAACCCTACTTTGCTCAAACATAACGTTCTTACATCATTTCGGATAACTGCCATCCAGTGAACTCACATCTAGAAGGACTATTCCCTATATGTTTTCTGTCTTAATTCAGTGAGATAAATAAACACATGCTTTTGTTAAACCTTTGTGTGGTAAGAGGAGAGAATGATTACTGACAACAGAACTGCTTGTTACCAAAATAACATTAAATAGAAACCAACTGTTTAGCAGTAACAGAAGAGTGCTCAAGACACCTGTCAGGATGGAACAGTTTCCTTGTGAACAGAAGCACTCATCTAGTCAGAACTTGGGCTGTTTTGAAGGAAAAGTCTGAGATGCCAGAAAAACATATTTTCAGCCTGGCATGGATATAGATGTAGTTCCAGCGCATTAGTTACTGGTAAGTGAAATCACCAAAGTGACTACTGGCAAGCGTGCAATGTCAAGACTGAAACATCAGCACTGCTACATCAGAACTGAAACAGTTGAGCAGCGATGTTGGTGATGAAACACTTGTTTGGCAAGGTCAATACTGAAACACCTGTGCAGCTGTGTCTGTTCTGAAACAGTTGTGCAGCAACATCAGTGCTGAAACACTTAATGACTGACTGAGTTTGGTTTCGCCACGCTTTTAGCAATATTCCTGCAATATCACGGTGGGGGGACACCAGAAATGGGCTTCACTCATTGTATCCATGTGGGGATTCAACCCGGGTCTTCGACGAGCCAACGCTTTAACCACTAGACTACCCCAACATCAGAAACACTTAATGGGCCACAGGGCCAATAAAGAACAAATTGTGCAGAAATGTCAATACCGAAAGACCTATGTCAATACTGAAATACCCCTGCAGCAAGGTCAATAGAGAAACACTTGTGCAGCAGGGTAAACAGCTGCGTAAACAGCAGGGTAAACAGCAGGGTAAACAGCTGCACAGCAAGGTCAAAATGGTGACACATCTGTGGTGAGGTCAGTATGGAAACGGTGAGCAGCAAAGTTAACACTAAACAGACAGAAACAGCTGTCATTACTGAAACGCTTGTGTAACAAGGTCAAAACTGAAGCACCTTTGCACCAAGGTCAAGTCCTTAACACATGTCGAGCAATGTCAGAACTCCTACATCTGTAAAGTAAAGTCAATAAAGACATACCTTGTGGAGTATGGTCAATACGGAAACAGGTTCAGAGCAAGGTCAATGTGGAAACAGTGTGCTGCAATGTTAATACTGAATGGAGAGAAGCAGGTATGCAGCAGTGTCACCACTGAAACATTTGTGTAACAAGGGTCACATCCAATCAACCATGTCACTACTGAAACACTTGTGCAGCATGGTATGTACTGAAACACCTGTGTTTCACCTCATCTATTAATTGCCTCAGATGACAAGTGTTGGATGCATGGGATAATATTAATGAGAAGTCTTATAATGCGCAACAAAGCATGCTCAAAGCGCTAACACCCTGATTATTATTACCCCGGATAACCCAAGCTGCCTGTTAGGCGTTGGAAGGTTATAGTCACATGACTTTATCCAACCGGGTACCCATTTTCTGCTGGGTGAACAGATTCAAGGGGATCAATTTAACACGGAACTCTGTGGGGTTATATGATACTTTGCATGTGGGTGAGTACTGAAATATCTGTGGAAAGACTGTGGACTGAAGTAAAGACATGAAAAGACTGTCTTGTTCCACAATGTCAGGTTTAATGTGCTTGGCTTATGGGGTTTCTTCATAATTTATAATTGCAAAACCAAGATTGATTTCCAATGTTGGTGTAGTGTTTTGATCTAGAATAAAGTCTCTATGCAGTGGAAAACACAATAATCCAGTATTATTATATTTCTGTTTGCCTGTGTGACAGGAGCTGTGGCGTTGTTTTCTTTATCCCTTTTCAGAGTATTAAATGGTCATAATGTACATACTACTTTTTTATACATAAATAGGGGTGTTGTTCAGAAGGATGTATGCACTTTGCTGTTGTTGTTACCAGTAGCTGACCAGGACAGATGGAGACACCAGTGCAGCCATGCACTGATGGAGACACCTGTTTATCACTGTACAGACACTAGGACAGCCCTCCTTTGATTGAGAAGCCCTGTAGACATGGAAGCAAACATCTAGCCCTCCATAGATTCAGATTTTAGTGAAGCCCTCTGTATGGAAACAAACATCCAGCCCTCCATTGAATGAGGTTTCAGTGACGCCCTCTATACACTGAGACCACAGAGAAGCACTGTGTAAATAGAATGAAACACCAGTGCACTCCTGCACAGACGGATACAATTGCAGCCCTCTAGAAGCTCAGACACAAGTAAAACTTGGTCGAGGGTGAGAAAAACCCAAACAACTATAATGAGGATGTGTAGGGTAACATGTCTCACAAGCATGATGACACGGGATCCCATGTAAAAGCACATAGGCATAGCCTAGGTGAGGTGAAATGGAGGTTGAAAACCAATTAACTGCTGCAGTTACAGTACCACCTCATCCATTTATTTGTCAGCTCCTCAACATCTAGAACAACTAGTAAATAACAATCAATCGATTGGGAGATAGTCCCCACAGTTAACCTCACATTCAAAGAAACCTGTTGAGTAAAAAAAAACGAAAAAGAATGTCAAGTAATCATATAATGTATGTATAATGCACGTTTGCAGCAACCAAACTTACCCTCTTATGTTTGGACTTGCCCTCATGGACAGGCTCCTGAAATATAAGTTCTAGTTGTAAGATATGTTATATGGGTAAAGTTTCCCTTTGAAAACACAATGCTCACATAAGTGACATCAATAATAGTTCATGTCAACTTGAGGAAGTTTTACAGAGAACATATCTGACCAGATGGGTGAAAATCATGCAGATATGTCTTACACCACTGACCAGAAGAGGGATTCAAATTTAGACACACTGGCATAGTACCTGTAATACCTCAGCAATCGCCACAATTCAAATGGATTAATTTTCATGAAAAAGCTGCGGGTAGATAATACCCTGAATGATTGTAAAATGAAATAATTCAGACTTTTGAATGTTTCCTCTGTACACACACATATGGACATGACACTATGTGAAAAAAAGGACCCAAACGGTAGAAACGGTTTCTAATGTAGATGTATCCCTATATGGCTTGGCATAAGACATGTCTGTTGTTACATGGATAACAACAAGATGTACAAAGAGCAAAACTAAAATACATATCTCAGGGCCAGCCATTTGATATTTTTTGAGGGTGGAAAGGTTGGGGTGTGGCTGGAATATTTTGCTGACACTGTCAACCGACAATTTTTCTTAATTTGAACACACATTATAGTTCGGAACATCCAGTCTGTGATTTTGGTATAAAATATGAAATGTCCCTGAGCATTTCCTGGTTCAAATTGTGTCCCCCAAGGACTGACTGACTGAATATGGTTTTATGTCGCTTTAAGCAATATTCCAGCAATATCACAGCGGGGAACACCAGAAATGGGCTTCACACATTGTACCCATGTGGGTAATCGAACCCGGGCCTTCGGCGTGACGATCAAACGCTTTAACCACTAGGCTACCCCACCGCCCCTCCCCCAAGGAAGTCAAATGGCAGGTCCCTATAAGCTTGATGACAGGCGTTGGGAACCTTGATCTTGGCTGATTGGTCTTCTCACCAGTATGGAAACTCTTCGATCCCTGCCGTCATCTCTCTTGACCACAAAATCACCTTCCTTCCCATTCCATAACAGACTTTTAGGAAGAAGATGATTGGCTTAACTTCACAACTTTGAATTTACTGCTTGTAAAAGCTGCATCCATAAACTATGCTTAAGTGTTACTACGGCTGTTGGACCAGTCAGTTTATTAGTTTGACTAATTTGGTCAAGTGTGTAGACTGCATATATAAATGCATACAGATGAATAAGTATTTCACTACTTGATTTACACAAGTTCTTACAGTAACAGCTTAATCAAAGATTGTTACAATCTGAAAGGTGATTATGGCTGCTTCAGCAATTTTTCAGGCCATCTATAAAGTCTTACTGTATGAGAAGACAAATCAAATGAGGAAAATGAGCTGATACTTTTCATCAGTGCTTGATTAAAGTGGAAGACACATAAAACCTAACGACCACTGGGAGAGGTTAACTTGATCCCGCATTCAAAATGTTGCTTAAGAGACCCATCAGTATGAGGTAAGTCCAGTTCTCCCCTACCCTCCTGCCCCTGGTAGGACAACAATGAGAGTCCATCTAAAATTATCCCAACTGTTATTGCCATTTCACTGCTCCCTGAACAAATAAATCACAGATATTTTTAGAGAAACCAAACTACCAAACTGGGTAGGCAATTTAGAAAAAGAAATAATGATGATATTGTTCAAACTATGATTTTTATAATATTGTATCTTAATTTGCCATTTTGGGGACATTTTATTTCAAATTTATATTTGGCCTCTGAGTAAGATAAATCCCTGCTTCAGTTCATAGAGAGATGCTTTGTGGAAAGTTCAGATGATTACCTTCACCAATAAATAGGCAAGCAAAACATGTTCTTTACAGCATGTAACACTCCACTGTATCAAGCAACACTAAATGACATGAAACAAGAGCAAAGAGTTGACATCAATCATACAATTAGTTACTTGGTTTATGAAGCACAATTTTATTGTTCATGACATCTTATCGATCATCACTGACACTCTCCTTTTTGAGAAATTCTGGAGTAGAATTCAAATCATTTACACATGTAATCCATGCAATGTAATCAGAAACAAAGACATAAAAGCATTTTCTCCAGTTTCAAAGTGTAACAATGCTACAATATTAACCATGGTTCACTTGAACCCAAGACCACATCCTGTTATCAAGTAAGCTTATAAAACCAGTAATGTTCAAGATGTTATCATTTCACAGGTAGACAATGGACTATTGTTACCTGTCAATGGTGAACATGAAATTATGGAATTTCAAATACTACTCAGTTAAAGAATATTTCAATGAACCACTGATATATGAAAAATGATTAAAACATATCAGGTTTGGATGAAATTAAAACTCAAGATCAGGTCTAAGCCATAAATACAGAATTGAACACTCACTAAAATAACCTTGATGTGACATATCAATGTAGACAATTATTGATATATGTTTTTTTATGTAGGTCATGTAACACTGGAAGAAGTTACAAATATGCCCCAAAATAAGTGAATTGAAATATCTTTGATTGTTGGGCAAAGTTTGATAAATAACAGCCCTTCATGGCATGAAGATTTTATTGTAAAGTCAACAAAATAAAATGGAATATTATTCATTATCCAGTGCATTGTATCTCAAGTATATTATGACAAACACTCTGGACCCATTCATCACTATGGCTTCATCTCTATCTGGTTTATCAGTAACATTTCATAGAATTTCTCTTGCAAATTAGAGTAATTTCATTGGATAACTAAATGTACCAATGTGTCATTTGAATCAGTCTCAGACTGACACTGTGATAAATAGAGGGTCAAGGATGTTCACCAGGGCTTGATTTAAGGAAGTAAAATCTCTCTCACTCACATCTTAAAGTAATATCCTTGTTTCACTAGGCCAAAACAGGTTGCACCTGTTACTCAATTTTTTCTGGGAAAGAAGTAGTTTGTAATGATATCCCATAAATTATATATCATTTCTTATGCTTGAGTGTTTGTACTGATGCCATAATATGACATCAATATAAACAAAATTATTCTGGGTCTGAAAAGATGATGTTCATGACATTGTAACTGCTTCAAGCCAGTTTCTCATCCCACCAGTTTTCCACCTGAAGTCTGTACAACAAACAGTACAATATTTAACATGTACTGAGTGCAAGCTGGTAAACATATGAGGCTCCATTTTACACCAGTGCTAGTTCTAAATGCTTAAATCAAGCTCTGTTAATCATGATAGAACAGAGACCGACACACTGGATAATTGATGGGGCTGAACAGAATTTAAACATCTAATTTCAATTTAAAAGAAGTATGAGTGAATTTCACCATCATGATTTTGACCATATCAAAACGCTACAATATACAAAGTATTAAAAAACATGATACTCTATCTGTTCTTATCACTGATAACTACTTCATTTTCGATCATTCAAAATAAAAACTATAATTGACTTAAAAGTGCCTTAATTGTGTTAATGAAATCACCATGTTGACACTACCAGCCCATAAACCACCGTAAATTGCTCTGGGCATATCATTCAAGACATAACATCTCGGATCTTAATTTTCTTAACATGACATCATCCAAATCCATTACAAGTTCAAAAAGTGAGTGAAACTGTTTTAGCCCTACTTTGAACAGTATTTCAGTATGATCAGCACAAGATAATCTGAGTGACATATACTTTTTTGTGTGAAACACTGGTATGGTGCTAGCAAACTTAAAATATACAAGGCAAAGCTGGGATTCAAACCCAAGATCAGACACCTGACACAGCTAACATGGACCCTGGGTCCAACATTGATTGAAGGACATATTATTACTCTATCTTCATAATCCAGTTAAATCCTTCACAAACATGATGGCATTATAAAAGATATGCTGAAATGGTACATCATTTTTGATACATTGAAATCACGGTTTGTCTTTTGTTTCTCCAACATGATGGAATTCATGCAGTGCATGTTAGTACCTCTAAAATGTATTTCAACTGCAGATCTTTATTTCCTGTTACCAGTTAATGTTCACTGCCATACTGACTACAAAGCATATTATCATTGTTATACCAAAGCTATAGCTGTATTGTAAGATATTCTTGCTTTGAAAATCTAAATCTGTGACACAACAAACAAGTCTGATCATGAATGACAATACTGGCAGTATTCAAGTATACATTAATCATGGAATGTTGAAGTACTTTAGATTACAACAAAACCATAACATGTTTCACAAAACACCAAACCACAGAGTTCATGAAACTAAATAAGTGAAGGAATTATGTAAAATTATTATCTGCTATTAAACCATTACGGTAACATCATCACATTATTGTTGTTGCATTTGATTCTGAGCCAGACATTCACTGGCCATCTTGAACAAGCATTTTAACAGGCAAAGCTAGAGGAACTATATGTCAAAAAAAAAAAAATTAGGACAAATTATTTATCAACCATGACATGACAGTCATTAATCAACAGGCCCTTCTTGTCAACAGATTTCTTTGTCAATTATTCCGTAACCTAATTCAATATTGGGGATATTGGCACTGTTTTATAAGCATGTTTAGAAGGTACTGAGTGTCAATCATAAGAGAATCTGAACAAAGCAGGGAAGTATTCTTTAGTTCCAAGTTTCTGCACTATATTGTTAAATCAATTCTCATATATTTAAGCACAAGTGGACACATGTCTGGTGAGGAAGTACCAAAATCTGAGGGTATGTATTTGAAGACTATTTGAAACATTTAAAACATTATGATCCAACTGTGCAGAAAGTTTGAAAAAACAACTTGTGTTTGTCAAGGGACAGTTTACCTAAGTGTATACACAAAAATTTGGTTTCCAACTGAGAAAGACTAATATAATGAACCTAAAAACACAACTTTTTAAGGGGGGAATTCAAGTCAAATAAATACAATGTCTTCAGTAAGTCGGTCTAATAATCTCCAATGAATCACAGTTTGTCAACTTTGTTTTTTACTGCTTGCCATTTTTTCTAAAATTCAAACCATGATTATGTGAACTACCACATAGTAGACAAGAGTCATCCATTTCTTAGAATTACTCACAGAGGTAAATTTTGCTTGTCATGAGAATAACAAGGTTGCACTGTATATTAGGTTAGTGTTACACTAACAGCTATGCTTATACCAATTCCATGAGAATCTGTATCTTATACAGTGCCAATTTCAACCACCTCAATCCTATTTTGTATATACCCCTATTTTTATGCTTTTCAAGACCAGCCTTGTGTGCTACATCACCAGGGCTCCAGATAAGGGCCGACGTGTCGGCATGTACGGATATAAAATAAGCACGATCTGTAGGGAAACATTTTTAAAAGCGTAGCAGATAATGGGACCACAGCAATGGTGTACGGTTTCAGAATAATTTTTAGACGTATTTATCTGAAAAAGTATTGTTTTATTGTTTACTGACCTGTTTACACAAGAGTAGCAATGTTGTGGTGCATATATGAAACGAAACACAAGATTCCTGATACGCCATTAAATTCCATTCAGTACTCTAAATGTACTCTTATTGTTTTCCAGTACTCCTATATTGAAAAAATAAGGAGTACGTACTCCTGATCATGAAAAATTATCTGGAGCCCTGATCACATTATCTATAAATTATGTCATGTTGTCCCACCTTCCTCCAATGTCTTTGATTAATTTTCTTACTCTGTTATAATGCAATGGTATTAGAACAAGAATTGTAAGAAGCCATAATTGCATTGATCCAGTGTATAATCATGTTCCTCATTTTAAAACAGCTATCACTACACTACAATATGAAACATAGCTTTGATGAATTCAATATTGCAAATCCAGCAATTAACACAGAATATACCATGGAATATTCTTTTCTTCATATTGATTGAAATATTTTTCTTGTTTGAACTTAAATGATTGTGACCATAACATGATCATAATACTGTTTTTTACCAATTACTGACAAAAAAATAATTTTACCAGTTAAAATATGCACAATAAATGAATAACAGATTCACTGACAAGTTTCTCTGTGTTTTCCATTTGAGAGGTAAGTAAAAATCTTTGCAAGGCACAATTAAGCTTCACATTACCAGTCATTCTCAGACATAAATACCATACAGCATCATGGTTCAATATCACAAAGACAAATGGTAGCCATGGTAACATAAAAGCAAAACAATAAAAAATCTGTCAACACAAAGTTAACCATAAACCAAATGTGTAATTTGTTAATTGATATACATTCAATAGTAACAAAAGTACAAGAAAACATGTCTAATTGCCCATTGATATGAGATAAACAACTGAACTGAAAATGAAACGATGGAGTAGAAAAGCATTGAAACAAGGAGAAAAGATAAATTTCTGGCATCTTCTTCAGGTGTTGACAACTTTGAATGACCCTCCATCACTGAATTTCACTTGGCACTCACACAATTTAAATTCACAAACACATTTCAGACACTTTCTTGAGACTCCTCAACATGGAGTCGTTCTTCGTTGTTTCACACACATTTCTCCACATATTCGGTCAAGCACTGACGAATGCCTTCAGGGATTTCTTCATTTACACACATGGGGACTCACTAGCAATCACAATTGATATCACGGATTAGTGAGTAAGCACCAATACAAACTCTCTCTCCTTCCATCCTGTTGAAAATGTGGTTGAAAGACTGGAGTGTAAAGAGCTCCAGTGATGAAAACAAAATCATTGTAAACCAGCGCCTGACAACACAGAATTTGGCAGGGTTCTTGAAATACTTGCACTCTTTGGAAGAAGATAATATGGCTTGTTCCATGGCCATATTAGCTCATGACGTCAATATATATTATCTCCTGATTCATAGTCCTGAATATTTATACCAGTTCCTAATCAGAAAAATGTTATGAACTGAAGATATCTTCTTATTGCTTAACTGTGATGTACAAAGTCTTAGATAAACATTTAAACTTAAAAAGTGTCACTTTTTACTACCTCGACTATATTATTTTTATAAATCTTACAAGAATTATCATGTTCAACTTGTACTTGTAAATTGATGTACAATTCAGACAAAAACAATTATCATTATTATTAACCATAAAAGTCCTGATGAGTTCAAACTTTTGATATCTTTTACACAGAATATATCTGGAACATTACTTATGCTTCAAGAGCACATAGTCCAATTATAATACATGTTGAAGTTGTTACTCCGATACTGAATCAATTAAGCTTTTTACCACAATTTCTAAAAAACTGATTACTATACTCTGTTTATCATCCTTCAGATGAATTAATGAATGATTCTTCAGCTTCTCTCATCAAGATTTTTTCCTCTTCTTCCAAATAAGAATTTTTAAAATGATAAGTCCTTTCATCAGAGTGACATCCTCTCCTTTCCAATGATCCTGGCACTATCCACTATGGAGATCCTCAAAAAGCAGAGCAGCGTAGAATTTCTTCTCATTTATATTTAGGATTTCTTTACACTTTGGCAAATTTGGCGGAAACAGATTCCAAGACACAGATTATGCTTTCATCTCATCCAATGTTCTTTATCTCAGTGTTCATTCACATCCCATCTTCAAACACGGATTCAACACATGAGAGTCTCTCCCCATTTGAAGGCAACTTATTACGTGACGTGAATGTCCATATATTTTCATCAACTGAGGAGCATACTTTAATACAGACATCTTGACTGGCTTGTTGCCTTATATGGATTACATCTTTATCAACCACATTACCCTAACCGGGTAAATGATTCACCATGACTTTACAGGGAAGATCTGGAATTACTTTAGACATCACAGCTTATAAAAGCTTCTTCTCCACACAAAGGCCGATAGAGGAACGATTTCAAATTTCTTCAAAATTTTCAATAAAAGGATGACTCTTATAGCGATAGGATTTCCTTTACCATAGACATTTGGACAAACAGCATTTGACAAACAGCTTTTCCAGGCCGGCAATTAGATGGCCGAATCTTGAGCCAGAAGTGGCTACCTTGATTTGGCGACATCCTTCTGATAACACTCATGAGGGTATGCAAAGCCCCGACTTGAGATGAGCTGTGGCCAGGTGATGTGCACATCTACGATGTCGCGGTGTTGTTGCAGTGATGGACCCCCCACCAGGTGGCAGCATGCGCAATATGCTAGCTTCCTCCATCCCCCCTACACTACTCTTATCTGACCCTTCATCACCGATTAGCTCCCATGACTTGAGCACTCACTCCTCCGTGCAGACTTGAAAAACACAACTCCTCCCTAGAATACTCAAAAAGAAGACTGATTAGTAGGCAGCTGCCTGTGCCCCACTCCTGCGCTGACTGTATCCTCCTCCTCGAGTGCCACTCCTGCTAGGAACATACCTCCATAAGCTCTATACTACTAACCTTAGAACCTGACGCTGACACGTCAATCTTCCTCCGTTTGGAATCTGAAATACACAAGTTACAATGAGTTCTTTATTTACCTTAACACATTAAGTTAGGGTTTCACATTTTATGCAGGCAACACTTCCCATTTCACTGTTTTTCACCCTAAAGGTTCCTTGCAGGGGGACTCTGCTGAAGTTATAGGCACTTCTAGTTTAGTGACCTTGACCTCCAATCTCAACCTTGAACAGCCTAGAGATTTTGGGGTTTACTTCACACTGAGCGACCTTGACCTTCAATGCCATGCATTAATATGCAAGAATATCACCTGGTTTAGACATGAAGTCACCAAACAATACTAAACAATATATATAGACAGAAACTATTTACAAGCCATTTCATAAGTGAAAAGACTTCAAAGTCATTGTATTCATTTGCCACAATCAATTTGTGATATTTGGCCTCTGGTGACCACGATCTTATACAGAGGACTGATGTAAAAAACAAACAAACCTGCTTCAGAGATCTTGCAAACTAAGCTCATCAATATTAAACTGAGTAACCTGAGTATCCAATCACACATCAGAAACATACCCAAGCTAAAATAGCAGGTGTATCCGGTATGAGGTCTCTAACTAATCTGTCATAAGCTTGTGGCGGGACTGTTAACAGCGGGTTACCTATTGAGATGTGATTAACTTAACGTGCCAGTCTACTTTCCAGTTATTGAACAGAACGTGCAGACATCATACCTCTTTCATCGCCATATCGAGGAGAGTTGTCTGTACTATGCCTCAGGGAACTGCCACTGCTGATAATCCGCTCGTCTACTCTCTCTCCAGGCTCCTTGCTTACGCTACTTCTGGATTCTTCCTTCTCCGACCGATCACTGTCATCTTTCTCACGTTTCACCTTCACCTTTTCCTCTTTACTCTTCTTCTCACCCTTCTTCTTCTCCGACTTGCCATTCTCCCGAGCTGCCTTAGCCTCTGCACGTTCCTCCTTTGTCATGGACTTGTCCTTGGTCCTCTCCCCAGATTTGTCCTTGTGAGACTTCTCCTTCACAATCTCCTTGTCCTTGGATGAAGACTTGGAGCTACAGACGGAATTGGGACATTATATGTTACTGTTTAGCAATTATGCCAATGAGGAATGAAATATTTTTGATGACATCTTCTACATCAAAAACACACACAAAACCAAGCTTGCTAACTAACCAGAACCCAATCAGGACAATCAGGTTCTAAATCTTACCAAATGATGATAAGAAAACAAGTTAATTTCTGGATAACTTCAGAGGTTTATTTGTTGCTATGTACCAAATTTTCACTCTTTCCCCAGCTATTGTGCAATTCACATCCATGAATCACTAAATGTGCACAATTGGTATAGGACACTCAAAAATGTCGCCTCTGTGTCAAACAGGGTTGTTTATGTCACTAGTTTTGCTTAAAGTTGATCTACAGATGATTTCAAAAGCTGTAAAAACTCAAATTAAAATTTTCCCAAATAACTCTAGACCAGAAGAACACTTATTCAATTTAACTAGTCCTTTTGAAAAAGGACACCAGCAGACCAGTGCCAGCGTCAAACACTGCGAAATATTCAAAACATTCCCCTTGTGACTGGTCCCACAACTCACCTTGAAGTATCTTTCCCTTCATCTGGGGATTTCTTCTCTGACTTAGATTTTCCATCTTTCTTCTCCTTCTTCTCTGACTTGTCTTTCTTTTCAGGTTTATCTCCCTTGTCACCACTCTCCTTACCCTGTTTGATGTCCTTGTTTTCCTTCCCGTCTTTCATACCACCTGTAACAAATCATTGTTATAATTTAATACGGTCAGTTAATGTTTTTAGCCAGAAATATTACAAATATATGTTGGCTGAAAGTAATACAAATGAATCTTCTGAATATACAAACAAATTCTAACTCGTGTGATCAATGACAACACACACAAAAATAAATTTGGTTACAGTGACCGCTTGCTATGGGAGGAAAGTCTGAAGTGAAGCAAGCAGTCCTGGACATTTACAACTATGGTAAAACTCACATGCATTAGCATGGTGCTGACTATAACTCAAAAAGTGACAAATCAGTGATTCGAATTAACACTCTCCTAGTAAGGCACCTTATTATCCCCACACAGTCACTGTAGCTTCCACAGAAATGGAAGTCAGACAACTGGTAGTCCAGATCAACCTATATTGTCTAACTTGGATTTGCAACCCATGACTATAGGTTCCTTAGATATGCAACAGTTCACAGCACCCACAACTCCATGACAGAGATTCAGACTGGCTTTGGTTATTGGTTGGAGTTTGTAACTGGCTGATAGGAGGATACCCTTTATCACCATTTAATCAATCTGGCAAATACCAGGTAAATAAATAGTTACTCCTCACTACTGGTTCTATAGCCCAAATAATATCCCGAGTGAGTGAGTGAGTGAGTGAGTGAGTGAGTGAGTGAGTGAGTGAGTGAGTGAGTGAGTGAGTGAGTGAGTGAGTGAGTGAGTGAGTGAGTGAGTGAGTGAGTGAGTGAGTGAGTGAGTGAGTGAGTGAGTGAGCGAGTGGAGTGAGCAAGCGTTGTGTTGGTAAACTACAAGTTGATGCACATAGTTGCTACCAAACCATCAGATAATGTGTGTGTCAAAAGGGTTTAAATGTTCTGAGTAGGCAAACTACAAGTTGATTCACATAGTTGTTACCAAATCATAACATCAAATGACTAAAGGGTTTGCACGTGTTGTGTCAGTAACATACCATTTGATTCACGTTTCTTCGCATCCTTTGCAGCATCTGTTCTGATCCCAGAGCCATTGGCTGCTGCTGCTTGGGCGGTCTTTTTCTGAAGAAAATAAGAAGACATCGATCATGGTATGCTGCAATTAGTATCTACAGTTCATCCGTTTCTACCAATATTCATTTTTGAATTGTGGCTGCTCAAGTTGACTGTAATGGAGAAATCATGAGAATCTCTTTGTTCTTTTGAAATCAAAACATTTGATTTACTCTCTGCATTGTTTTGTTTGACACATAATTTCTCTAGAAGTTTGCATGAGCATTACTTTTGTCTAAATTGCACATTCAGTATGGTCTTGAATGGTATTTTTTCCAATGTTCTATCCAGAGAAATCATATTCTGGTATTTTGCAAGAGGTACTAAATGCATTTGTAACTACTTGCCTCTTTCCGTGACCTACAAGAAGACTTGTACCCCTATCGTACGCCATTATTGCCAAGAATCGTGGCAAACCAATCAAATCGTGCATAGTAAAACGCATTTCGAAGGATGAAAATGGCGGCACGTTGAACTTTGAAACTTTGCTAACTATGCAAAGCACAATTTCAACACAAACTTTGAGCTAAAGGAGCAGCAACTTTCAACACTGAAACATACTTACAAAGGGAATGACTGTATAGTTGTTTTGTCCATGGGATATAGCTATAGGATATTCTTGGAGTAGCCATGTTTGGAAATTCAGAGTTATCTTTCCTTGGTACTAGTACTAGACTATTTTCATCTCCGTGCCCTTTTGTGCTTAGACAGGGCCTAGTCGTAAATATGGCCACGAGAGGGGTACAAGACGCCATCCGGCTTGCCGGAATGACACGAGTAGTTACGAATGGTACTAAATGACAACATTAATGTAAACAAGGTGACAGGAGTGTGACTTCATGTTGCTTTGATCAACTTTGAAGAATCACCTTCTCCACAAAATCTAGTCAGATTAGCTGCAATACTGACTGACTGACTATGGTTTTACGCTTCTTTTAGCAATATTCCAGCAATATCACGACTGGGGACACCAGAAATGGGCTTCACAAATTGTACCTATGTGGGGAATCGAACCCGGGCCTTCGGCGTGAGGAGCGAACCCTTTAAGCATTAGACTACCCCACCGCCCCAGCTGCAATACTAAGAGACAATGACAATCACTTGATCATCAATGAAATGATCAATATATCCATTCCACCTTTCCTATGTACAATTGACTCACAGCTTCAACATCTTTGATATGGAATCGAGTCTCCGGCATCCATTGTTGCTTCTTGCTCTTCAGCTGACCAGAATATCTGTTTTAATAAAAATCATACAGTTAATAATTGATATGCGTAAAAGGCACTTTTAGACTAATCTAATATCTGTGTGCATATCCCAAATTCAGGCAAAGACACCAAGACTGACTGACTGACTGGTCTTGTGGGGATCGCCGCTTTCGATCAATAGCCAGCAATTTAACCACTAGGCTACCAGAAATGGGCCCACATTGTGCCCATAATTAACCGGGTCTTCTGCAAAGAAACTACTAGGCTATCATTTCAAACACCAAGACTATCCACTAGGTCACACAACACCTACCCCATGGCCAGAGCATATATGTCTGGTCTCTTGTCCTTCTCATCCTTACTGAGACGATCTACTCGCCGCTCCAACGCCTGGCCAAACTGCATGATGCGGGGGTAGTGAGGTAGAATCTGGAAACAAGTGGTACTTATGCACTTTTTTCTTTGTATTATTTCATTTGTAGATTAATTCTTATTTTGTTGAACAATATATTTGACTCATCAAATGATGTAACATGATATTATAACAAGGCTCTCATAAGAAGTTTGTTGAATTATTGTGGAAATAAAATGTGGAGCAGATATTCTTATGATTATTTTTCATCGCAAACAAATAAGCAGTTACTTAGGTAACAAGTCAGGTGAACATTGATATATTTTGTTCACATAAATTCACATTTTATCACAAAGTACCAACCATGCACATATTGTTTTTTTGACATGTTGCTATAAATTTTCAACATTCTTATTTCTGAACACAACAAAGGATGTTTCCACTACATTTCAGAAGAATGAACTGTAAGTGTTAGACATAGATTTTTCTTTTAATTTATTTTTCTTTATATATATTTATATAGCACCAATATCCAGATCACCTGCTCAAAGACGCTTTGTTTTTCCCTCGATCATTGGATGTCAGTCTCAAACGGCACAATGTATTATCAATCTCAACTCCCTGGGGATCATACAACTCTTGCAGCCACTAGGCGCACCGAGTTAATGTGGCTTTCCCATTCTTACAAGGTACCCATTCACACCTGGGTACAGCTAAATTGCTATGTTTTATGCATGTAACTAGTCCAGCAAACTTCTTGGTATCTTGTTTTGCAGCAGTGCCATGTTTTAGCTAAAATGTGGATCACAAATGTTTTCGAATACAATAACTGTTTCACAATGTCTTCGTTGCACTTTCACTATAGCTGAACAAAGCAGTTAACTTTCATCCAATAACATTCACTGCTTCCTTCGTTCTCTTTGTCCATGGATACAAACTATCACCTTGGGCCTCACCTTTGTCAGGATGATGAGAGCATTCCTGATCTGGATGTAGTTTTGGGATTCCAGACATGCTACCATTGCCTAAAAATAAGTCACAGTCAAGACAATCAGACACAAATAAGCATTAAACATATTTTATTTCATCGTCTGAACTAAAAGCTTTACTTGTGTCATTTGTGTATTTTCATAGTCAAACCTTAGTCAGAAAAAATACACTAAAGGGGAAACAATTCATGCTATTCTATTATTCAAATGAACCATTTGTCTTTCAAATTTGCTGACATGGCAAAACAATGCCATGTTGAAACAATACAAGTCCTTGTTTTCTTCAAGGAGTGTAATTCTTTGTCAGGAATCCTTTCAATATACTTAAGAATTCCCACAGTATGAATGCAGGTCAAATGTTCAATTTACAATAAACAAACTTTATTCCTTACCATACATTTTAATACATCAAGATATATATTCAACATTGGATTTTTGAAATCCCACTCCCCTCATGGATTCATGTAAACCCACCTTTGTCAGTCTGAAATGCCACTTGTGGCACACATGTCTGTAGTTCTCAAAGTCCAACCCATCTGCCTTGTTGCTGTTCTCTTTATCCTTGGTTGCCTTCCTGAATACCGTCACAAACCCAGGGTACCCAAAACATTCCTACAGTAAAGAACCACACTGATTAGAACAACAACAAAAACAACAACTGCAGCAATGTGCATGTCTAAAATGAACAAAAACCAGACCTTAATGCATGCTCAAAACAAAACATTATTTCGTCAGGGGTATATAACCCAAGCTGCCTATAAGACGCTAGATGGTTAACAGTCACATTACTGCTATCTCCTCCTACCTGGTACACATTCACTGCTGGGTAAAGAGACACACATTTTAGTTCATTCTGACAGAGCACTGTACCAGACAAAGCTAAAGACATTTGTTACTTATATTTCCCAGTAACTGGTATGCCATTTTTATTGTTTCTATTTATAAGGACCATTTATTGTTAATGCAGCAGTTATTACCGAGGCTAAAATTTGATGGCCTGTAAATAATGAAATCTTGATCCAATCAATCCAGTGACCGATATTATGCGCTACGTCACATCAACTAACCAATATCCTGGGCCCCGTTCCACAAAACGATCGTAGCGCTAAGATGATCATAACTATCATACTTTATCATAGACTTACGACTGTCGTAGCTCTACGATCACTTTGAGGAACAGGGCCCAGATCTTTAACTACCTCTTATATTTTATCGGTTTCTTTTTTAATCGTTTAATAGCACACTCAGCAATATTGTCTGTCTGGTAGCAAAGTATATTCAGCAGGTAAGTTACAGCTAATACAAAGCCCAGAATATACACCTTAACAACTGATCAACACAAGGAAACTATTTCACAGACAGCATTATTTAGACAGCAAGGCCTCTATTATTTAGATAACTCTGAAATTGCTGTATCACATTTTTATGCCCTAAAAAAGCCATAGTCAATAGTACATTCTGACCTTTTCAAAGATGGCACTGTCACTATGCCATTTCATGATGGTGTCGAGTGCAGAACAGAGGAAACGTCCATACCGACTAGCTTCATTTTCCGTGCAGCTGGTCACAGTATAGGTAATATCACAGAAGATCTAAAACACAAGACACAATATCAGGGCTGAAAAGCCTGATAACACTTAAAACAATATTGAGTGTGAAAATAGCAAAATCATAACAAGTGTTTGCCACTGATATGGTAATGTCCTGCCACTAAAGAATGCAGGGGTCGATTCAAGGAAATGAAACATACTTGCACCCAGTGCAACCTAAAGCAATCACCTTGTTGCATCAAACCAAAACAGGTTGCACCTCCTGCTTAATATAAAATCTTATATAATGCTTGAGTTTTGGTAAAGATGGTTTAGAACAGTAACCATTATAACAAAAGAAATCACATACAAGATGTCTGAAATGGTGTCTGCATAGTCACCAAATGTAGGCTGTTGACATAACTGAAAACATTGGGTGTAATGTTTTATGAGATCGCATTTAAATAAGTTTGAAAAGTATTCAAAGTGTTTGTTGACCTTGAAGATAAGGTCAAGGTCACCCAAATCAACTGGTGTCTGCGTAATCCCCCAATGTAGGCTGTCACCATATTGGAGATATTTGATACAACAGTGCAGGAGATATCATGTTAACAACAATTTGAAGAGGGTCAAGGTCACCCAAATCGACTGGTGTCTGGGTAATCCCCCAATGTAGGCTGTCACCAAATTTGAAGACATTGGTTACAACCGTTCATGAGATATTGCGTTAACAAGAATCGGGACATACGGACGGATGTACGTACGTACAGACGCCGCCGAATACAGAGTGCCACCTTCCGCGTTGCGGCGGGGGACAATGATCTGGACATCCCATTCTTAGTGACGTTATGTCCATTTGCATTTGATTAAAAATGTCCATAGCAATCAACACAAAGATGGTTTTGTAGGACACAAAGATTTGATGTGATTCCTGTCAAAAGCCACACTCAGCATTATTCCTGCTACATGGTGGCCTGTAAAGCAACCAGTCTGGACCAGAAAATCCAGTGAAGATACTGTGAACAATGATCCTACATGGTTTGATGACATCCTATCAATTAATTCATCAAGCATGACTACCCAAACATGTTATTAGGGATGAAGTCTGACCCTGAATTTCTATGGGTTGGGAGGGTTTCTGAACTAAACATGTTCTGTACAAAGTGGAAAAAAAAGAAGTTCCAATCTGTCTTACTCTATCATAGCAGATTAGAGTTGAGAAGTGAGGTGTCTTCAGCTCATGAAGCACATGTATGAACTTGGCACAGAAAACAGCATCACTGGCTGTGAAGCAACATCGAGGGAAGATGCATAACTGGAGGACCTCTGTGATCGCCTCACTCTTGGAACCTGCAAAACACAAAACAGGGCTGCCAATAATTCAACAGAAAATTCAGGAAACAGTGATATGCTTGCAGCTGATAAAATATTAAAATTTGATCTGTGGAACAAAACACGGGCTTCCTGCATGATGTATATTGGACCACAAGGTTATCCCATGGCCCAGGCTGCTAACGCAATGAATGCAAGCTTAATAAATCTCAATATCACAAACTTTATTTCATTCATCAAATGTCTACAGTTGTTATGACCAATGCGAAAAGTGATATGTCTGAATCCAGTTAATGTGTCATACCCTCACGTGACAGGAACCAGTGATCACGTTCATGCTGGAGTCGAGCCATCACTCGATTGACATGCTCATTCTGCTTCTTTTCCTCCTCCTTAAGTTTCTCCATCAGGTTGTTACATCGTTCCTTCTCCTTCTTCTTCTTGCTCTGGGGCTGCAAGGGAAGAAGAGATGTAATGACAATCGGAATAGAATGACTAGCATTCCACAGTATGTATTGATCTTGTCTGTAAAATCTATGGTATTCACAATGACATAGCAAACCATTAAGCATCTCTTCATTAAAACTGATAACGCTTATGTTTACAAGAGACAAACTGTTCAGGTAAGTTAAAAAGAAAAATATTGTACCAATTTTAGTCAAAATCATGATGATAGTATGGGAAAATTGTGAAATCACAAAGCACATGTTTGAATGTGTAGCTAGCACATCAGCATCAGTAGTGGTGGGTTGTGATGGAAGTGTTGGTTATGGTTGCATTGGTGGTGTTGGTGCTGGTTGTGGTTGCATTGGTGGTATGTTGGTGGTGGTGATGGTGATGATGATGATGGTGATGGTGATGGTGTTGGTGATGGTGTTGGTGATGGTGGTGTTGGTGATGGTGGTGGTGATGTGTGTGATGGTGATGTTGGTGGTGATGGTGGTGGTGGTGGTGGTGGTGGTGGTGATTGTGCTGGTGGTGGTGATGATGTGCTGGTGGTGGTGATGGTATTGATGGTGATGATGGTGTTGATGTTGGTGATGATGGTGTTGATGTTGGTGATGATGGTTTTGGTTGTGTCGGTGAAGGTGTCAGTGATGGTGTCGGTGATGGTGTCGATGTTGGTAGTGATGGTGATGTTGGTGTAGGTGATGGTGTTGATGATGATGGTGCTGGTGTTTGTGGTGATGGTATTGACGGTGTTGGTGATGATGGTTTTAGTGGTGATGGTGATGGTGATGGTGGTGGTGGTGATGGTTATGGTGATGGTGATCATGTGGTGTGGTGGTGGTGATGGTGCTGGTGCTGGTGGTGATGGTATTGACGGTGTTGGTGATGATGGTGGTGGTGATGGTGATGGTGATGGTGGTGGTGGTGGTGGTGTTGATGGTGTTGATGATGATGGTGCGGGTGCTGATGGTGATGGTATTGACGGTGTTGGTGATGATGGTTTTAGTGGTGATGGTAGTGATGGTGGCGGTGGTGATGGTGGTGGTGATGGTGATGTGATGATGGTGGTGATGATGGTGATGATGATGATGATGATGGTGGTGGTGGTGGTGATGATGATGATGGTGATGGTGGTGTGGTGGTGGTGGTGGTGGTGTTGATGGTGTTGATGATGATGGTGCTGGTGGTGATGGTATTGACGGTGTTGATGGTGATGATGGTGTTGGTGGTGACGGTAGTGATGGTGGTGGTGATGGTTGCAGGGGTGGTAGTGTTAGCTGAAAAGACTCACCATGTCCCTGTTATCATCAATGGCATTGATCTGGCTGTTGAGCTGCTGAATCTGTTTCTCATACGCTGGAGTCGGGGCTGCCAGGTCGTACATTGATAGAGACCAGAAAGTCAAGTAGAACTGAGGGCTGCAACAGCAAACAAACATGTTCCAATCAGTAACACCATTCTGTGTATTTCAATGCTCCTTCCTAATCTCATGGGCATATTTCAAGAAAGGAAAAAGGGTTCGTTTGGAATAAAAGCAGTACTTATGAAGTGCCTTCAGAGGTGAAATGAAGGTTTCCTAATTGTGATTTGTCATTTCTAAGCATGGGTTCTTTCAAGCTAGGCTGACATAGCACTGCCAGAAAAGCAACATAATTATTTTCTTGAGAGAGTGACGTAAACTGTACCTGATGTCTTCCCACACTTTGCTTGGATATAGAGAATGGACCAGGTCAATGGTTGGTTTCAGGACTTCTTCAGATGCTTCAATATAGCGTTGAATCTGTTGACAGAGAACAGTGGTCAACTGCCAGCAAACATGATCAAGAACACAAACAGCTTCCTGAGATCATGTCCACACGTACATCGAACCATATTCACAGAGGGATATGCCTGCACAAAAGTTTACTTTACAGGCCTGTTACCGTACACCGAGATGTCCCAACTAAACGTAATCTTTACTCATGGCATGGTAGACCCTTGGCAGAAATAAAAAATATAACATCTGCCTACTATTCAAGTGATGAGAATGCATATACTGGTAACTAAAACTAGTAACAGTCTCAGGAACAACACTTACCTTTGTCTGACTACTACTTTTCTGGCCTTTATCACTCTTTCTCTTTTCTTCATACTTGGCCTAGGAAAAGAATGAAAAATAATACAGGTTAAAACGAAAGGCATTTGTTGGATTTCTGTTGAACTAAAATATCATATGCCAGAGTGTAACATTATAACATAAGAACCTTGTTAAGAGTATTTACTAGGTGGTGTCTGTGTGTGGTAAAAACAAGCTGGTTGGAAACAAACCATGAGCCAGGTGGTGACATATTCCTGGCAACCTTCTGCTGGGCTCCATCAGCCCTAAAAAAAAATATGTTGTGGTTCGGATTACCCGACCGACCCTTGAATTCTGGTCCCGACCCTAGTGTTTTTAAGAGGTATGAATAAAACAAGTGTTTGCCACTAATATGGCAATGTCCCCCGCCGCTAAAGAATGGAATATCTATATTTACTACTTTCTATTTTTGGTCACATACAAGGAGTATGAGATGACTGGTGTCTGCCTAATCACCCAATGAAGGTTGTCAACATAATTGAAAACAATGGGTGCAATGTTTTATGAGATATCGCATTTAAATAAGTTTATAAAGTGGTCAAAGTGTCATGGTGACCTTGAAGATAAGGTCAAGGTCACCCAAATAAACTGGTGTCTGCGTAATCCTCTGATGTACAAGAGTAAGAAAAGTGGTCAAAGTGTTGTGGTGACCTTGAAAATAAGGTCAAGGTCACCCAAATCAACTGGTGTCTGCGTAATACCCCAATGTAGGCAATCACCAAATTTGAAGACATTGGGTACAACAGTTCATGAAATATCTCGTTAACAAGAGTTAAAAGTGTACAAAGTGTTGTAGTGACCTTGAAAATAAGGTCAAGGTCACCCAAATCGACTGGTGTCTGCGTAATACCCCAATGTAGGCCATCACCAAATTTGAAGACACTGGGTACAACAGTTCATGAGATATTGCATTAACAAGAGTTTGAAAAGCGGTCAAAGTGTCAGTGTCCTTGAAGATAAGGTCAAGGTCACCCAAATCTACTGGACCTTCACCAAATTTGAAGACATTAGGTAAAAACAAGAATAAGGTCAAGGATAGAAAGTCAACATGATAGCTGCAAGCTTGTTGAATAAACAATTACACAATAAATCGAAAAAGAATGTGTGAAGAAAAAAAATATGAATTCCTACGTAGTCCTACCCTAAATTTTAGAGGTGTAATTGGAACCACAACATTTTTTGTGTTTTGGCTGGCATACTGTGTCATGGTCACATTATTGTATTCAATACCCCAATGATAGCACCCAAAGTGAAAATAAAGATCCTGTTTTGTACAAACTAGATATCACATTGGTTGGTGAATCGGATTTACATTTTATAATCAATGATACAGGGCAGTAATGTGAGAAATATAATTTCCTACCTTTCCTAACAAGAGTGTGATTTGGAAACAATTTGTGAATGCAATTCTGTGTAGATTTGTGTTATATGATACAAATAATAATGCAACTGACATTTAATACAGGAACACTAAAGATAAGGTTTGACAATGTCACCCAATCCGGGCAGATTTGCTACTTTTGTGATAGAAGTGCGTATCCCCCAATGTAGACTGCTGACTTTCTTAGGTTGTTATATCTGACATGTGACACTTGTTTGCTGTTTATATATCTTTTTTGTCAGGTTTTGATTTGAAACAATTTAATGAAATGCATGTTTAATGTGTAGATTTGGGTTATATGATACAAATAATAATGCAACTTAAAAACTTTAATACAGGAACACTAAATAGATACTGCACCATGTGCTGTTTGAAAAACGTACTATCCTACCGACTGAGCATTGAAAACACTTCTACGACGGTGTACTCACATTGATCCCATGTGCATAGAGAGACCTGGACAGGAAGAATGCCGAGTCAGCTGGTAGATGAAACGTGGTCATGAGGACATCTATACTGGGCAGTCTCTTCACAAACTCCTCCGTGCTCAGCTGCATGGACAGGAAGCTGCCAAACTGAACCAGTGTGTCCTGACACTGGAACAAAAGGAAACAACACGCCTTGTCATCATTTGAATACAATCAATGTATAGCATCTCTCCTATATTGATCTTTCAGGATTCAACTTCCATATGGATATATTGAAGCTATGGCAATAACAAGTTCAGCTATGCCCTTTGTACTGGCAACTACAATTTTTTCAGTTGAAAATTTCACATATTATTTTTATCATTCTTATCATGAATATCTTTGTAACATTATCAATTTGTATAACTACAATACACAGACTGTAACTGAGTTTGGTTTTACCTTCACGGCTGGGGACACCAGAAATGGGCTTCACACATTGTATAACAACTACAATACACACAACATATACATGACTAAAGATACATATACTGCATTGAAAAATAATCTCAAAACTATCATAACAAGTGACTAGATGCCGTTTATATTCTGAGACCCAATATCAATCATATACTAGATACCAATGTAGCAAACGTGAACACAAAAAGAAACAATAACTTATAAAATGTGACACAAAGAAAGATCGGCATACCTGATCATAGAGTTTCCCCACAAGTTTGAGATGCCTGTTGGATCCTTCCTTAAAGACAACACAGTTCCTCTGCTGGGACATGAGCAGACATAGTGACAGAGCAAGGTCATGTTCCAAAAGTGTCTCCTTCAGGCGAGTTGATGACTTCTTGGTGTTGCGCACCTGGGCAAAGTAGCCTCCCTAGCAAAGTTAAGAGTGAATGAGTGAGTATGGTTTTAGGCTGCTTGAAGCAACATTCTAGCAATATGGGTTTCACATATTGTACACATGTGAGCAATTGAACACCAGCCTTCAGCATGACAGGTGAACGCTTTAACCACTAGGCTATCCCACTGCCCTAGCAAAGATAAGAGTGAGTTTAGTTTTACACCGTTTTTAGCAATATTCCAGCAAAGCAAAGATGTAACTTACAAGGTGAGGTGAGGTGAGGTGAGGTGAAATTGGGTTTAACGTCGTGCTTGAGAATATTTCGCTCATATGACGACGTGCATGCATGTGTATGTGTATGTGCGGCTGCTTGTACTAGCCAAGACTGAAGCTGGTTTTATAGTGCTAGCCCACTGAGATACCATGCCACAGTGAAGCATGAATACCCCACTCAGACACATTATACTGACTCCGAGCCGACCAGTCCTTGTTGTACCCATTAATGCCGAGCGCCAGGCAGGGACCAACAAGTACCATATTTTAACGTCTTTTGGTATGATGCGGTCGGGGATCGAACCCGTGACCTTCCGCTCTCCCGGCGGACACTCTAACCACTACACCACGGAGGCGGTCTAACTTACAAGGATACATTACAGACAACTAATTACCTTTGGAACATATCAGTTAAAAATAATTAGTCGTGAGATAAAAATAACAGGTGTGATTTTGTCTTATTCAGGATTGAATGTTTTTACTTTAGAGCTAGTGAAAAGATAAAGGACCCTCTTTTTTTAATTAGTGTCTGTTCATATGACTTGTGGCTAAGAATTAACAGGCATATACTTTCACTGGAACATGGTGTAGTATTTTCAAGCTATTCCTTTATAGAAGTTTGAACCACATTTATAATTGAGCATGACTTCCCATATTTGAGAGGAAGCTCACTATAAATTGCTTGGGTGTTATTTCAAATGTGTAACACCGTGTGTAAGAAATGTTCATAGACTATTTTTGAGATGCCTACCTCCTGTCTGAGCAGCTCGCCTCCCGTCATGGCTTCCAACTGGTCATTGGTGATCTCCTCAGATATTTCCACACCCGTCATCTTCTGTACCACCTCCCTCAACAGCAGCAGGTCAATACTGCAACATCCCAGACAACGCTTGTGACGGACTACAGTGAATGAAGCCTAAAGCCTACACAGACAGTGCGACAGTACTGAAGCCATCTGCATCCTGATCATCATATTGACAGACTACATACCCAATGAGGTGATAATTTCAACCATGATACTATATTGTAATGCTTAATAATATAAAAGAAGAGATATGCAAATGTACAAAGCATCATATTTCAGATTTAGCATTATACTTGGCTCAAGATTCTCATTGGTTTAGAAGAAAAATCACGTTCTCCATTTCTCCTACCACTAACCTGCATATAATTCTCTTACTCATGCAGATAATTTGATTCGACAACATTTTAAGAACTGTGCAATTTGAATGAGGTACAAAACACAGATAAGACAGCACATGGGTTGAAGGTATTTAATGTAACAGAATGGAAACATACAATGGATAACTAAGAACTCTGCAGGTATCCATTTTGTCAGTACAAACATAATATTCAACACTAAACAGAGACCAAACCAATGAACTTGTCCTCACCTCTTGCCTGCCTTGAGTTTATTGGCCACATACTGCATGATCCCAGCCAGTTCCACCTGATACTTGCGACAGATGCACCCAGCAAAGTTTGCCAGGCCTGGAAACAAGGCATTCTGTTGAAACCTCTGCATCATCCTTAGTATATTTATACTTGACATATTCATTAGTTTTATGAATCTCTGTTTAATTACAACAAGTTTCATAAAAGAGTTTCCATACATATTGGAAAATACGCATATCTATTATCAAGACCCAAAATAATTGTAGGAAAACAAAAAGTCATCATGAAGCAGACATACCAAATCAAACTGAGACTTTGGAGCAAGTTGGTACAATTCCATGGAGTAATTCCATGTGAAGTAATGTTAATCTGATCAGGTAGTTCCACAAATTGATCAATACAATAACAAAATAACTTATCAGAGACTATGCATGTTATATTTAGTTTCATGCTACACATATAGTTGGTATCTCTGATACACCTAACCCTTCCACCCTATTCTCAACAGATTTTGCACTTCAATGATTTTTCTCTACTTACTCTGAAGCCACAAGGAGATGTTTGTGTCATCATGCTTCATTCTCTCCTTTTCAGGACTTGCCACGGCTTCTATTATACAGACTACATTCAGTGAAGGAAAGAGTAAAAAAACATCAGCAAATGTTGTCAAACAGTAAATACGTGGCTAAAATATCTCTAGCTACAGTTATGCAAGCATCTCTTTATTAATTGGAACACTTTTTATGGATAGACAACTTCTTTGTTGCAGTAGTAGTTGTGACGTTTCAGTGTAGATCCTAACACTGTTATCAAGCAAATTATACACAACATTTGCACAAGGAGAAATATATACATGGCAGGTATTGTTAGGATCTACACCGAAACGTCACAACTACTACTGCAACAAAGAAGTTGTCTATCCATAAAAAGTGTTCCACATCATACCAGCTTCTAAACGCCACTTGAGAAAGTCATGTCTTCATTATTATGTTAAGAATGTGCATTACAATCACATAATGGCATGACAGCTTAAAGGTCACATGCAACGTAAAACACAACTTTGCAGATTCTGATACCTTTCCATATGGACTTACCGAAACAAATCGTCAAAAATGCAAATTCAAGTTATAAAGTTGAAAAATAACGCGATGAAAAAAAACGCGCGAAATCGGAGTTCAAACGTTTCACTAATTTTCCCCAGACTTTTCTGGGGAATACGGGTTTCAACAGCTGGGCTGCGCTCATAGCACGTGCGTAGTGAAATAGGTTCGCGCAACTTGGAAGCGGGCTGTCTGGTGAATACTCGGTGAAGGCTTTGGTGTGAGCTATTTTCATAATGTTTTGTTGATATCTCACAGGCGAGCTTTTATATGTTATGACGGTTTATATAATTTCATTTGTCTATTTCACCACACGTTCTTCTTACCGAAGTCACTTTCTCAGTTCGATACTTAAAAGCAATGTCATTATTTAGCGTTGACACAATTTCTAACTGTGATATAGATATGTCGTTGTCACAGACAAAACTCAATGTCTTGTGTTATTGACACCTATGTGTCTGCCTGCCAGTCTGCTAATGACAATATTCAATACACAACTGCGATCACTGACCACATGCAATTTGAACTTAACACCAATCAGGCTATACACCATAAACAAAACGCATTGATTTATGGCCCGAGTTCGGTCTCTGTCACATTATGTAATTACACGGACAGGCAGGTGTGATACTTGAACACATGACATGTTATGATGTCTGTTGATTGCAAAATGTTATACACAAAAAATGAGCATGTATTTACAAAACCCAACATCTCTATATATACACACACAATGAGCCGGCGGCATCTGCTAATGAACCAGCCGTTAGACTTGAGTGCACACCCACCCGCTCTGACTGGGTTCGGTATCCCGGCTGCTTCGTTTCGAGGGAGGTAAACCTAAGTACAAAATATTGCACTTTTGATTTGCGATTATACGCTTATAATTTTGTTTATTTGTTTTTTCATAATCAGCAATGCATATTATATGTCATGAAGAAGTGATAATTGTGTTTTAATTATGTTTGATTTTTTGGTTGCATGTGACCTTTAAAAATATTTAGGAAGGAAATAGGAATATGATGCAGGCCATAGTTACACATTGGTAAAATCCATGAGTGTCTGTTTGAAGCAAGGACTGTAATCCCGTAAAATGTGAGATTCAAACCTGCAGATCCTAGCACCTAAGGGATGCAACTCTGCTTAACAAATTACAGTGACAAATACATATAAGCTAAAAAGCTCATCTTCACATATATGTACGATAATGACAATGACTGGCCCCGCTTTAAAATCTTCATAATTCCACATCTTCTAGTGAGTTTGACACTCTTGCAATGTCTGGTTGCCGTGAGTGAATGTGAGACAAAAGGATACATGCTAAGACATCATAGGAGAAGGACGTGAGGAACTTGAGTGAGTCCACAACCGGGCCGATGAAGTTATCATAGCGCTGGATTTGAGACAGAACCTGAAAACCACAAAGTACAATTACACAAGCAGTATATGGACCATCAAAAGTAGCACATGCCAAATATAAATACCAAAGTACCAGGTATATGCAATTTATAAAACCAAGGAAATGCTTTTCAGATTTCATTCCCTTATAGCAATAGCAACAGCAACTGTGCAAAGCAGGTCTGTCTCATGAGGAGTGAATCTGCATTTCATGAGGAAATGACATAAGGATATATTTCCTAGGTCTAATAAAACCAAGCTTTCTTAATTCTGACATTCCCCAGATGTCACATATTCAAAGTACTTACATATTCAAACACTACCCCTGGGTTGCTGTGACTAAGTTTTCCAATTTGTCGACCAGATGGCTTGACTGTTTCTTTGGACAAGCGCCTGTAAACAAGACACACATACCTCTATGATCACAGAATTTGTATCATTCCTTTAGGAAAAACAATGCAACACTGTGGAACACACACATAAAGGACACGATAGAAATCTGCTTACGGATGAGATGGTATGTCAACAAATGTGACTGATACTATCAGTAACATCACACTGACACACTATCAAGTCAAATTCATAAGACACCTCTTACAAGTACAGATTAACAAGGACATATTCTCACCATTAAATCTCATCGGGACACAAACATTCAAGCTATTACAGGATAAAAAATTTGCTTCAGGTCTGTTAAATGGCTTTTTGATAAAATACCAAAAAAGAACAACAGTGACTGAAAGATCCTGCGAGAAGAGACATCTCTCTAGACTCTATAGACATTTAACACATGACAGTTGGATGTCTTCCCTGAAACACGTACTTCATGATGTACTTGGCTCGTTCCAGACAGTCCGCTCCTCCTGATGAGGATTGCATGATGCTGATGGGAGTCATTCTTCCAGTGACCATACAAACGGTATCTGAAAAGATAACATGCAACTTTCAAGTGAGGTGAGGTGAAATTGGGTTTAACGTCGTGCTTGAGAATATTTCGCTCATATGACGACGTGCATGCATGTGTATGTGTATGTGCGGCTGCTTGTACTAGCCCAGACTTAAGCTGGTTTTATAGTGCTAGCCCACTGGGATACCATGCCGCAGTGAAGCAGAAATACCCCACTCAGACACATTATACTGACTCCAAGCCGACCAGTCCTTGTACCCATTAATGCGGAGCACCAGACAGGGACCAACAAGTACCATGTTTTAATGTCTTTTGGTATGACGCGGTCTGGGATCGAACCCGCGACCTTCTGCTCTCCGGGCTGACGCTCTAACCACTACACCACGGAGGTGGTCTGCAACTTTCAAGTATTCAAAACAATGAGGTTATAGACATCCAAATAAATCAACAATGTATGTTTTGAATTCATAATGAATTATGACTTTCGGTGTCTGTATATCTGGACTGTATTGTTTAAGTCACATTTTCCACATTATTTAACAACACATGTTCTTCAATATCCCCAGCCACAGTGTTCTGTTCCTATTTAAACAACTATTCATTTCTCCTACAAATAGCGATACATAAGCTGATAAATGAGAAACAATTTCTGCAAAAATCTGTCCCCATTGGGCATACCGTGCACTAAGTCAAGAAACGCATGACAAGGGCCATAACTCTGTAACAAATTATAAGTTTCCGTTTTCAAAATCCATCAAGGCATTCATGTCCTGAAAACACATATCAAATTTGGTCTCCCTATCAACAAAGGTTTTTGAGAAATTCTGTCCCCATTATCTTGGACGGATGGACAGAGCTCCGACTTTGTGGCGGAGATAATAGTCTATTACAAATTTCTACAGTTTCTGCAAAAATCTGTCCCCACTGGGGGATAAAGTACAAGAAAAGCATGACAAGGGGCATCTCTGTAAAGAATTAAACACGCTTTCCATTTTCGAACTCCATCAAGGCATTCATGTCTTGAAAACATACCAAATTTGGTTTCCCTATCTACAACGGTTTTTGAGAAAATCTGTCCCCATTATCTCGGATGGACAGATGGACAGATGTATGGACGGAGCTCCCACTTAGTGGTGGATAATAATACGAACATTCACGACAGTACTTGCGAAGAAATGTAATTTTTCAACTAAAATTTATATTTTTATACTTATCCTGACTCATGATCTTTTGCTTATCTCCCTTTTCCTTGCAAATGGTAGTGGAACACTTGAATCCCTTGAAGTTCCCGAAGCGGACGTATAAATACACTCACCCACGAGTTACCTCCCTTTTGCCCTTTCCAGCGCAAACAGTCATGTGACCAGCCTTACTTGTCACTCTCTCCTGATTTTCTGCCCATGCACTTGGATCTGCTGTGAAATCTGAAGTGTTTCCATCAGGGAGGTTGGGAGGGCTTCTCGTCATGAGTCAGGATAAGTATAAATATATCAATTTTACTTGAAAAATTACACATTTTTTTCTTATCCTGATTCATGATCTTTTGCTTATAGAATTCGACGGATTGGTTGTGGGTCAAGCCACTTCGTTGATTCATCAACTGTCCTTAGATACGTCCTGTATCCCCCCATGGGAACTGCGAAACGGCATTTCTGTGAACCTATTCTTCCAACTTCCGCTATAACTGGGATGGATGTGTGTGTGTTGGGGTTGGGGTTGGGGTACTTTTTTGTCTTACTTCAGTCTCAGACAGGTTTTTTATTGTTCCCAATGTGATGAGTACAAAAACATGATGAGTACAAGCATATAGAGGAATATGTGCACATATCAGCTAGTGGGCTCAATAGCGATATAGTACACTAAGTACATTGAATATCAATATCAGTGATAATGTTTTTATTTAATAGTCATTCAGGGTTAAATTCAGGGATGAGAGGAAACTATTTGGCTAAAAAGCTTTCAACATTATTATTTCTTCTGGAGATGAATGATTCAGTGGTAAATATGTCTTTCAATATCCTTAAGTAATTATCAACTTTTGGAATTGTTTTTGTCAAAGAGCAAGTGTAAATATTTCTCTTAGCAGATAAGATTGTGGTTCAGTAATGGGTTCTTACCTAAAAAGCCAAATCAGATCAAAGAGTTTGTCAAATTAAGTGTTTGGATACGTTTCGTAATCCACTGTTCAAGTTTCTTCCAGAAAGTTGGTTTCATCACATTCCCAATATACATGGCATAAGGTTTCAACAGAATCATTACACAAAGAACATATTGCATTGTCCACCAGATTCATTCTAAAAGGTTCTTTTTTGGTATAAACAATTCATACTGAAATCTAACAGTTTCACATCTCTTAAATTCTTTCTATAAATATTAAAAATCAAATGCCAATCAAAATCAATACAGTCAAATAATGTTTCCCATTTTTGGCACATGTGAGGTTTAAAGATCACATATACTCTAGTTGGGTACCAATACATAAATCACTAACTGGCATCGCTATAAATGAAACCCTGTCATTAAAACTACTCACTTCGGTCTTTAATTAACTTAAATCGACCTTTTTGACAACAGTGCACAATTCTCACCCGCGAACGAAATTTCAACCAATCAGAGCGTGGCGTCTCTGTGACGTCATATGAGGAATAGATATGAGGGCCAATGCAGAATTCATCTACATTTCAGGGGGTAAATTATCTTGTTTACAGGTTTGTATAAACCTGAAATCGTGACAACTGTTGTGGAAAATGAAAGCTATATGTTCTCACAATCTACTGTCATTTAATTTTGTCTCCTGCTTTGCCTAGTTTCCGAGTTACAACTTGTTTTCATAGACGATTCTGTCAAAATTGATTGGTGTCGTTAGGCCCTATTTGTATAATGACTGATCCAAATTTATCCCATTTCTGTGTTTTTTTACCTCGATATTTAATCATGTCATGTAAAAATCTGTTTGTATTCTCAAAACAGTGTCGGCCCATAAGTTTTCACATGCAATACAGCAATTAATACTCCCTTGTTGTAACCCATGTTGGGTGGTATAAACCTACACATGTTATTTGTCATCATTCACTTGATGGTCAGTTAATGAATTTATAACAGGTATAATTAGTGGTAACACACTTAGATTACCCGACAAAGGTTCCCATTTGGCATTTCTTGTGTCTGGAGTAAATATTCAACATTATAAACATCGATCAAAGGATTAACCAATAACACCCTGATTGATTAATTACTTTTATCTTACACAGCGGATTTATCAAAAGGTAGTGTTTATGTATGTAGAGTTACTAATCTATACTGAATACACTCTGTCGTGTCGGTGTCTACGTAAAAACAACGTCCTTCTTTCAAGGATTAACCGGCAATACATTAATTGATTGCCCATTATTGGCTAACTAAATTACTGTTTTTAAAGAAAGGCGGACATTATGCAATTAGTTGCCAGGTGTGCTATCTTGGGTGACCAATGAGACTATACACCAATGTGAAATACCTGAAAAGATTGATCACTTTTTCGTACATTAAACTGTTAAAAGACACATCACTTGGAACAGTTGCAGATGAATGGCATATCACTCGTTTTTGTGGATATGGATGGATACATTCCTCGAACAAGGTAATAGCCTGACATTGTTCCTATAACTTTAATCTGTTTTAATTTTAATATTTGCATTTTGTTTTTATTCATTTGTCGTAGCATTCAACAGAATCATTGTTTTCGCCGTGAAGTGTAATGAGACAGACAACATACACTAGGGTGTGTGTGCGAATTATGATTCATATTGGCAAACTATAAAATGTCTAGATATTACAGTTCTGTTATAAATTCACTATAAGTATCAGCAGATCGCCTGCTTTTTATTAAGTTTCAAAATGCATACAACTATGATAATAAACTAATTAGGATTATAAGACCAAACATATAGACGTACATTGACTAGTATCTACATACTGGTGAGTGGACGTTAACCATGTGAATGTAGCAAGACATTTATCGCAAGAGTATTGTGACTTCGACCCCCACCTCGCTTCCGTGGAAGAAATCGTTATGTTATAAGTTGTGTCATGCAAAATCCTTTTGGTTATGATTCCAATACATATTTAACTATTTAGTAGAAAGTAGTTTTGATTTTCTAACTTGATGAAAACAAACCATAATCTCATTAATTCTAACAGACTTTAGCCCGTCACTTTACGATTTTCAAAATGGGGACCCTGTTGCTAACATCCGCCAGTCTGAGGATAAATGCTATTTAGGTTTGTTTTCACCGAAAGTTACAAAATCAAAACTACTTTCTACTGGTAGTAAAATATGTATTTGATTGATGGCCAATAGGATTTTGCATGACATAGCTTATAACATAACAATTTCTCTCGTGGCAGCGAGGTGGGTGTCAATATAATGCTACTTACAATATTATTGTTACTTCGACCACAACCTCGCTTCCGAGGAAGAAATCATTATGTTACGTTAACGTTATCGTTAAGTTGTGTCATGGAAAATCTTTATGGTCATCAATCATATACATATTTAAATACAACTAGTAAGTAGTTTTGATTCTTAAACTTCTGTGAAGCGATCTGAACACAAGTAAGATATCGTTTCAGGCTTCCACAACGCTCGCTTCGCACTCACAAACATAACCCATTTAGCACGAACTGCGGGTCCTGTGGAAATCTGTGCATGGTGACATCATCGCCCGACCCCTAGGAGCAATTGACGACAAAGCAACGATTCGGTATGTCGTCGTTGATGTCGAGAAATCATCAAAATGATGAGCGTGCTACACACTTTCTTGTCTTACTTCAGTCTCAGACAAGTTGAATCATGTTGATTCATGTGGCTACAGATAAACTAGTATCTTCTTATTACTAGATATTTCATGACAACCCATAGATTATGATAAGATCTTTACCATAAATGAGTTCTGACCCCTTCACGTACAGGTAAGATCTTTACCCGTACAGGATCTTTAATCACTCATACTAGCCTGTCCTAGACTGTGCACATGGACTTTCAAATTAATACTTTTCCTTAGTAAAAGTTATCAACAAGTCAACGTGATAAAGGGTGAGATTTTCCAACTCAGCGCCTTTGAGGAACCGTTAGTTGCTGTGCTACAACGAGAGGCCCAAATTGGTGAATGCCTGAGACGTCTTCAGTGGCTATGTCTCGGAGGTAGTGGTTGGCAAACACCGTGTCTGACTTCCAAAAGCAGCCCTCCATAATTGCAGATATAGAGCAATTTCCATGCAGAGCCAGTGTTGACGCCAGTGCTCTGACTTCATGTGGGTTGGAAGCTCTAGGTTCTAGTCCTGCTGCTTTATAGGCTCTCAATATGACGGCTCTCATCCAGAACGATATGGTCGACTTCTGCTGATGTCTCTGGGATGAACAGGCGGTTGAATTTTCATCTCCTTTTCTTTTGAAGAAATATCTTCAGGGCTCTGACCGGACACAAAGATAAGTCCTCTATATCCTCTGGTCAGAGGATTGTAGACAGCGCTGGTACGTGGAACTGTCTATCTGGCTGACCAGGCAGTTGGTTCTTGGCAATGAAGTCCCATCTAAGTCCTAGATGAACTGCAGCATGTTGCCCTGTGTCGAATCTGGTTCGACCAAAGTCCAGCGCATGTATCTCTAATATTCGAGCTGTCGTGGCTAGCGCAAGCAGGAACAGTCTTCTGTGTCAGCAGCTCGAGGGTAGTCTGGTCTAGAGGTTCGTAGGCATCACTCGTAAGATGACGTAGAATTACATTCAGATCCCAGGCCGGAGCTCTGAACTTCTTTTCCTGGTCCTCCAGTTTAAAAGATCTCAGCAGAGCAAGTACTTCTGGTACTTTCGTCAACTTGATGCCTGTTTTCATGGTAATCACTGTACTGATGGCGGCGAGGTATGTAGATAATGTCAAACCTTTCAGATGTCTAGTCTGTCTATGATGACACAGGTATTCCGCCACTTGAGGATGATTAGCTTTCATCGCAATGAAGCCTTTCCGCCTTGCATAAGTCTCAAACTTCAGCCACTTGTTATCATACAGGTTACGAGTAGATCTGCGTAACGCTAGCGTTACTGCCTTGGCTGCCCTGGCGGAGTATCCTCTTTCCTTCAAGCATGTTTTGATATGGTCCACACATGTAGCTGGAACGCTGTCGGGTTCACGTGGACTTGCTTGGTGTGCGGATGTATGAGTAGGTTCGGCCAATCTGGTAACTTGATTGTTGGACTTCCGAGATCTTCTATTAAATCTAGGAACCATACTCTCGCTGGCCAGTTTGGCGCGACCAAAGTCAGTTGTAGCGCCTGTGTCTGTTTGATCTTCAACAGTACTTCCGGTAGTAATTTCGGGGGTGGAAACGCGAAAGCGTTTAGTCCCAAGATATGCTCAGTGCATCTGTTGCCCAGGCTTGAGGATCTGGAACTGGTGAGCCAAACGTCTGTAGTTATTTGTTGAACCTCTTGGCAAACAGGTCTATGCAAGGGGATCCTATTTCCCTTATGATGACCCGGAACGCTTCTGGATGGAGCATCAATTCCGTAGGTGACGGGTGCAGTGTTCGGTAGAGAGCGTCTAATATATCATTCTGTCCTCTTCCGAACTTGGGTTCTGGAATTTATTGATCAATGCTTCATTGATAGCTCTGGACCTGGCCAACCCGAAGAAGGATCTCCTTGTAGCCGTATCAAGTTGAGATAACTGTTTATCTTCTACTTTAATACATCTTGTTCCGGGAGTCGTTGACTAACTTTATGTTATCATCCCAATCAGGCGCCTTTATAAATGGATCCATATGATGTAAGGGGAATCTCTTCACATTAAATTATGGCAGATGCTGACTCTGGTACTGGGATGCTTTCGTGTAAGCTGTGCGTAGGTTGGAGGGTAACTTGGATACAGGTTCAATCGGAGGGATAGTGAGGGAGTCAAAGTCGTCATTACGCATCATATAAGTGTAGACTTCATCTTTATCCTTAGAAGAAGATTCCAAGTTCAAACCGTTGGCAATCCAAGCTGTAACCTCTGCGTCTGGGAAGACGAAGTCTGCTTGCTCATCAAGTATCTCCTGATTATTAGAGCTAGGCCTCCGTGTATCATCCATCTGCGAACCTGTTTCCCTTCTCGAACCTTCATCATCCTTTCGCGAACCTCTGTCTGCAGATTCCTCCCTACGCGAACGTCTATCTTGAGAGTCCTCTCTTCGCAAACCTCCATCTGTAGATTCATCTCTTTGCGAACCTCTGTGATGTGAGCTTTCTCTTCGCGAAAGTCTGTCGCTAGATGTATCCCTTCGCGAACTTCTGTGACGTGAGCCTTCTCTTCGCGAACCTCTGTCTCGTGATGAGTGACTTCGTGAACGTCTGTGAGAGATATGAGATCTCGATCTAGAGCGGCTAGGTGTAGGAGATGGATCCTTCGATGTTCTCGAACATTGAGGGTTCGCAGATGTAGAACGATGAGTAGGCATCTCATGTCTTCTATCCTCCTCCAAGATGACAGAGTCGTCCGACTGTGGAGACCTTCGCAAAGGTGTACGTTCGCCAACGTTCGCGCAGGTCCGTAGGTTTGCGCACGCTGTTGGTAGATGAGAGGCTTCGCTGAGCCTTCGCTTCTTCCTCAAACCTGCGTTCCATCATGGTCATCATCTGGTTGGTGAATTGTCTCATAAATTCACCCGGGTCAAAGTTCTGCGTTGGTTGAAGCTGCTGCGGTGTAGAAGAAGCGTTCACGAACGCTGATGAGTTCTGTGCCTCGACTTCACTCTGTTGAGAAGTAAGTGGTAGTTCGTCAAACTGCTGTCCTGCTGTGACCGTTGCAGGAGACGATCTAGTAGTTGTAGAAGTTGATTGAGTCGCTGATCTTGTAGGTACTTCGGGTAGAAGTAATGGGGGATCATCAAAAACGTCTACTTCATGTGGAGGTAAAATCTCTTCGTTGAAGGATTTCTGATGCGTTGACTTACTGGCCCGCGTAGTTTTACCCTCCGATCTGGTAACAGATGCTTTCTTCTGCGATGTAGAAGAGGATGACGTCTTTTTCTTAGCTTGAGTCGGAGTCAACTGCGTTGTGGCCGATCTCTTCTTAGCCCCCGTACCAGCAGACTGCCCCTGCAACGTACTCAACATAGCACCAGTATTATGAATCTCCGCAGTAGCAATCAACATACAGTTTGCAGGCTGATCTCCTGTTTTATCAGCCTTGACTTGAGATGACTTCCTCACTCGATCCATGGCACGTCTATAGATATAAGACAAATATTGACTAAATTGTAGATTTGATAAATCAACACAATAAGTACAGCGCAAGCTGGAAGAACATGGTTTTATGCACGAATGGCATTGGGGGTGAGGATCAGCCACGGATAACCTGTGCCTGCAAACACTGCAAGATTTCATGGAGTGTAAACAAAGCTACACAACGATGAAATTATGACACAAATACAAATAATTTTTACAATTTTTTTACATTTAATACATTGTAGTTATTGCCAAATCCATACACAGCGTAATTTTGAAGAATAGGACCTAAATAAAAAGGATATACTGCCGTATATGGGACTCCAGTGCTTGCCCAACCATCCACTTGGGCGAAAAGGGAGAGAGTGACAAGTAAGCCTGGTCACATGACTGTTTGTGCGGGAAAGGGCAAAGGGGAGGTAACTCGTGGGTGAGTGTATTTTTACGTCTGCTTCGGGAACTTCAAGTGTTCCACTACCATTCGCAAGGAAAAGGGAGATAAGCAAAAGATCATGAGTCAGGATAAGAAAAAGATAATCTATTTCCAAATTTGTAGGATTTCACAATACTGTAAACGAGACAAACCAGTGATACTGACAATGATCCACATTGTACAATGACATGCCTTCAAGTAAGTCTCTGAGTTTGACAACATCCAAACAGTCACCTCTTACAACCAGCACAGGTTGCAAGGTACCAATTGTAATCCCAAAACCTGACAGACAGGAGTCAAGTCTTACCTGAGTTCATACTTGTAGAGTTTCAGGAGTCCCCATAGCTCCTCAGTGAGACAGCAATTACAGGGTAGGAGACACATGCTGGGCAGGATGACATCATCCAAGATGTTCAGGAACCCATAGTACGCAACATCATCTTCCGGACCCACGCCACCTTCATGACGCTGAAGCAAAACAAACACAAATGTGTTTCAGCAGCATTTCCATTATATTTACTCTGCTCTTGACATTCAGGGTGACTTCAAAACATGTCTGCTTCAGGGAGGTGATGCAGGTCCTACATATTTTCCATTTAACCAGTCACTAGTATACTTTACGCTAAGCTGCTCACCTTGGTCATGAAAGTCCTGCCAAGTCGGATGAACTTTGCCATGAGTATTGGATCCCGCGAAGCATGTGGTCCCAGGTAGAGAAACATAGGCATGACTCGCTGGTGTAGCTGTAGAAACGTTGTGACAGCATCAGGGGATATCTTACCCTTCCACCTTCGGTCTCTCTTTTTCATCAAAACTCTTGATAAACCACTGTTCCTAAAAATGAGTGAAACAAGCACATGTTAGACGACTGCTCTTTAAATATAGATAACCAGTTAACTGTAAGGTGAAAAATGAATACTGAGGAAGAGAGTTGTAAACTTACAGGGAATATAGCCTCTGAATGGAAATAGAGGGAATGTTATTTTTTTACCAGTAATACTCTATATAAATAGAAAATCATGAAGTCTGTAAAAACCCTTGCCTAGGCAGGACACACTAGTAGTGAATCCTGACACTCTCTCAGCCAGGTGACACTTATTCTTGTCTCAGGTCTGTGAGAACATGAGTACTTACTGCTGATAAAGAGGTTCTACGAGTGAGTGTATCAGTTGACACAAAGCTTGGGCAGTGGATGTGCTTGACATTGCAAAGAACTCTGGCATTCGGTCAAGGACAGCCTTTGCATTGTCCCATGCACCAATAGCCAGCAAGGCTTCACACAGGCCAATCTTCTGGTTATTAGTACGCTGAAACAACAAGGAAACATGGTACATAAAGAAATGAATGCGCACCATGAAGTAAAATGGATGAAAAGAAGATAAGCAGTTATCAGTTTATACCTTCACACATCTTATGTCAAAAGATCAGAATAAACAGCATTGCTGGGGACCAATTCTAACCTGAAATTCTGACAAAGACGCTAATATTCTCTGGTCATCTGATACCTACTGACAAAGGAACTATTTAGATGCATAGGACAGCATGGTATAATATTATTACTTACCAGGTCTATATTGACCATGTCATCCTTATCCTTGTCGTCATCTTTCCGATCAGACAACGACACAATGTTTAGTTTACGCTGGTAGGCTTTAGCATCAGCCAATTCTTTTTCATGGAATGCAATAATATCAGAGTCTGATGGCAGGAGCTGTAATAGAATCAGAAGTCCCTGTATACATGGTGAGTAAATGACCAGAAAGGATTCAACATTTGACATATTATTATCAAATAATGGCAGCATCATATTGTTCAGAAAATCGCGTAGGATAAAGCTGTGACTGTTATTTAACATGGTATGTAAAATTCTTTCCTCAATTTACATAACACTGCCAATATTTGAAAAGGGACACTTACCTAGATGAATGTATTTTAGAATAAGTTACAAAAGTTACTCTCTATCCAGTCATAAGAACATAACTTCACTATTCTAACTTCGGAAATGAAGTCTTGGGGCCTTGGGGTTTATTTCTACAATCCAATCTAGAGAAAAATCTTTGAAGGGCATTAAGAAGTGGAATGTGTAAGAAAAGCAAGATTTATGGATGTCAACTTTTTTATTGTGAATAACACAATGTTTCGGAGAGTATGTTTGCTCGTTCATCACCTGATGAAGGAACAAGCATTCACTCCGAATGTCATGTTAAGGCTGGTCACATGACTGTTTACGTGGGAAAAGGGAGGTAACTCGTGGGTGAGTGTATTTTTACGTCCGCTTCGGGAACTTCAAGGGATTCAAGTGTTCCACTACCATTCGCAAGGAAAAGGGAGATAAGCAAAAGATCATGAGTCAGGATAAGAAAAAAATAATTATACATACATGTGGATAGAGATCTTCTAGATGTACCAAGTTGTGTCTCAACAGCAGTGCTGCAACTCGGAACAGTGACGCTGTGGAATCAATTTCTTGATTTTGCTGAAAAAAACAACAACATGAAATGGAAAACGTAAGTAAGGGAGTGGCTTCAACAGCGCTTTAAACCAGTATTCCAATGAAGTCATGGCCTGTCAGCTTAATGTGAGAAGAAAGCCAGAAATGTGATGGTCTTAGACTTTGGTAACAGATATAGAAAGAGTGAGTGAGTTGAGTTTTAGGCCGCCTTCAGTAATATTCCAGCAATATCACGGCAGGGGACATCAGGAATGGGCTTCAGACATTGTACCAATGTGGGGAATCAAACCCAGGTCTTCAGCGTGACTAGCGAATGCCTTAACCACTATGCTACCCCACCGCCCCCAAAACAGGAGGAATAAAACCAAAGACCTGACTTCTATATTCTGTACACTCAACCTTTCAAAGTCACCATGACTGAGTGAAAACATGTTGTTGTACATGTTTACAACACAGTTAATAATCACGCTATATCATGACATGGAGCTAAAAATCAATCAAATGCCAAATAAACTAGTACATGTTACCATGAGCAAAAATCAAAGTCATCAGAAAACAATGACCACAAAATGTCACTCTAATGACAAGCTTAAGGTATCTGGAACATTCACTGTCTGAAATATCTGTTAACTAAATAGCCATAACATGATAATGAAAATCTTGTTCAATTCTTATATGATTCTCTATGACACTGACATTACATTAAAACATTACAAAGAAAAATTAATACCTCGTGAAATCTAAATCCCAGAATATGACAAAGCGTCAGTTTGTCTGTGACATAATCTTTGAAAAGTGGAATGTAGAATGACTCCTGTTCTGGGCGGCACTCGAAGGCCTCAAGCATTATGTCCAACACCCGATTAGGGTCCAGATCAAAACAGCCTGCAAACAAATGTACATCATGACACAAAGCACCTTCAGAATATACAAAAGCTTGAGCTCAAAGACACGTATATCAACTATTGTAGTGGATGCCCACAATATCTAAGCTCAAATCCCTAATCTTTAACTTGGCACAAAATGGAGGTTAATTGTTTTGCTCACAGAAATATGTAATCCTGCAAATCCTGCATATACTTCATATGAACCAAGAAAACCTGTAAAATACAGAGTAAGCAACACTACAGCTACATCTCAGTCTGAAATAATCACTATTAAATCAGGAAAAGATAAACCAGTGGCTTACGGTGTTCATTTGGTTTGCAATATTCCAGCAGTTTATGGGGAGACTACCCCACCGCCCCTGAGACTTTTATGAATGATATCTACCTATAAGAGACTTGATGTTTTCTAGCACTTGTTGATATGTGACACTTGAGGGTACTTCTTGATTTAGTTCTGTCACCAGTTTTGAGTAGCCCTCACTTTCCTCTCGTAGTAAGTTGAACTTCTGCTGCTTATAGCTGGGGAAGGAAACAAAAAAAAATAAAACAGTGCTATCATTCTATGCTGACTTTCCTTGTCAACTAAAGGTGATTTATTACCCACGTGGTCAACATATGGGTAGTTGCATACAAAACTCGTACGTCACACGAGTGTCGTATCGCGTTGACCTGTGTCGAACGACCTGAGATTCTAACGATTTGATTGGATAACCGTTGACCTCTCAATTAGGTCACGTTGTGACGGAACTACTTTTTCATTCATAACAAAACGTGAATTCATTCATTCACAACTTATATGCATTGTGGGAATGTAAACTTTGCGAATGTTGCCGTATAGCTGTTTAATTGTGAGTCGAACTGAGACATTATATGCGTCGAAAAACTTAAACATAAACTTTCCACCAGCGATGTTAGCCGAGTGAGGCAACTGCAAACTAAGAAACGGGGTTCTACGGAGTAGTTTAATGTAAGAGGCTGTACGAGGCGATGACAACAGACATACATCGTGACGTCGGTTACCAAGGGGGCAGACGAGCAAGGCGTAGTGACGTCATGCAAAAAGTGTACTACAGAACAACATACTTCCGCAACCTCTTTATGAAACCGGTTTTGGTTTGAAACCACAAAAATACGCTATTTTGTCAATTTAATGCATGTAAGACGTGGGTAATAAATAAAATACCACACTCGGTCTCATAACATATGAATTATACGAAACTCGTGACCTTCCTATGGTTTCAGACCTCGCTTTGGCTCAGTCAGATACCATACGAAGGACACTCGTTTCGTATAATTCGTATGTAATGAGACCTCGTGTAGTATTCTCTGTGTATTACATATGATATCTGCCAATGGTCTTGTGCCACAGAGCCACTGTTTGATAGAGTGATGGTAGTTGTTTAGGCAAAAAAAAAAAGGGTCCGTTTCCGGTTACCCAACCGACCCTATCATCACTCTCTCTCTCACTCTCACTCACTCACTCACTCTCACACACACACACACACACACACAGATCTTTTTTAACCAAGTCATAATCATGACTGGAGTGCATTACAATTCATCATTTTCATCCAAATCGAGTATAATATTATCATGTTTTTAAGTGTACGTAGGGCTAAAATGGAATGCATTGAATCGTCATAATGGGCTCTCACTGACAAAACCTGCAAATAAATATAGAAATCTTTCAATGTTTCATCACAAGGCATTGTAACATACTAACAACATGATATGGTATCCTTGAAGACATTCTCAGGTGCCCACCTGGTGCTACTAAAAAATATATTACATATATCACATATCTGCCAAGTTTTGCTGAAAGATATTAAGAAGTTTTCGAGTTGTGCTCCAGAAACGAAGCCCACCCCTCACTTTTGAGACAAAGTCCGAATCGTTTCCATGGAAACCGAGAAACATAAAAATGGCAAAAATCTGTAAATAGCAAAAGGCACCACATTAGGTCCTGTTTGATATATCTAAAAAGTTTTGATGAAAGATATTGAACGGTTTTCAAGTTGTGCTCCAGAAACGAAGCCCATCCCTCCCTTTTGAGACAAAGTCCGAATCGTTTCCATGGAAACCAAGAAAAATTAAAACGACAAAAATCTGTAAATAGCAAAAGGCACCACTTTAGGTTCTGTTTGATATATCTACCAATCTTTGTTGAAAAATATTGAACGTTTTTTGAGTTATGCTCCGTAAACAAAACGATTACGGACGGACGGACGGACATACGGACGAGCCGTCGACTATATCCCCACGCCAAAAAGTAAAAAAAAGAAAGATAAAATCGACCCACCTACCCTATTTTTAAAAAGCATGCAATAGGAAACGGACTTTTTTTTTTTAGCCTTACTGCCCCACCAAGCAATATTTCAGCTATATGATGGCTGCCTGTAAATAATCAAGTCTGACCAAGCAATGTAAGGATTGATATTGTGAGCAATGACCCAAACAAAGATGAAACAATGACAAGCCAAGTCACTGAGCCTGATCCATTTGGTGAGGATAACACTTATGGTTGAACAACTTCTTTATTTATTTTCTTTAAGCAATATTCCAGCAATATCACAGAGCAGCTTGATGTCAGTGCTCAATCTATACCGAATGGACACCAGAAATGAGCTTCACAAATTGTACCCATGTGGAAATCTGAACCCAGCCGTTTTTAAGCAATATTGACGAGAAATGAGCTTCACAAATTGCTTTAACCACTCGGCTACCCCACCGCCCCCTGTTCAACACCACTATGAAGAGTGTCTCATTAAAAAATACCGACTTCACTTAACAGTAGAGGAGGAAAGCCCCAGAATACCTTCAGGGTTAAAACCTTCAGGGTGCCACAGATGTGACGAACTGAATCAGCAAGATCACAGCTGAAAGTCATCAATCCAAAACCAATGAGTGGTCTAAGTGAGACATTTTATATGATCTTCCACAACAACTTGAACAAGTAAAAGAAACATCATCACTTACTATAGCTTTGTCTTGGTCTTGACATATTTCTGCTGGAATTGCAACTTGGAAAAGATAAGGCCAACAGCTTCCAGAGTTTCCTGATCTAAACGTTCCTTCAGTACAGGCTCAGTGATCAAACCCTGTGTAGAAATAAAGGATTCATTACAGGTGTTCTTCATTTGGTTGCACATTTTGTCAATGTAAGCATGAGTCAAGCTTAATTAGATTTGTACCAAAATAGGACATGTTTACCTTTTTGATGTCTGTCTTCAGATGTCTGGGGAGTTCATTAAATACATGCGAGCTCTGTTTAACACAACTATGAACAGTGTTTGAGTTTAATACCAACTTCACACTTCAGTAGAGGAGGAAAGCCCAAGAGTGGTAGGACAAAGATGCAAACCATCTGTGAGATTTGAACCCAGACATGATCATTTGATCCTACCATTGGTTAGGTTTCTCAAATAACAATGACAACAACAGCATCATTATGAACATTAATGATAATAATATTCATCAGTCCTTTACTATGATGACAATGAAACTAACAAGCATCACTGACAACAAGGCCCATGTTTTACTTACAGCGCTGGCTCGGACAAATGTTATAAATCGATCTCTCTGTGCCTTGTCCTCATTGCAAGTGGTCTCCACATCTAAAACAAACATTTGCTCAAATTGAAGTCACAACAAACAAGGTTTGGTTTGGTAAGGTTTATTGTTTTACGCCGCATTTAATTAATATTCCAGTTATATGGTGGCGGTCTGTAAATAATCGAGTCTGGTCCAGACAACCCACTGATCAACAACATGAGTATCAATGAGCATCAATCCATGCAACTAGGATACAATGTATCAGCCAAGTCGGCAAGCCTGATCATCCGAACCCGTTAGTCGCCTCTTAAGACAAACATGGGTTACTGAAGACCAGATCTTCAGGGGTCCATGACACAAGGAACACCACAATTCATATAAAGACATTTTAGGAAATGATCGCTTAAACTTCCACCTAGGAAATCGCATAAAAAACATTTTGTGAAACACTGAGCATGGTAAGTATTTCTGTCACAGTCATAAAATGACTGAAAATCACACACCAAAAGTACACACCAGGCACACAGCCACCGACAGTCAATGCACACAGATGCATGTTTCTCAACTTAGTAAACATAATAACTTTATCATAAAGACATGCCATCAGCCGAGTACTTACAACGTTTGCTATGATGGAACACACCGCGTAATTGCGCGGATAAACACCGCCATCCGAGAATGTATGATGTCAGAAAACACATTATATTTGATTAAATTCAATCCCATTTTCATTCATTAAAACTGTTTACAATAACAAAGGAGAAACCGTCAGTGAAATGGCATTACCTCATTCCATACAACACCCGCTTACCACATTCGTGAGGGTCCGTTTTTCGCGCCTACCGCGGTAGCACCAATTTCACATTTTTCTCAGCAATCACGAACAGATTACAGCCTTGTCATCCATTGACCCCAAGACCTGCGTTATTGACTCTTTGAAGACATATTTGACAATTAATTGCCAACATTTTGTTTTTACAATCAAAGTGGCACGTACCGCGGAAAGTCAGCGGTGACTTGTCAAACTGTCTCCTACGTAAAATGTATCCAGCCAGGTAACCCAAAGTGCCTAGCAATGCTAATTATTATGTTAAATATGTTCGTAGAAAACATGCATTATACTTATACGATAGCAATATATAAGATCTCTGTTAAAATAACTGCTTGACATATAAATTATTCTGATAATGGAATAGAAATTCTTTGATGTTATATTTTCGGATCATTTTTAACTGAATCACCGGTACATTGGACCAAAACACCGATCTGTGCCCAGCTGATTGCTATTTCCGGCTTAGTTGAATAACAGGTAGCATGACAGGAACAACAATTGAATTATCATGTCTTGTGATGTTTGATTGCAAGTTTCATGTACATACATCTATTTTCATTTACAAATTTTTGGGTTTTTTCACCTCCAACAATACGATATAGTTTTGACTGGGCACAATACACGAAATAGCAGTTTTGTTATGTCCATGGAATATGCGATCTTACTTGGCCCTTGTTCCGCGTTATGTAATTGTTACTATAACGCGGGTGTCTAATAACGAGGGGGGGCATCCGTGGACCCCAAGACCCGCGTTATGGCGACTAGCTATGACTATGTCAAATGTTTTGGGGTGTACATAGGCGGATCCAGAGGGGGGTGCAGGAGTGCACCATCCCCAACCCCCCTTTGTGCTGAAAGTTTGTTAAATGACCATTGAAACTCGGGTGAAAATGAAGTGTGCACCCCTCCTTTTCTCAATAGTGTGCACCCCCCCTTTCTCAAAAAGCTGTATCCGCCCCTGGTGTATATAGCAAAGTGGAAGGACAGTACTGAAAGGTTTTGAAGTTCTGCTCCAAAAAGGAGCACTTCCACAATTTCAGACAAAGTCAAACTTGGTGCCATGGAAACACACAAATATCTTATTCACAAATCCAAAACTACCAAAAGGAACCAGTTCACCACCAGACCTATCTATGTGCCAAGTTTGGTGAAGAAATAGTGAACGGTTTTAAAGTTCTGCTCCGGAAAAGAGAACTACCATCAATTTCTGTCAAAGTCACACTTGTTGCCATGGAAATGCAAAAAATATTATATTCAGAAATCCAAAACTACCAAAAGGCACCAGTGCACTACCAGACCTATCTAGGTGCCAAGTCTGGTGAAGAAATATTAAATGGTTATAAAGTTCTGCTCTGGAAAAGAAAACTGATCTTAAATACATTAACACTAATTGTTGTCATTATCATGCTAATAGTTTTGATACACTATAAAAGAAAATTTGAAGTCACTTGAATACCTGTTCAGGGTTCCTTATCTATTTTCACTGACTTTTTCAAGGCAAAATCTGTACACATCTTTAGCTACTACTTACTAGTTAAAAGCCAAGGGCTAGTAAAATTTCTTCTGGTTGAGCAGACTCAAAATGGCTTAGACCAAGACAGGAATCCAAAGTCTACTATACATAGAAATCTTCATGACCTTTATCATGTGTGTGATGACAATTTATCAATATCCTACAAAATATACTGATCTGAATCCCTGTTTTATTTAAAGCTGGAGTACTCACATTAAGATCTGCAAGAGCAGCCAGAGCCTGGTCCTGTTTGAGATGACCACGAAGAACACTCCAGCAGAGCTCGTACATTGCTCGCTTCATAGTCTTCTCCCCTGGCTCCCATAATCCACTGCTCTCGCTCTGTAGCTTTCGGCATTGCTTTACACTGAAATTGAACACACATCGTCATTTTACACTTTCATACACAACAAATTGATATTATTATAATATGAGTATGCAAGGTGGGTTTGAAGTCTAAGGGTGAAGAACATGTAATGTGATACTAATGCTAATAGCAAAGCCTATGACAATCTGGCGTGGAGCTTCATAGTTCTGAACATGCCAGTATTACTGACCATCTATTGAGCAAGTTACATTACTTTAAACTAAGAAATAATTATGTAAAGATGGTGATAATTGAAAACTTCAGTTATGCATTGATAATTATGCAGTAAACAAGTGAGCACTGCAACATCATCAAAATGTAGAATGTCTACAAAGCTGGCTAAAAAAAGGGCACGGGTAGTCTTATAAATGTGCCCATTTACAGAGGAAACAATATTTGCAATATGTGGGGGAGAAATACAAAAGTTAGGCCAATACCTATAGTTGGTTGCTATTGTTTTAAAATGGCAGGAAGGTAAGTCAACATTATGTTCTGAATGTACAGTCAATGGGATCCAGGAAATACAAAATATCATTCACTAAGTAACCAAAGCCCACAGTGCCTAAATGGAAACATGTAACTAATTTCTAAAGAAAGTATGTAGGCACACAAAAGAAATACTGCAGGGAGTATATAATGTTTTTTACTGTAAACAATCTGTGCACATGTAACATATTAAAACTATCCTTCTTGACATATTTCACTGTCATTGTCACAGAACCGTGAAACAAAATATCTCTATGCAAACAAGAGGTGAGGTGAGGTGAAATTGGGTTTAACGTCGTGCTTGAGAGTATTTTGCTCACATGACGACGTGCATGCGTGTGTATGTGTATGTCTGCGGCTGCTTGTACTAGCCCAGACTTAAGCTGGTTTTATAGTGCTAGCCCACTGAGATAGCATCCCACTCAGGCACATTATCCTGACTCCGAGCCAACCAGTCCTTGATGTACCCATTAATGCCGAACGCCAGGCAGGGACCAACAAGTACCATATTTTTACGTCTTTTGGTATGACGCGGTCAGGGATCGAACTTGCGACCTTCCGCTCTCCGGGCGGACGCTCTAACCACTACACCATGGAGGCGGTCTATGCAAACAAGAGACATCAGAAGATGACAAATCCCCCAGGCCCCCCACAAATTTGAAAGAACAAATATCTGACAGTTACTTAAAGGCCAACTCGATTTTTTGGGGGGACTAGATCTAAATCGTTTCTGTGGAAATCATGAAAAATACAAGTGTTTGCCACTGATATGGCAATGTCCCCCGCCGCTAAAGAATGGAATATAACACATTTACTACTTTTTATTTTTTGGTCACATACAAGAAGCCTGAAATGACTGGTGTCTGCATAATCACCCTATATGTCGACATAATTGAAGACAATGCTATGTGCTATGACGGTGCTATGTTTTATGAGATATCGTGTTAACAAGAGTTTGAAAAGTGGTCAAAGTGGTGACCTTGAAGATCAGGTCAAGGTCACCCAAATCGACTGGTGCCTGCATAATCCCCCCAAGGTAGCCTGTCACTAAATTTGAAGACATTGGGTACAACAGTTCATGAGATATCGCATTAACTCTTTCAACACCAGTCAACCAGAGGCATTTACTGCCATGACACCGAGTTCCCAGAGACCCTGAGGTCATAGATGAAGCCTATGTTTATGAAGGAAATTATAAGCTTGTAATCGGTATTGCTACTACATTCCATACACCATTTAAAAGATCTAATCCTACTGTTGATAATGATGAAGTTTATTTTTATAATATTATTCAAATAATACAACTACAACTTAAATAAATGTAGTTTTGAATGAAAATGCAAGCTTACATTTATAACGTCCAGATAAACCACGAAGGAAGCAAAAACTATGGCAATTTTTTTCCATTTGTGACATGTCATAAAATGCCCGTGCCTTTTTCTTTTATATTTTCATTTTTACGTCATCAGAAAATTATTATAAAAAGATTTCTTAAATAATATGTATGGTCGCCTATTTCCCGATATATGTGGATTTCCGCTCGGTAACATGACATAACAACGGAAAATACCTCCGCTTTCAAGCTTCAGATGAATAACATGCGTAGGCTTAATCGCTTGATGTCGGGCATCGCTCGAAAGCTCTGAACATCAACAATATCACTGTACCCCTGCCAAGAGTATTTTCTACAGTTGTAAGAAGCGATTTTATTGGATAAAGATTGGTTTCTAATGACGCTTTATTCGCCACAGTCTGCTATAGAGAGTCGTGATTGGTCAAAATCAGACACGTGACCTAAGGCAGCCAATCATATTACGGCAATGGATACGCGTCCTCGTAAAACTTAAAACTTTTAGATTTAGAAAAGTTTTGGGTAAAATATTGCTATTCTGAACATATTAAGCAAGAAATGCGCTACCTATAACGTAAATTATGGAACTTATTGGACGATCGTGCTAGGTTATGACCTGTGACAAAAATGCTTCATGTATATATTTTCGCATTAAACATCGTGGTCCGGCGTGCTTGAGATTGAGGCGACGAGAGCTCTAGATGTCACTTGTCAGTGACTTGACTTACATTACATGATCGCGACAAAAGATGGAAATAGTAATTTTATATGTACGCTTTGACAACTTTTATGAATGTTGTTGTTGATTTTATTCATTAGTTTATTCAATTTATTTAATGAATTCCTCGAAACATCGCTTACTTTGCTCTTTGACAATGTTTTTGTGGACCCGCTGCGAAGCATGTGTCCGAGAATCGCTGTTTTCAATAACATTGAGAAAATAGTTTATAATTTTAATTCTGCTGATAATATATGATAAATTGAAATTTAATAAGTGTTTTCAGACATTGTGAAATGTGATAGATTTTAACAAGAGTTTCAAAAGTGTCGTGGTGACCTTGAAAATAAAGGTCAAGGTCACCATAATCGACTGTTGTCTGGGTAATCCCCCAATGTAGGCTGTCACCAAATTTGAAGATGTTGGGTACAACAGTTCATGAGATATCACGTTAACAAGAATCGGGACGTACGGACGCCGCTGAATACATAGTCCCCCGTTCCGCGTTGCGGCGGGGGACAATAAATGCGAACAATCAGTAAAAGGCAAAAGGCACCACTTCAAGATCTGTTTGTATATCTGCCAAGTCTTATAGAAAGATCTTGAACGGTTTTCGAGTTGTGCTTCAGAAATGAAGCCCACCCCTCCCATGTTTCCATGGAAGTCAAGAAAAAGAAAAATGACAAAAATCTGTAAATAGCAAAAGGCACCACTTTAGGTTCTGTTTGATATATCTACCAATTTTTGTTGAAAAATATTGAACTTTTTTTAGTTATGCTCCAGAAACAAAATGATTACGGACGGACTGATGGACGGATGAGGCGTCGACTATATCCCCCCCCCAACTATATGATAGGGGAAAAAGAAGAAAATAACTCATCTGTTTTATGAGTATTGCATCTGTGCTGACTGTAGAGCATTAGGTATGGACAGCATGTTTGGAAAGGAGAACTTCAAAACTTTGTCCAGATGTTATTTGTGTGAATTGCATACCGGTAGATGTACCATAACATACATAGCATCCACAATTGCCAATTAACAGGAATACTGTATATGACTGTTGAGAAGAAGAAATTTGAGGACCAAAAACCAGTCTGCAGAAGGGAATGGCCCTACCTACAGGTTACACTTACAAACTTTTTTAAGAAAACCCATAATTTGTTGTTATTGTTTTGTTACCAGTGTTTGTCAAGGTACTGGTACTGTTGCGATTCACTTGCAAATTTGGCATCTCTTTGTGAATTTTGTGGATTCTTTGTGGTCACACGAATCGAATATTTAAAGGTATTTCTAAGACAGTGTTTTACTTTAAGTGATATATGTTATAAGTTGTTTTTTTAAGTGATATATGTGCCACGGAATATATCCAAGCCATGCAGCAGTGTTACTTGTGTCATTTTGCCAAAGCTGCTTATGGCACTGTCATTAGGCATTGTATTGCTTTTTGCTTTAGAGAAATTATGCTTCTACCTAAGCAATGACATGATAGTTTATTTTAATTCATTGATATTACAAGACTAAATATTCGTATTCATTACTATACATTTGTAAAACAATGTATTTGCCTCTTAGTGTATTTTTTGCAGCCATACTGGGAACTAAATTTGGGTTTGTCGCAGATCAAATGCATAATTATTGTGGAATCCTAGATATTTCAGGTAATAATTTCAGGTCATCCAATGATCATTATTTGGGTTAGGAGTCACAACTTAACTGTACGCACCTTGTTAAATACTACCCTGCCAAGATTGATACCTTCCCTGTGGACCCTGTTGATTAGGGCTGTGTATTGGCAAATAAATTTATTGCAATATATTGCAATTCTGGTACCCATACCCCAATATGTAGTGTTGGGAATCAACCTCTAAAACCATAATTGATTATCGATGTCTTCTGTCGATCAATTATCGATAAATGATCAACTACAAGTATAGATTTATGACCACAAGACCAGCTGGATGAGACGACTGCTATAAGTACAAGATTGCTTGTAATAAACATTTGTCATGACATGAGATCGTAACCCATTCTTTTTAGATATGGATTAAAAAACACTTTGACGAAAGGAGATTGAAAATCATGGAGTATTTGACAACAAATATGAATTTAGATCACTTTTTACAGCTAAACGATACGTTTGTCAACTATTTTTGTGTGTGAAAATTGAAAAACTTGAACTCAAGATCTAAGTGTCGACTTCGATGCAGAAATCAGAATAGAACGGCTATAGATCTAAGAGTACATGTGACAAATATCAATAAAACTATCCATTTCCATCCTTCTCGTGAATTTGACGAGAATTGAGCCTTTTGCAAATACAAAATGTTTTCTCGAAGCGAACATATACATGTGCGGGAGAGCGGGCATTTTGTTGACAGTCTGACCAGCCAATCAAACCGCTTGTTTTCACGTGTTCTATTTCTCAGGAGTATTTGTTGTTTTTAAAGCCATGTTTTCATAACATACCATCTAAATAATATATGCATCCACGCTAAAACTGTTGTTACGCTGCAAGCCACTACCTGCACAAGAAGAAAACGACTGCTCCCTCAGCAAGCTATAAATAGACTTGACTTCCTGTATAACAGTTGCCATTGCGAGCCTACCTGGAGGTATTTACAAATCTTGCATGTACACCAATCGTTTGTTGTTCTTGAAGACAGTATTCAGTGTTATCGATTGATTTTTTAAATCGATAATCGAGGTTTGATTGTCTAACGATCAATAAACCGATTATTTGATCGATCGGTGCACCACTACCAATATGTATTGTGATATATTGGGAGCTTCAGTGTTTGATTGTACATGCAGAGCCTAATTTCCAGATGAAATGAATGAAAGTCTGTGTCTTACCATAGAGATAATCACAATACTTCTCACATTATTACCCAATATGCCTGTTTTGAGAATAAACATTGCAATATGTATCGTTTGAAAGGTCTATCAAGATATTCCAGTGTACCGTGCAGTCCTACAGTTGATACAGACCACATAACTGGAGGTGATTTCTTATTCTAAACTTGCAGCATGTCATTAGCTAACCCAAGAGGTTACTGTTAAATAAAAAGTTCATATCTGTTCAAGAGTTATAAAACTTTCCCCTTTCAGCAATGTCAGAATACAAAAGCGATAGGTCAGCATAAAAGTTCATCTTTAAAACATGTCAAATGTTAAGAGCTTTCTTCGTTTCCAATATTGTACTGTAAGTAGTCACTCGGTTTCATCAACCATGCTTTGACAAGTGGTTTGCATCACGAAATAACATGGGACAAAGAGATGATCTAAAACTATTGAGTACGTTGTCACAAGAAGTGGAGACGTGTATGGTGCTCTTAACATTATTCACGTTAATTCTTGACATTAACGCTGAACGCGCTGGTGCCCGAAAAGGCATATAATTTGTGCTCCACATCCCACATTTGCAATGTTACAAGCGAGCATGTCGATAATCAACAAGTAAACTTTAAACGAATGTTTGGCAAGAAATATCAATAAACATGGATATTTGCCACTCATATGTGGCTAAGACCATAAAAATGCGACCTTAAATACATACAATTCTGATTTGCCCGTCTTTTCCCAAGCTTTGCAAGCATCCGCCGAAATACAGATGGACGCCATTTTCTTCTGGGAAATTTCGTCAATGACGTCACTTGTAAATAACCTCTAATATTCATTAAAGTTATATAAATGAACCTATAAGTCATTAAGGCGATCAACCAAGATTATCTTTCCGCAAACAAATTATAGATCTCAAAATAGTAAAAATATAATATGATGTCATCTAAGATTAGGTTATACCGAGTTGAATCGAATTGAAAGGTTTGAGAGTACCTGTATACCGCAGACGGATGTTAATAACCGGACAAAACACGTATTTGATTTTCTAACTGACAATATCTTTCGTTTTAGTAAATAAAGCAAATTTTGTGATAATATATAGATACATTATTATTTATTTCATAGCAAATGCTCAATCTGAAACTCAAGTCATTTTCAGCATAACAAAAATCGCAAAATAAAGAACGTCCTGTTTTTAATATGAAACAAAATGGCGGCGCCCACGAAACACGAGAAATTATCGAAAACAGAGCGAAAGATCTTAAAGAAGCAAGGAAAATCTCGAATAACACTCCTTAAACACGATGGTATCTCCACATCCGAGAGTCCAACAAAGGTTGACACATATTTTGCACATAGTCATTGTTATCTTGTTGACTTATAAGATCTACCGCTAGTTGACTGATACCTTATGATCCCTAACAGTGGGAATCGTGACTATATCAATCATGTTGTCATTACAGTATGACACCTTTAGCATGGCTAGAATGCTGAACCCAGGCTTGATTATTTACAAGCCGACATGATAATGAATAATGACTGCCTAATCAACATTATTATATCCTACATTTGTTTCAGATTCTCTGTGTCACTAATGCTGGTTTAGACAATGGACTCACTCAACAGGAAGTCTGGGATCTTTTCAGCAAGCATGGGCTTGTCACCGAGATCATCATGCTCCCACAGAAACCATACTGCTTTGTTAGTTTCTCTGGGACAGATGATGCTCAAAAGGCATTTCATGCTACCAATGGATTTTTGTTCCGTAAAGGACCAAATTCATCACAAGATGTGTATTTCTACAGTTCATATGTTAGCCAGGGTAATTGAAAACTTCACTTCTGACAAAAATTACAGTTGTTGTTATTGCTGTTGTTGTTGTTCTATGTTTCAAACCCATGTCAATAGACTCTAGAGCATGGGCTCTGGGGTATGATCCCTGACTGTGTCATACCTTAAGATGAAAGATAGTTGTTATTTAACCAGTCGCTAAACATTAAGCTTTAAGTCCATAATATCAATTATCATGTTAAAGTATGGTATTTCAGAAGCCTAGCACTATAAAACTGTCATTAATCTGGACAAGTAAAAGCAGACATATGCCCATACGTGTCACTATATATACCGAGAAAAAAAAGTTAAGCGCCAGCCTATTTCAAAACTAAGAAGTGAATCTGTGGAAATGTTAGGCTAAAATAATTGGGAAGACCAATCCATATTTAGAGAAGGTTCATCTGGTAACTGATTTAGGGATATCATAATCATTTGCATTTACAATTAAAGGAAATATCGTTAAAGATATGATGGCACTGCTTTTTAAAGCAAAATAACTATTCCAATTCTGCATATACAACACTATTAAACTTAGGTTTCACTTGTCAAAAATGACAATCATGTGACCATATAACAGTCATTTCTGATTTTCCCTTTTCAAAAGAAGGTTACCTTTTTGAGGAAAACAAAATGCATGTTTTCCCAAAGCGCTTACATCCTGTTTAAAGTAAAAGATAATCTCCACAATGATTTTGTTTTTAAACTAAAAGTACTAAACCAAATTATGATAGTTGTTTTTATCTGAAAGATTTCCTATGAGACAACCTATATTGGCAAAATATACTGGGTGGTGCTTAACTTTTTTATTCACAGTATAATGAAATATGTGCAGTAATCCTGAACGCAGCATTTAATCCAATTGAACATCACCACACCAATATCAATATGTCCCATCTCTCTCAAAACATGCTTTCAGTCCAAGATTTGGGTCTTTCAACATGTTAAATACACGCTTTCCCTGCATGTTTTTTTAACACAATGACTTCCTTGCATGCCATACACATTGTAAATTTTTTTCGAAATAGATGTGATAATTTAGGGATCATATGGTATCTAGATCTGTTGTGATGTCAGTGACAACAGTAGTTGGTTTAAAATATGAAGGCTGCCCAAGGATAAACTTCATTCAGTATGATATATTTTATGGATGTTACTAAAACAATGATAAACAGGAATTGCTACTCACAAAAAGACATATCGTAATGTTATCATTTCTCAGCTTCAGTCTACATTTCTTTAAGCTTATTCATATGAAAAATTATTTGTCTTATAGCATCCCTGAAAACCTCTCTGTCTTTCTGTCTGTTATTTTGCATAGAAGCTTAAAGCTCACATATCAAATATCAAAGTTTTCTACTATTTAGTACCAGCCAGTGTTGCCCCCTCAAGTGAGATGCCCAAAGGGTTAGTTTTGCTGCCAGACTTTGTCACACCAGAATTGGAGATGCATCTACTGGACCAGATCAAATGGAATGACGAAGGCAGCGAGGGTACTTGATTTCTGTTTTCTAGTTACAGAAACTGTAGGCTGACGTTTCAGTTATCAGACATGCTGACCAATTCATTACCACTTTAGCTTGAAGCTTACAGCTTAACTGCTGTGTACAACAGATATGTTAAAACTACAATAAACTTTGTGATAGTGTATCATTTGTTGATAATTAATGGCTAGTGTTACTTTCAAACTCTTTGGAGTCCTTTGCATGTGTAAGCTGCCTGGTGCTAGGAGTTAAAGGCAGAAGGAATGGTCAGCTTGGAGTCAGTACACTGTCTGAGTGGGATGTCCATGTTAAACTGTGGCGTGGTATCTCAGTGGGTTAGCGCTATAGAACCAGTCTATGTCTCGACCAGTGCAAGTTGGCGCATACACACACAAACATACACATGAACTTATGCCTACTATAGAGGTGCAATAATCTTGAACATAATGTTAAAGGCAGTTTCACCTCAATGCATCATTGCGTTTGCGCCTGACAAGATTGTTATTCAAGGGACTTTTCTTTCAGCTCAGAGAACACTGAAGCATCGTAGAGTAAAACATTATGGCTATGAGTTCAAATATGGCATCAACAATGTTGACCCCAATGACCCACTGCCAGAGGGTGTCCCAGAATCCTGCAGAGAGTTCCTCTCACGAGCCATAGAAATGGGTGTGGTCAAGCATTACCCTGATCAGCTGACTGTCAATCAGTATGAACCAGGGCAAGGTAAGTGAGAGACTAGAGCTGTAGTACATAGACTGTGTTAGATCCATTACTTGTTAGCTTTTGCATTACTTGGTATGTGTTTGATTTACTTCTTCTCCAGTTTAAATCAGAAGTCTACCTGTAGTCTGATTTCTATATCAGTTGCCAGTTTATCTCAGTATGTTGTCATGTTCATTAAACAACTCTTGTCTGCCATGCATTTTGAAATATTCTTACTAAAGGGCAGCTGTAATCATTATTATTATACGTTTGTCTGAAAAGAGAAAAGTGGTTTTCTGTCATAATAATTCTTTTTCACTTTTCAAATATTAAAAAAGTATTGCCTTATTGTCTTTTATCTTTCTTTTGATTTTCTTCCACATTGACATAAGTATTGTGTCTTTGTTTTGAACTTATTTATGTTACAGTCAGATTGTGAAATCAGTCATTTCATGAAATGACTAAGAGGGTCCTCCATTTCGCTGGATAATGGTATATCTGATCAGGATCACTGAAGTAAGTTTTGCCTATTGAGACCACTGACAATTAAACGGGCTGCTGAAGTAGCATTCCATTAAGTTGACGTTTTCTTGGCGATAGGTGCCCCAGTGATCCTCCAATCTGATAATGGATCAGAGTTCACGTCTCAAGTTATTAAAGAAATTCAACACGTCTGACCAGAACTAGCACGAGTACATGGTAAGCCACACCATATCCAAAGGCAAGGATCAGTTGAAAGGGCAAATGGCGACATAAAAGACATGCTGGTAGTGTGGATGAGTGATAACAAGACTAAAGACTGGCGACATCTTATTCATTTCCCGAAATGATTTAAATTTTTGGTCATTTCACAAAAGGACTGATTTCACAATCTGACTGTAACATATATACAAACAAATATTCTTGGTTGAAATAAGGTACCAGCAACCTATGCTGGCCTGAGAGGTGATTTAAATGATCAGTTTGTTGTGTGTATTTTTGGTGCTCCAGCATCTTGTATAGTTGCTGATAATATCAATCACTGGTTTGTCAGACCCAGCCATCATATAAGTGCTGTTCGTAGCATTAACTAACAAACAGGGCCTAAATTTTTGAAGCTCTCTTAGCACTAAGATAGTTGTAAGCATTAACGTATGACTATCTTAGCGCTAAGAGAGCTTCAAAAATCTAGGCCCAGGACAGTAACTCGGGAAGAATAAGCAATTTTTGCCCAGGGCCTGACTAGTTGTGAAACTGTTGATGTTTGTTTCTAAGGTATCCCTCCACATGTGGACACACCCCCAGCATTTGAAGACGGCATCGTGTCACTGAGTCTCGGTTCTCAGGTAAAGTACTGAATAAACACTTTCTGTGTGGCTGGTGTAGTTCAACATGGCAGTGGGTGATGATTCATTATTGCTTCCAGGACTTAGGGAAAGAGTGAAGAGTGCTAGGCAATCCAAGCAAATTACCAGCCATAAGAAACTGATCCTACAGTGAAACCTTGTTAACTCAACTTTATTAACTTCCTGTGCAGGTGTACCATTTACGTGTTAAAACAACTTTACCTTGATCTGCAGATATATTGTTTATAATTTAAAACAACAGTGAAATATTTAATTTTTAAACTTATCCTATCTCACGATTTGCACTTCTCTCTCTTGCTTCGACGCTGAGTGGAACGAATGAGAACTTTTCCTGTAGGCCTCTCTTGTCCATACGCCCGTGTTCCCCAGGCTGCTCTCCTTATAGGACAGGTCCCTAGTCCCCTGCTAAGCGTGCAGCACGTTTGTCTATCCAGGTGACTACCTCAGAGTGATCATTCTTCTTCTTGTCGCACCACTGTGTGGACGTATTGTGAGAGTTCTCAGCTTTCCTTACAAGTTAACATGAGAAATATATCATGGGTATTTGACCCTAAGTAGCGTAATTTTGCACACACTGTAACAATATTTACTTCCTCGGATCCCCACTCGTCATGTGTGGGTTGTAATGACCTGTGTTCCTGGAGCAAACGTTGTCGGGAATGTGCTCCCTTATCAAGGACGTTTTAGAGCATATAGACATGCTTGCTCCCGTTGGCTGGCAGACAGAGCTCGTTACACTTCAACAGTTGATCACCCGACAAAACCCCTCTTTCAAAGACCAGTATTAACTGCTCATCGTCCGGAGATTCCCATGTCGGACGGTGATGATTTTATTGGCGCATCATCAGATGTCTACTCGCCGTTCCGCCTCATCCAACCTCTCTGTGTTGCCAGCTGACACACAGAGCCGATCTACTTTGTCAAATCGCGCAACCGATTCACCACACCGAATCGGTTCGCCATACCAAATGGATTCACCAGACCGAACTGTTTTGCCACGGCGTATGTGGATTACGACATCGTCTCAATCCGCCATAATATTAAGACTGTTTCTTATCGCTGAAACGGTTCACATCATCGATTCGATCTACAGCACCGAAACGGCTCGCCCTGCCGCGTAACGGCTCTCTTCACCGAAACGATTCACCTCGGCCGGAACATTTCACCTCGCCTCACCGGTTCATCTGATCGTTCTAGATCTCTCCATCATCATTAAACGTTTCGGATTACCGAACCAATCCAGATCACAGTCACGATCCAGCTCACAACGCCAATCCAGATCATGGACTGATTCAGATCACATCAACATTCTGTCTCACCACCCTGAACCGATTTACCAGCCCGACTTGTACCGTTTCAACCAGGCCGAACCACTTCCTATCGCCGAACCAGTTCATCTGGCCGTTCAAGATTACTGAATAGTCAGCATTTGTCAATAATCCGTTCCTCGGACCTTGCCAGGAGCATCTGTGAGCTGAATTCCCTCATCTACGAGCCTATGCCAAATGTGGCAAGCTCTAAGCGACGACAATTTGATTTGTTTATCCTGTTTACCTTAACGGCTTGTGAGCTGCTTAATGTTTTTAGTCACATAACTTATCCCATCCTTGTACCCATCTTTTCGGCTGGTTGAACAGAGGTAGTGCTTCACCATGCCGAATCGATTTACATGTGATGTCCAGTCAGCTATGTGTTTAGACATATCATTGCTTTTTCGGCACTTGAGCTGTCTTCACGATCCCAGTTCTCAAGAGACATCCGCCTTGTGACCGGAATCTCATCTCATTCTCAGATTTAATCTACCATCCGATCTTCACCTTTGATGAATGATTCGATTCAACGAATCTACCCTTCGGTATCAGTTCATACCGATATCACCCATTACTAGAGATATCAGTTCTACAACCGGCATGTCCGATAGGGCATTACTAGATAAGCTTGCTAGCCAGGAATACTTTACCACGCTTCACTGAGTCTGGAGTGAGCGGTTTGACTTTTGCTGGGGTTACTTTCGGTTTTCTACTCTAGCTCAAGCACTGAGTTCAGAGGTCACTGCAGTTATCGTGGACTGTCACCAGGCAGCGCCCTCTACCTAGATCGGATCCAGACTATCTTCGATTTACTTTCAAGGGGTCATTGATACCAATGGAGGGTCCTGCTGTTTGGCATATGTACGGCCCCGTGGCTTTTTACTCAGATACCCAATCCGATAAAAAGCTAACTTCATTGTCGAGGCGTGACATTCGAGAACTATATCGATGACTGTGTTCAAGCCCAGCAGGATCCAGTCCTCCTTCCTCTCCACAGGCAGTTCTTCATCAAGTTGCTTGCGCAATTAGGATGGCTGCTGAATTCGGAGAAATCGGAGGTAACACCCACCCGGTGATTTCTTTTTTTGGGGACAATATTCAACACGACAGGTCATGATGTTTGTGCCCCAGGAGAGGTGGGACAAGATTCAGTGCAACGCACCACTAGTGCTGGTCCAACCCACAACTTTTCGCCAGTGGCAGAAGTTACTAGGGTGGTTGACATCGGCACAAGCGCTGACTTACAGGGGCCAGCATCAGCTTCGCCCTCTTCAGATTATTTCTGTGCCCATACATCCAGGGGCGACAACCCCAGGGAGTTGATTAGTCTTCCAGCACAACTACATTCAGTTTTTCGTTGGTGGCTCAACAAGTTGGAATGTTTGCTTTGGAGTCTCTATGGTGCCCTTCATACCGACTCAACACCTGTTAAGTTGGACGCATCTTTCAAGCTGGGGCTCACTTTCTCCATCAAGTGGCCTAGCAGAAAAATAGTCATCAGGAGAAAGGGCCCTTCATATCAACCTAATTGGAATTCAGCACTGTCATTCTCGCCGTTCGGCATTGGGCGAGTTGAACTACGGTTCACTCATATACTGATTCAATCAGACATTTCCATGGTAATTTTGTACATAAACCATCAGGGGTTGACAGGATCAGCAGCTCTGCTTCAGTTGATGTTTCGAATTTATCATCTGATCGATTCTCTCAACACAGTGGCCAGAGCCCGACACATTCCCAGGATGAGGAATGTCATTGCCGATGCCCTGTCACGTCTCAAACGACCGTCACTCACGGAGTAGAAACAACTGCCTCTGATATTCCAATGGAAGATCTACCTGTTACCACGACCAGATGTAGACCTGTTCGCCACTCAAGACAACCATCAGCTTCAGCGTAGATGATCACCAGTTGCGATCGTTTCTGCTTTGTGTACAATCGGAATAGAATTCTGAATTTTATTTCTGATTTGTGTCTTCCATTCTTCTGGGACTTCGATTTCTCCTCTCAATTTAATTTGAGACTCTGGAGAATCGCCACCTCACTTACTGTCCTCTGCTCTATGGAGTAATTACCTCAGTGAAGTGAGTCATTCGAAGTGTTACCTCCATTACGTTCATGCATGCTCCCTAAGTACCTATACACATCTATGTGATCTTACTGTGGTAAGTAGTGGAAGTCATAAGATGATGTTGTGGTACTGAACGCTAAAATTGTTTTCCGATTCAATTACCCTTTCACCTTCCTAGTGACGGTTTCTGTGGGGGTTGTTTCGAAGCAGGGGCTGGCCCGATAATAGTCATTAGACTTTTATTACAGGGGTACCTTGGAAATCGTGGTAATGCGACTGATTACACTCGCTAAGCTGCGTCCTTTCACTTTCATGAAGGTAGTGACTGAACACCACATTGCTCGGGAGTACCAGTCCCTGGGAGCAATTGTGCTCAGTAAGTCAATGGGTTCAAACTAACCATCGCACATAGTGACCTTGGTAATTCTTGGCCTACCTTGTCGTTGCTTCCTACGGATGTAGAAGTGTTCGACAATTTTGCTTGCTAACCTCTACTCCACGGAGCAATCACGTCAGTGTAGTGAGTCCTTCCCGATTTCCTTATGGATTTCATAGCGTTGTAGCTCCTAAGAACCTAAGCACACCGTTGAGACCTAACTGTGGTAAGTAGTGGAAGCCATGTGGTGTTGTTTTGGTACTGAACGTTAAACTTTTTCCGATTCAGTTTCCTTTTCCCCTCTTCGTGATGGGGTCTGGGGGGCTGTCTCGAAGCAGGTCGCGAGGGCCCGATTACTGAGTAGTGAATGCGGGGGTACTCTGATAAATCATGGCGAAGCAAGGGGACTTGCCTAGTTGCGTTTTCTTGCATATGCGAGGGTTACTGCCGAACACCACATTGTTCAGGAGATCCCATCACTAGTATAGGTACTAACTACTACTATGCTAGTTGGATCCTGCAGCCGAAAACCACATCGCTCAGGAGCACCCACTCTTGGAAGCGATGATGCCTAGTAAAGCCAAGAGGTTCAGGAGAACCCATCACTAGTATAGATACTATGCTAGTTGGATCCTGCTTGACCGAACACCACATCAAGCTCAGGAGCACCCACTCCTTAGGGCGATGATGCCAAAGTAAGCCAAGGGGTTCAGGAGAACCCATCACTAGTATAGATACTATGCTAGTTGGATTCTGCAGACGACGAACACCACATCGCTCAGGAGCACCCTCTCCTTGGGAGCGATGATGCCAAGTAAAGCCAAAGGGTTTCAGGAGAACCCCTCACTAGTTAAAGGTCACATAAACCCTAGAGGGTACAAATGCATAAATCAGTAACTGGCATCGTTATAAATGAAACCCGTCATTAAAACTACTCATTTCGACCTTTAATTGACTTAAATCGACCTTTTTGACAACAGTGCACAATTCTCACCCATGACGAAATTTCAACCAATCAGAGCGGCGCCCTCTGTGACGTCATATGAGGGAATAGCTTTGAGGGGCCGATGCAGAATTCATCTACATTTTAGGGGGTAAATTATCGTGTTTACAGGCTTGTATAAACCTGAAATCGTGACAATTGTTGTGGAAAATGAAAGCTATATGTTCTCACAATCTACTGTCATTTAATTTTGTCTCCTGCTTTGCCTAGTTTCGAGTTACAACTTGTTTTCATAGACGATTCTGTCAAAATCGATTGGTGTCGTTAGGCCCTATTTGTATAATGACTGATCAAATTGATCCCATTTCTGTGTTGTTTTACCTCGATATTTAATCATGTCATGTAAAATCTGTTTGTATTCTCAAAACAGTGTCGGCCCATAAGTTTTCACATGCAATACAGCAATTAATACTATGAAGTGCCCTTGCATGACTTGTCCTGGTCCCACTTAATCGGATATCAAGTCCAGCCTTCAAATGCTAGTAACAATGAACGGTGCCATTCCCGGTAAGAGTGATTGTGTCGGGATTTTGACAGCCAGTCTCGAGAGAGACTGCTTATCGAGACAGAAACACCCGTGAACGGTTTGACTTTTGCTGGGGTTACTTGGTTTTCTACACTAGCTCAAGCACTGAGTTCAGAGGTCACTGCAGTTATGCGTGGACTGTCACCAGGCAGCGATCTACTACCTTTATCACTCCACCTGGCGAACCATCATTTTGTTCGGCCAACCGAAATGTTCCTGAGGTCACCGATCGTATGAATTTCTTCAATTCGTTAACAATGTGAACGTTCCTGTAAATTGACTGACAATCTCCATGGGCCGAACATACTACATTCAGCACTCCGTTAGAACTGACATAGTAGCTCGACTTATTGAACGTTCTTATCTCAGGAGATATCTCTTTGTCAGAGGCAAGAGTTGTTAGACCTCTCATTTCCCTCGACCTGCGAGACGTCTACCTTCACATCCCGATACATCCAGACTATCGGAAGTATCTTCGATTTACTTTCAAGGGGCGTCATTGATACCAGTGGAGGGTCCTGCTGTTTGGCATATGTACGGCCCCGTGGCTTTTTACTCAGATACCCAATCCGATAACAAGCTACCTGCATTATCGAGGCATGACATTCGAGAACTATATCGACGACTGTGTTCAAGCCCAGCAGGATCCAGTCGTCCTTCCTCTCCACAGGCAGTTCATCATCAAGTTGCTCGCGCAGTTAGGATGGCTGCTGAATTTGGAGAAATCGGAGGTAACACCGACCCGGTGATTTCTTTTTATTGGGACAATATTCAACACGACAGGTCATGATGTTTGTGCACCAGGAGAGGTGGGAAAAGATTCAGTGCAACGCACCACTAGTGCTGGTCCAACCCACACCTTTTCGCCAGTGGCAGAAGTTACTAGGGTGGTTGACGTTGGCACAAGCGCTGACTTTCAGGGGCCAGCTGCAGCTTCGCCCTCTTCAGATGTTTCTGTGCCCATACATCCGGGACGACAACCCCAGGGAGTTGATTCGTCTTCCCGCACAACTACATTCAGTCTTTCGTTGGTGGCTCAACAAGTGGAATGTTTGCTTTGGAGTCTCTATGGTGCCCTTCATACCGACTCAACACCTGTTCGTCGACGCATCTTTCTAGCTGAGGAGCTCACTTTCTCTATCAAGCGGCCTAGCAGAATAATGGTCATCAGGAGAAAGGGCCCTTCATATCAACGAATCAGCACTGTCATTCTCGCCGTTCGGCATTGGGCAGTTGAACTACGGTTCACTCATATTCTGATTCAATCAGACATTTCGATGGTAATTTTGTACATCAACCATCAGGGGTCGACAGGATCAGCAGCTCTGCTTCAGTTGATGTTTCGAATTTATCATCTAATCGATTCACTCAACACAGTGGCCAGAGCCCGACACATTCCCAGGATGAGGAATGTCATTGCCGATGCCCTGTCATGTCTCAAACGCCCGTCACTCACGGGGTGGAAACAACTGCCTCTGATCTTCCAATCTAAGATCTACCTGTTATCACGACCAGATGTAGACCTGTTCGCCACTCAAGACAAACCATCAGCTTCAGCGCAGATGATCACCAGTTGCGATCGTTTCTGCTTTGTGTACAATCGGAATAAAATTCTGAATTTTATTTCTGATTTGTGTCTTCGATTCTTCTGGGACTTCGATTCTCCTCTCAATTTAATTTGAGACTCTGGAGAGTCGCCACCTCACTTACTGTCCTCTGCTCTATGGAGTAATTGGGGCGGTGGGGTAGCCTAGTGGTTCAAGCGTTGGCTCGTCACGCCGAAGACCCGGGTTCGATTCCCCACATGGGCACAATGTGTTAAGCCCATTTCTGGTGTCCCCCGCCGTGATATTGCTGGAATATTGCTAAAAGCGGCGTAAAACTAAACTCAGTCAGTCAGTCAGTCTATGGAGTAATTACGTCAGTGAAGTGAGTCATTCCCCAAGTGTTACACTTTGTAGCGTTCATGCTCCTAAGTACCTATACACATCTATGTGATCTTATTGTGGTAAGTACTGGAAGTCATAAGATGATGTTGTGGACTGAACGTTAAAATTGTGAGTTTTCCGATTCAATTACCCTTTCAACCTCCTAGGGACGGTGTCTGTGGGGGTTGTTTCGAAGCAGGGGCTGGCCCGATACTAGTCGTAATTACGGGAGTACTCTGATAAATCGTGGCGAAGCAAGGTGATTTGCCTAGTTGCGTTTTCTTGCGTATGTGAGGGTTGCTGCCGAACACCACATTGTTCAGGAGATCCCATCACTAGTATAGGTACTAACTACTACTATGCTAGTCGGATCCTGCAGCCGAAAACCACATCGCTCAGGAGCACCAACTCTTAGAAGCGATGATGCCTAGTATGCCAAGAGATTCAAGAACCCATCACTACATCACTAGTATAGGTACTATGCTAGTCGGATCCTGCGGCCGAACACCACATTGCTCAGGAGCACCCACTCCTTGGGAGTGATGATGCCTAGTAAGCCAAGGGGTTCAGGAGAACCCATCACTAGTAGAGGTACTATGCTAGTCAGATCCGGCTTCCCTTGTTCATTGCTATCTACGGTTGTCATTAGCCTATACAGTATATACTGTCAGTGCCTTTTGACTCAGGGTAATCTGTGACCCGCCGTCCAACCGTGGGATAAGTGCAAATCGTGAGATAGGATAAGTTTAAAAATTTGAAAATTTGAATCTAAATTGTATATTTATATACTTATCCTATCTCACGAGATGGATGCCCACCCAGCCTCCCCTCAACTCAGATTACGACAGTTACGTATAACTGTCATTGGCTCCAAGAAGAGAATGATCACTCTGAGGTAGTCACGTGGGTAGACAGGGGAACGTGCTGCATGCTTAGCCGGGGACTAGGAACCTGTCCTATAAAGAGAGCAGCCTGGGGAACACGGGCGTATGGACAAGAGAGGCCTACAGGAAAAGTTCTCATTCGTTCCACTCAGGTTTCGAAGCAAGAGAGAGAAGTGCAAATCGTGAGATAGGATAAGTATATAAATTTACAATTTATATTAAAATTTTCAATTATCACTATTATGTGATACCAGCATCAAGTTTGATTGAACTGCAGATAGCATTATATTCAGTATTTCTATTGGTCACCTAGAGATTAGCTAACATGGTTTTATGGACTTGAAATAAAAACTACTTTACATTCCTATGTACATTGCTATGTACATACCTGTATACACTGTCAGAAAGAATATGTTGGATCTATTTTGCTAAAATTCCAATTCTGAGAAATGTGATCACGCTGATCTTGTATTTCAGCTGTAGAGTCAGGAAAAGCTATAATTTTCTTGTCTGTGTTTCTGATATAGGCTGTTATGGATTTTCGGCATCCTGACGGTCAGCACCTGTCAGTGTTGCTACCCCAACGGAGCCTACTTGTGATGACGGGGGACTCTCGGTACATCTGGTCACATGGTATCACCCCCAGGAAGTCCGACATAGTCCCCACCCCTGATGGGGGTCTCACACTTGTCAACAGGGGGACACGGACATCCTTCACCTTCAGGAAACTGACACCGCTCGCAGGTTTGTTGTGATCTCTTGCCCGAACTAAATATACTGCTCAACCTTGTATAGGAATACTGAGAGATTTCAAGCCATTTCAAAACTCAAAGGGCAACCTTGTTTATCAATCTATATTTGTATACATTAACTTGAATGAAGATGCTTCAGTTCCAAGGTGATAAGTAATACTATTTGTATGACAACATACCAAGTAGTCCGTCCCATACAGCCCGAAAGTTGATAATCATTATATACAGGTACCTAATAACTGTTGAGAAGTAAATTTGCAATTTGTAAGAAACATTTCACTATAAGACATTATTATGGTAAAATATTATTATTTAAATAACTACTTAATGAAAAAGGTAAAGACAATTATTCCCTTATATGTTTCAGTTTAGTCAGTAAGTCAACTTGCAGCACTTTTTAATGTGTTTCAGAGCCATTAATATTGAAACTGTTTGTCTTTCTGTATAAATACTGTAAATGTCATTCTTTCTGTATTTGTAGGAGTTGATGTCAAATCTGTCGCCCAGGAACAGAGAGAAAGGTAAATTTCCAAATATGAAATAATAGTTCTTTTTTTTATTCATTTAACATGTTTACCACATTATAGTAAAATAGAGAAGAATTTGAAAATTTTGTGTAATATGTGTTTTTTATTCTATTCTGATATTTTCTACCTTTCAGCCCATATTTGCCAGACACAGAGTCAGCCGCTGTTCAGCTTGAACATGAACACGTTCACCAGGTGTGTAAACTTAATACTGATGATTCTCAGCATAGGCCCTTTGATGTGAGGGTTTCCATGACCCCTAAGGAACTACCGGTACCATACTTTAACATTGACATACCATAGCCCCAAGGGACCGTTCATAATTCATGGCTAGGGGGGTGATGCCGATTTTTATTGATAGTTTATATGGATTGTTAAACGTAGTTTTTTAAATATTTTTATGTACAAACTTGATGATCCCTCCTAGTACATGTGTACAAACTTGATGACCCCCTTACCTCCCCAGAACAAAATGGGTGACACACACAGCCTAATCCACCCCCCACCCCCCTTAAAATCATCATCACACCCCCTAGCTATAAGTTATGAACGGTCCCAAAGTCTGCTTTGTGCAAGAAGGTCCAGATGGATATGTTTCAGGGTTAAGGATTATGTCGAGTAATTATATATTGATATTCCCAACACTAACTGGCCATCCCCCATGTTCTAGTGGATACAGCTTCTGCCCAGAAACTGGAATTACTGGGTTCGAACCCTGCTCCACCATGAAACATTTTATGATGGTACTTCTTGTTACCCTGCCTGGTTAGCAGTAAGGGGGAAACAAGAAGTAGTTGGTTTCAAGCCAGTATACTGTGTCAGTGTGGGGTATCCATGCAGGGTTTGAAATACCCCCTATTTTAGCATGCAATGGCACGGTAAATATTGCAATGGCACGGATAAAAAAATGTCCTCGTGCCCTTATGGCATGCCTAATTTTTAGAGACATAACTCACCTTTAGTCATTTAATCCCCAAAACAAAACACTTACGCAAATAACAAACAAGCAAAAACATTTATTGACTTTATCGCCCAGGAAATCACTGGAATTCTGATAGATGATGTAAAGAAATCTGGTTGCTTTTCCATTTAGAGTGATGAGTACTGATAGTTCAGTTATTGAACAGGACATTGTGTTTGTTAGATATATTGAACAAGTAAACCTGTCACTTAGCTATTAAAGATGTTGGGAAAGCAGAACAAATGAAGCTTAAGAAAGCCATCTTAAACAGAAGACATATCAGTGATAACAGAAAACAGGTTACATTTGTTGTTTACTAACAATAAATTTCAAATGATCATCATCATTGCTACAGTCATTTATTCTAAAAACAGGTGGGCACACTTGATTTCTGAAAGGCACATTTAAAATATTTGCCTGGTGCCCTAAGGCACACCTCAGAAAAAAAGTATTTCTATCCCTGCCATGTTACACTGCAGCATAGTGTTTCAGTGGACTTTGACTTTAAAACTGGCATTACTCCAGACAAGCACAAGCAGATGCATGTATACTGACTGACTGAGTTTGGTTTTTACGCCGCTTTTAGCAATATTCCAGCAACATCACGGCGGGGGACACCAGAAATGGGCTTCACACATTGTACCCATGTGGGGATTCAAACCCGGGTCTTCGGCGTGACGAGCCAACGCTTTAACCACTAGGCTACCCCACTGCCCCAGATGCATGTATAAACATGACTATAGAAGTGCAAATATATTCTACCCTATTTCATGTCACCCAATAGTAGTTGTTGGAAAGAAGAAGTCTAAGGTTTAATGGTCCAAACTTACAGGGTTTCACTGCATTTAATATAATCAGATTCTATTTTAGCATCATAGCATGTCAACCTGTACAAGCATGAACAGTGCTTGTTCCGATTGGTGATATTAATGATTGGAAATGATGTTTATAAATGGTTTTCGTGTGTGTAGGTTTATGAAGATATAGCCGATCACTTCAGTGGAACGCGTCACTCTACCTGGCCCCAGATAGCCGACTTTATCCACTCACAGCCGACAGGTACCCTCCTGGCAGACATCGGGTGTGGCAATGGGAAATATCTGGGCGTCAACACCAACATATACGAGGTGATCAGATGTTTTGTGGCCACTTACTTTGTCGAGAAATATGCCATTTGATTGTTTGGATCGCTTATTAAAGGCTTTATTATTTGCTAAGAAGAAATACAAAGTGGCATTAAACAGATTTAATCACTCACTCACTCACTCACTCACTCACATTGTTATCACATTGTTAACTGATTTCTGTTGCAGCTTGGTTCTGATAGAAGTGTGAATCTGGCCAGCATCTGTCAAGCACGGAACTTCCCTGTGTTTGTGGGAGATGTACTGTCCATTCCACTCCGCTCAGATGTCTTTGACGTGTGTCTGTGTATAGCTGTCATACACCATCTCTCAACACAGGTAAGTAGAGCTCAGTAACAGTTGCCATTCACCGTTTCTCAACATTAGCTGATGGTTCACCTGGTTTCAAATATCTCAAGGTGAATTAGGCAAAGTAGTCAGTAATTGAGTTCATAAATAATTGTTTTCTAAGGTTGGAAAGGAATATAATGAACGAAATGAGTCTTGCGCTTTTAGATTCATTTGGCAAAGTATCCAATGTGATGTGTCATGTTTATTGGATGTTTGATGCATAATATTGATGCTCAAAACAAATACAAGTGCACAAGATATGATGTAGATCCAAAATTTTAAACTTATCCTATCTCACGGTAAGCACTTCTCTCTCTTGATTCGACACTGAGTGGAATGATGTAAACCTTTTTCCCTTGGCCTCTCTTGTCCATCCACCCAAGCACTCCATGCGACCCTCATTATAAGACAGCTTCCTAGCTCTCATGCAAAGCATGCACCACTAGCTGCCCACGTGACTATCTCTGAATCATCATTCTCTTTCTTGTCGCACATGAGTGTGGACGTATTTTGCTTTGCTCAACGTTTTCAACTTAGTCTACAACATGGGGAATGTTGACCAGCCAAAGAAGAGGATAAAATGCTCCCGGTATAATAAAGTGTTCTCCGTGAGTGATCCACATGGGTATTGTGTTGACTGTATGGGACAGTGTAAATGGGGCTCTCGTTGCGATAAATGCAAGGATCTTACCTTCGAGGCGTTTGGTGACTACACTCGGGCTTGTGCTCGTCGTGTTGCTGACAGGGCTCTTTATGCCGTTTCACTTGACGGACCCAGTCCCTCCAAGAAAGGAAAGTTTAAGTGTCCTACTTTGTCTGCTCGGCGGTCACAGTCCCCTCGATCGAATGAAGAGGATTTCATGAGAGCATCATCAGATTCTTACTTATCAGAAGATGTTCGGGATTTGTTGGGCTCTCAACATTCCAGCCCGAGTCCTTCGTCTTCGACCACGTTCCGGGTAGTGGTTGTCAAGACTGCTACCCTCAATCAATTGCATCATCTCGGCGGTGGACGCGGTTGCGGCATCAGTGGAGCACTCTTTCACCGATCAGGATGCTTACATCAGAGGCTGTATGTCCCTTATACTGGACCAATTTCAGATCGTACTTGACCAGCTGTCTCATTTCCTTGGCTATCTCCTGGCAGTTCGACGTCGCGGCCCACTCAATTTGTCTTCATGGGATGACAGGTTTAAGGCTGAACTCTTCCGTCAACCGTGGTCTGCAGAATCCTTGTTTAATGGCATGATAGGGGAAGTTTCGACGAAGGTGGATCGGGACACTCAATTTCAAGTTTCGGTGGAATTATTGAAACTCCAGAAGTTTCCATGATACATAGAAGGCTTCAGCGGTTTGTGCCGTTTCATCCGGAACTGCGTCAGGGTTTTCGTGGCCATTTGTCCCGAGCTAGAGGTAGCAGGTCCTCCCGTGGCACTTCTTCCCGACGTCCTCCCAAGTCCGACTCCCAGGTTGGGAGTAGGGCCCCCAAGCAGTGACTAGTCGAAACAATGGCACGACTGGGAACTCCCGCCTCCAGCCATCCCCATTTACAACTCTCCAGTGGGTGGGAGACTAAGGAGGTTCGCTCCCAACTGGACCATACTCAACTATCCTTTCGTGACCGACCTCCTCGCCACAGGCTATCACCTTCCAGTCATCGGACGTCTGCCGCTGACAGTGCATCCAGCACACCGCAGCTACCCGGCAGACCAGGTCCAGGTCCAGGTTCTTCACTCCACCATAGGTACGCTCATAGAGAAATGTGCAGTCCAGTCTCTCGGTCCGGCGCCCAGCACTGTGGGATTCTATTCCCCCATCTTTCTGGTTCCCAAGAAAAACTCCACAAAACTAAGACTCATTTTCAACATGAAACTTTTCAATGCCCACTATCTCCAGCACCCACCTCACTTCCAGATGGTATCAATCGTCCTTCTTCGGTTGGTTGTTAAACGCTGCGAAGTCGGAACTAACACCGACCCAGACCCTTCAATTCACTCACCAGGGCCTGATTTTCGTCCCCCAAGACATGTGGCTGAAGATTCAATGGCTAGTTCCGTTAGCACTGTCGCAGGCCAGGACCTTACGACAGTTGGGCCTCTTGACATTGGCACAGGAATTGACATGGCGGGGACAATTGCAACTGCGTCCGCTGCAGCCTTTCCTGCATCCGTATCTCGTCTCAGAGAATCTGAGAATGTCTGCCCACCAACGCAGATAGGGAAGGGTCCCTCGCGGTTGCTGCTTCCCTGTATTTTCTTGAATATAAGTCTGAACTTGATGTCTGCCTTATGTTTTGATTGCTTATGGGTTAGAACTACTTCACTTAGTTTTATACTAAGACACAGAGATACTACCACCTCTGTAGTTGGATGAATCTGGAGCTCGATTCTGTATCATGATGTGAAAGGGTTATACTTTTCGAAGCAATTACGTCAGTGAAGTGTGAAACTCCCGAATTCCAGTGGATTTCGTTGCGTTCCCACTCCGAAGTTGCCGGGCACATCCTTTGACTAAGCTTATGCAAAGGAGTGAGGGTCAATTTGATGCTGTCCCAGAACTGAACGTTCCTGAGTTGTGCTTCTCTTTCATCCGCCCCTGGTCGGTGTCTGTGGGGGTCTTCTCAAAGCAGGGGCTGGCCCGATTATTGTCAACCGACTTTAATTTACAGGGGTACCTTGAAAATCATGGTGAAGTGACATCCTTTCTCACTGAGCTGAGCCCTTCTTCGGAGGTTGCGGCCGAACAGCACATCGCTCGGGAGCACCCATCTCCCTGGGAGATGTTGTGCTTAGTAAGCCAAGGAGTTCAAGAGAACTCAGCACAAGCATAGGAGTTGCGTGCATGCGTAACAAGCCTCCCTTGTGCATCGCTATCTACGGTCGTTTCCAGTCTACACAGTTCCTGCTGTTCGCACTGTCAAGACACAGGGTATCTGCCTCCCGCCATCCGACCGTGGGATAAGTGCATACCCTGAGATAGGATAAGTTAAAAAAAATTGAAAATTTTAATATAAATTGTATATTTATATACTTATCCTATCTCATGCAACGGATTCCCGCCCATCCTCCACGCTATGCAGATTCTCCAAGATGGATATTATCCAGTGGCTCCAAGAATGAGAATGATGATTCGGATATAGTCACGTGGGCAGCTAGTGGTGCATGGCCGCATGCTTTGCATGAGAGCTAGGAAGCTGTCTTATAATGAGGGTAGCATGGAGTGCTTGGGGGGATGGACAAGAGAGGCCTAGGGTAATAAAGTTTACATCATTCCACTCAGTGTCGAATCAAGAGAGAGAAGTGCATACTGTGAGATAGGATAAGTATATAAATATACAATTCATATTAAAATTTTCAATATTGACAAAATGAGCTCTAAGTTGATGATCCATCTTCTCATCAACAAAAAATCAAACAGCCATTTCTCTCCCATAACCCTGTGTTGTACTGACTTTTGACGTTCTACAACAACAGGCCAGAAGACAGAGAGCTGTGGGTGAGCTGCTCAGGATCTTACGCCCCGGGGGTCAATTGCTTATATACGTGTGGGCAATGGAACAGGAGAGGAAACAGGTTAAGTCCAAGTACCTCAAGGAGGGCAAGACCACAACCCTGGATGGGAAGAACACTGCCCCAGAGGGCAAGGAGGTACCCCCTGAGGCCAAGACTTTACACCGAAAGGACATGACCACACCCCCAGATGGCAAGAACCTACACCCTGGGTGCATGACTGGGCTCAGTGATGGTAACAGTGATAGGAATATTGAATGTGATGGAGCCACAGCTGATGTAGATTTGTGTGAAAGAAAGAGCCAGGGTGGTGAATCTTGTGAAGACAGGTGTTTAGGCAATTGTTCCACATGTCCCATAGATTCTGTTGATGGATTGTTTAGAACTAATGGTGTGACCTCACATACAGCCACTGAGTCGGAAGGTGACATGAAGAACCTGTCAGTGACTGTTCCAAGAACTACCGAAATATCTGGTACTGACAGTACAGAAACCATGGAGAATCATTCTGAATCAGGTTTATCAGTAGATTTTAGTAATCAGTGCAACACCGCCAGTAAGAAACTAGCTGTTCATGTCAACAGGACAAACTTCAAGGAACAAGACTTGCTCGTGCCATGGCAACTGAAAAATCAGAAGACAAAGTCTGATGTTAAGACTGGTTCCGATGCCAGTACGTTTCACAGATTCTACCATGTTTTTACAGAGGGTGAGCTACAGGCCCTATGTCAGAGTGTGGGCGGGGCACAGATTGTGAGGAGCTTCTATGATCAGGGAAACTGGTGTGTGGTGTTACAGAAAACTTGACTTAAGAGTATGAAATAAAAAAATATATATTTATTGCCATGCTTACAAATTGGTGAGTAAACAAGTGATTGTATATATGATTAACTGAAATACGTATCTTGTTTTATATATTTAATAACAATGTAAAGAAGACATAGAAAAAGTAAAAGAACTTTCATAATATACTGTTATGACCATGTGAGAAAATTCATTCATACTGTATTATGTCATTGACTGTGATAGTAAATTCAACGATACATATGTAGTTGTTATGTGTGATCAATATCAAGTCCCAAGCTATTCATAAAAGTCAACAAGTGAGTTTAGTTTTACACCGCTTTTAGCAATATTCCAACAATATCACGACAGGGGACACTGGACATGGGCTTCACACATTGTGCCCTTGTGGGGAATCGAAACAGGATCTTAGGCGTGACAAGCGAACGCCTTAACCACTAGGCTACCCATGTTGTTATAATGCATCAATTAGCAATATTCCAGCTATATGGGAGAATCATCTGGACCAGACAATTCAATGATCGACAGTGACAGCTTTGATCTACTCAACAGGGATATGATGACATATGTCAACCAAGTCCATGAACCTGACCATCAGATCCTGTAAGTTGCCTTTTACACCAAGCATGGGTTGCTGAAGACCAATTTTAACTGAAATCTTCATGGGAAACAGAAGGCCTAGTCGAGCTCTAAGATAGTCGTAAGTTAATGTTAATGTATGGCACTTACGACTATCTTAGTGCTAAGAGAGCTTCGAAAATCTAGGCCCAGGAATATAGCTAAGTGTACCATGGAAAATAGAACAGTAGTTGAGTAGTATATACTGTTCAAAAGAAGTTAAAGAGCATAATTTTATTTCATATGAAACAGTTATTCCATCTTGTAACATACTTTGAGTAGTAAATATCAACACAGGATGCATCACAAATATTTAACAGATTTGTTCTCCATTATTAATTATGAATAACTATAATAAAAACCAATATACAGATAGTAATTATTGGATGTTTGTTTATTTTCTTATTACGAAATTTGATACACTTTGGTGAATAATATATTAATATACAATCAGTGAAGGAAACACATTAGATTATCATTCATCTATCATCTACAATTCATGGCATTCAAGTACAAAAGATCAATGAAGAAGAATCTGTTGCATAATTGGTTATTTACAGGAAGCTTCAGCTGGGTCGGTAACAATACACTGGTGATACGACATGTATCTCCATAGGTTGTCGGCATAGGCCAGTAGAATTTCAGGCTTCTCAGTGGTATCCTCATGTTTCTGCTATTCATGATAGAAAACATTGAAGGTTAAGTTACGTTTCTGTTCTGGTGAATCACTACAGTCCTACACAGCTTTTAAAATGGATCTTTGTCATGAATAGTATAGAGGACTTGAGTACACCTTATTTCACTTGTCCTAGTGAGAGGGTTACAGAAATGGGCTTCACAAATTGTACCTAAGTGGGGAAATAAACTCTAACAAAACATAAGGCAAGCAGGTTACTTCCCTTACTTGTCAGCACACCAACCCTCTCCACACTACTGGCAAGGATGGCTGGCACATGTGTAACTCCTAAATGAATTTAAAAACATTTAAGGACAAGATTCGGTATCATTGTACAAACTCATTCAGTCTCCATTGTGTAGGACAACAGATCTGTACCCAAAACTTCACATATATCACATTTGATATTCACATGTAGCGTAAATGAACAGACAAAATAGTTGATTTGAGACCTTAGACAATGAAATCATATGTACAATCTATTCATTCTCCTTATATAGGGTATATTGTGACAGTAACTTATTGTTTCTATGTACAAGTGTACAATTAGGATATTAAATTTATAATTATAATTTTACTTACAAATCACTCAACAACATAACAAATTTCAACAGCAGTAACAATTACATAATACTAATAACAAAATAATCAGATGAAAAAAAGTTTTGTTTTACCCTTCTGAAGCACTGGAGTCCCAATATTTCCCTTTATTTGTTTCATATGATTCAGTCTTGATTTTAGGATAGGAAATGTTTATTGATAAAAGATTAAACATATATTTGAAATATACTCGGTCAGATCAGGGCTGTAAGTCTTTCATAATGATCCAGGTATGGGATATTTACCATTCTAGTGAAACCACCCTCTGGTGAAACCAACACGCACAGGAGTGAGTGAGTGAGTTAGTTTAGTTTTACACCGCACTCAGCAATATTCCAGCTATAAATAATCGAGTCTGGACCAGACAATCCAGGGATCAACAGTATGAACATCGATCTACACAATTGGGATATAATGACACGTGTCAGCCCAATCAGCGAGCCTGACCACCCAATCCCGTCAGTCGCCTCTTACAACAAGCATGGGTTACTGAAGATCAATTCTAACCCGGACCTTCATGGGTTAACAAGCACAGGATATGGCTAAACTAATTGCAGTTTGACCAACCTGTACAATCTTGCAGCCGAGGGAGACTACTCTGTACAGCATAATCAGTTCTTTCTACAACCTTGTAGCCAACCAATTTTACTCAAGATTTGAAAATACTGCTGTATTCCACCCAAATAATGTTCATTTCAAACCCTTTCATGTTGGCAATAGATAACCGTTTGTTAAAAAAACACACGCTTTTCTGGAAAATATATCTGGTGCCATGATTTTTTAAATCCTAATCTATTCTTATGATAGAATGAGTTTTAAAAATTTCTCTGTAACTGACCCATTTTCTTGCATTGAAATTATTTCCTTTTTATATTTTGGCTAGGAGAGTCCATACAGGGAAGAAATCAGTTGGCCTAAACTGAACATTTTAAAATTTACAAACCATAATCTGGTTACATACAGCTTAGATGTACAAGACACAATATTTGTAATCATATATTATAGGCAGTAGGCCCATGCTCTAACACAAATGATTACATCCATAACACATTGCTACATGGGACTATCATCCCTTCCTGGAACGTCGTACAAAAGTACTGCAATAAAGTCAACACAAATAGATCACAACATCAGAAGTAACCAGATTACTTGAGGACCCAGGTCAATGAGCACCAGTGTCATCTTTTTAGGAACATGGTCTCCTGGCTCCATGTTTTTGAGTGAGTGAGTGAATGAGTTTAGATTTTACACAGCTTATAGTAATATCACAGCAAGGGACACCAGAAATGGGTTTCACACATTGTACCCATGTGGGGAATCGAACCCAGATATTTAAGTACTAGGCTACCCCATGTTTTTGATACCACACTTGTCATGTTTATGGACAATTGGTCGTATGACCAGTTTTGATTACAATTTGAAGCTTTGCTGAAATATCCTCAACATACTAAGTTAGACAATTATCAGTAACATCAACAACATATTACATATAATTGTTGTCACTATATGACTTAAGTATTGCTGATTGTGTTAAACTGACTGAGTTTGGATTTACGCCGTTTTTAGCAATATTCCAGCAACATCACGGCGGGGGACACCAGAAATGGGCTTCACACATTGTACCCATGTGGGGATTCGAACCCGGGTCTTCGGCGTGACGAGCCAACGCTTTAACCACTAGGCTACCCCACTGCCCCGATTGTGTTAAACAGTAAGTACTAACAATAATAGTTATCTCATTCCAGCTTAAGTATCTGAAGAGAATGACAAATGAAGGACTGTGCAATGCAAAAAATTGCCATAATAAAAAGATCTACATCATTTTTATGCTGAGACCAGGAACAAAACACTTGTGCTTCATGGAACAAGAAATGGGAATCCAGCAGAAGTTTGTCAAGTGTTATAAGAAATCTTTCGTTCTTACAAATGCACCAGCGCATGTTATCACTGTTTGGGATATTGCCAAAGTTATGAATATTTGAGGGATTAAGTGAACAAATATGTCTGTCAGCTTACTGTTTAGCCAATAATTCTCCTTGCAGAGGAGGATGTCAAGTCCAGTTGTCTCCCACTGACTGCACTACTTCTAGCTTCACTTTCTTATAACTAGAGTAATATGCGCAATCAGGTACAACTCAAACTATACACCAAAGATTAACTATATTAACTCTATGAAAACTTTTCAAGATGAAATTCCTTTCAAATAACATGACAAAAGTAAAAGTACATTCACTTGCAAACTTTCTGTTTAGCAAGTTAGAACAGACACAATTTGATCTTGTAAAAACCACATGCGTAAAGCTATACACACCTCAATCAGACGATTGTGCATATGGATTTTTTTTCAGAATGGATAACTAAATAATATTGCTCTGTGAAACATGACAAACGTATCATAATAAATGATTATGCAATGTTACAGCCAACATAAATGTACAAACTATAAATAACAAAATAATTCCATCAGAAAACTATAAAATTAATTGGTACCATGATTTGACTTTCCAATATATAGGTGGCTTATAGTCAAAATAAATTATTCTTCAATTAACCAGTCTTAATTGTAGTCACCTGAGGTGCATGTTTCTGATAGAGCATCTGAAGACCAATATTACTTTACTTTTTGTAGAGATGTAATTTTTTTTTACAAAATTAAGTGAATATGGATTAAACACTACCACAAACAATATTTCAACCACAGACTTTATCTCTTTTGTCAAACATATGACCATACATATGGTCCTAAGTAACTAAGGACATAATAGTGATGACTATAAGATTTGAACCTTGGCCTTGAACAGCTAAGGGATTAACCTCTCTCTATTTGACAATGATGCCTCAGACATTCCGCTATCAACTTAATGAATTATGAGAAAAATACAGGGGATATATGATTCTATCATGTCAAAGCCAATTATTATTCCTTGCAAAGATGAGAATATGATTTTGGCCCTATTCATCACCTAGACATACCAAAGGCAAAGTTTGTTCTGACTTCATTCAGTACAAAACATAGACATCATACAGTATCATCATGATAACTATAATACTTTTTCAACACACACAATGAGTAATAAGACACATATCTGACTACAAATGCAACATGCAATTGGTTCGTGTGCAGACATGTTTGAAAATGCTGAAGATGGGCTGCCTTCCATTGTATGAATATCAACTTCCTTCACATTTGTTCTAAGTGGGTGAGTGAATGAGCATGGTTTTATGCCGCTTTTAGCAATATTCCAGCAATATAACGGCAGGGGACACCAGAAATGGGCTTCACACATTGTACCCATGTGGGGAATCGAACCCAAGTTTTCAGCATGAAGAGCAGATGCTTTAACCACTAGGCTATCCCATAACCCAGTGAGTGAGTTGGGATTAATGCTGCTTTGAATTGTATTCCAATTCTACCATGCCAGCCTAATGAGATAGGGTTGCCTGAAGTGATGCAGGCATCAGATATTAACAACTTAGGTGAAATCCACAAGCATGTGTAAGGACATGGTGTTGACAAACCATGCAACAACTGGGGAAGAAACACGATTCGAACTCACATGCTCATGGCTAGATTTGATACTTACCATTACGTTAGTTAAATATTAACAACAGACCTAATCTTTAACTGACTGACTGACTGAGTTTAGTTTTACGCCGCTTTTAGCAATATTCCAGCAACATCACGGCGTGGGACACCAGATATGGGCTTCACACATTGTACCTATGTGGGGATTCGAACCCGGGTCTTCGGCGTGACGAGGCAACGCTTTAACCGCTAGCAATACCCCCTAGCTACCCCACCTGCCCCTCCTATTCTTTTAACATAACATTTACCGTATCACTAATTCACATCATCAATATATAGCAACTTCACGGATCCCATGGACACTCCACAAAGTTGGCAATTGTCCGGTGGTCCACAGATTTTATTTCAAATTGATCAATTCTGTGAATCGTATAAGAAATCGCTGAGAAACCCTGACCCCAAATTCGATGACATAATACTAAGTTTTCAGCTGAAAATAGATTTTCCTGTTGGCATCCCTGACTCCACAATTTCTAATCCTCTGCAGCTATAGAGTCCAGGAAACATCTGGCCCCGATTTCTCGAAACAAACTTAAGTTTTTACTCAAATTTCAAACTGAGCTTGACAATTTGAAACAGCTGAATTTTTAACTCAACTGCATTTTTTAAATAAAAAAGCCCAAACAACTTAAGTAATCTATCCACCAAACTCAAATTGTCTACTATGTTTGAGTTTAATATCGATTTGAGTTCATTATGGGAAATGCATTTTTTCAAATTTGAGTAGTTTTACGCCGCTTTGAGCAATATTCCAGCAATATCACGGCAGAGGACACCAGAAATTGGCTTCACATATTGTACCCATGTGGGGAATCGAACCCTGGTCATCAGTGAGACGAGTCGATGCTTTAACTATTAGGCTACCCTACCGACCTTCACATAGTTTGTACTTGTAGACAAGTCAGATAGATATTAATAATGCAATATGTCAGGTTATGTTTGAGTGACTTAAACCAAGCCTACAAGTAGCACTACCAATTCAGCTAAGTGTAGTCATTAAAACTAAAACCAGATGAAATAATATCACAAGGCAAGTTCTGGCTTGGAAATGCAATGTTATGGCACAGAATGCTTTTACTGAAACAGGCATGTTTCAAAGAATACAGATATTCTTTTCAGCTGAAAAGTTTCTTGTTTACACAGAACTGTTTGACCCTTGGTTCATATTTAGACCAGATAATAAACCCCCGTTTTCATCATGATAAGTACACTGGGGGGTGGGAGATGGAGAGGGATCGGTGATGGCCAGGGGTGTGGTGTGGATGGGAAAGATTAGGGGTGTCACGATACACCAATCTCATGATACGATACGTATCACGATTTTAAGGTCACGATACGATACGTATCGCGATACATAACTTTCGCGCCTTTTCATAGCATTACCTTACCGGCAACGTACGCGCTCGCTGATTGGTCCATCAAAATAGTCTAGCCAATCACAAAAGCTGTTAGTTTCAAACCTATTTTTTAAGTAAAGCTAGCTACATCTATTTATCGGAGCGGTCTCGTATAATTTTACTATCAAGACTTTGAAGGAGATGGATATAGCATAAAAATTTGAATCAATAAAGTTTTAAAATAGCAATCGATACACGCAAGCATGTATCGCGTATCGTATCGTCAGTAAAAATGTATCGATGCATCGATACATTCGTGTATCGCGACACCCCTCTTGGGGAGATTAATCAAAACCATACACAAGTTAAATGTTGTTGTCAGAGGTCTATAGTAGACAAATGACTACAACTTTGATGATAGTTACTTGGCCAACATATACATCTTGTACAATGTCAACTGTTTTGTTAAAGGATTTGTAATATACACAAGAAAATGGGGATTGTCAATTTCAGGTTCAGTACTAGGTGCCGACAAAGACGCATTTACTGGATCTGGGCACCTAATATGGCAAATATGGTAAACTCAACATACCAATGGACAATGCCAATATGAACCCTAAAGATACACAGCATACAATGTTCAAAATTGAGTTGAAGAGTCCGAGGGTCCTTGTAAATTGCCCTCTTGTGAGAAGTTGGAGATTTTAAGGTACCGAGACTGGTATACTACAAAAGCAACACCAAGCATCCATCCAAATTTCGAACACTACATGTAAACAACATCTCAAGATGACAGAGCTTGAGCTAAGATTGGCCTATGACTGCGGAGGATTGTATGCAGTAAACTGGTGGGATGTAATGGGATCTGCGAACTGTTGTTGATAAGAAGCAGCGCTGGGCGGAGGAAACGGAACATTTGGATCGGGTAACATAACCATTTGTGGATATGGATAACCCCCTTGACCCATCATACTGTACGACATCTGATGGGCTGGCAAGCCTCCAGCTAAGTAGTCCCCACCTTCCGACTTAGGATCAAGATGTCCTTGAAGGTTGCCTTGATGTGTTAACCCTGTTCCCGAGTGGACACCATGGTTCTGGACAGACATCTTTGGGTCGCCGATATGTGATGAACTATCATGTGACACACTCTGCATACCTTCTGAATGAACTTGTGATATTGGCATATGGTATGTGTGCTCTGTTGATCTCTGAGGTTCCATTTCTGTGGCATTCTGTCTTTCACCAGGAAATCCTTCAACATCCCTATCTCGTACTGAACTTTGGGTGGTCATATTAATCGGCTCTGAACCTGATGTTGCGGAGACTGGTGCCACAAGGTCAGGATGCGGAGTGTTAAGGGCACCTGTATTTACATGGACTTCTGGCTCTTTTATCGTTACGTCCTTTGCTTGTTCTTCCTCCCCAACTCCTGGTAAGACGTCTATGAAAAAGTCAGTACGTCTTACTGTATTGTTAATAGTGTCTTCACGCCATTTTTTAGGATCCTTTTTATGAATCAGAATCATATGTCTACGCAAGATCGAGGAATCCGTGAAGTTCCTGCCACACAAGCCACATGAGAAAGGTTTCTCACCAAGATGAATTCTCTCATGGCGAATCAAGGCCTGTTTTTGACTGAACCCTTTCCCACAAGCCATGCACACATAGTCCTTGGTCTCCTTGTGAACTTTCATGTGAATAGTTACAGCAGATGACTGTCTGAATGTTTTTTCACACACTGGACACTTAAATCGACGGATGTCATCGTGCATGAATCGATGCTCTTTAAGAGACTTCTCATATGAAAAAGCTTTACCACAGACTTCACATTTATAAGGTTTGAAACCCATGTGAACATTTGCATGCTGGAGATATGAGTTCTTTTGAGAAAAGCTCTTGCCACACGTGGGGCACATGTATGTTCTTTTCATACCTAGATGTTCAGATTTGATATGGTATGCAAGAACATATTTTGTGCTGAAATTTTTGCATATCTCACATTCAAATTCCGGTTTTACATACCCGTCTTCATGTGTTCGCCTATGTTCAACAAGGGACTTAACTCCCTTATACAGCTTTCCACAGATGTCACAACAATTCTGAGGCTTCAGATGAGTTTTTAGATGACGTTTCAAATCTTTTCCAAACCCAAATATTTTGTCACAATGTTCACATTTGAATTCTTTGGTTATATGGACTCGTCTTTCATGTTCTCTCAAATGGCATCGCTTGTTTGCAAAATAAGGGCATTTGTCACAATGGAATTCTTTAGGGATTTCCGATGCCATCCTCTTTGGTCTTCCCCTTCTTTTCTGAGCACCACTCATCTGCTTTTTCTTTGACTTTGGTGGATCTGACTTTTGGGAAGACTTTGCTGGCAGTTTTACTTCAATTTTCATAGGGAAACCTTTTCGAGGTCGTCCCCTTCCTCTCTTATTTGACGGTAGTGGTTTTGCTGATTCTTGTTTAGCTTTACTTCGTCTTGTTGTTCGTTTAGTTGTCGCTTTAATTTTGCTCAGTGATACTTTTTCCTCCGGAATATACTCATTATCTGAGGCTGATATCTTTCCATCATCAGCGCTCTCAATCTCAGTCTCTCCTGAATAATCTTTATCAGCAGAATCATCTTTAAAATCACTCTCCTCATCTTCAATAACATCATCATCTGGGACGCCATTGCCATCATCATCATCTTCTTCTTCAACAGGTGGAGGTGGTGGATCTTCATCAATGGCCTCAGTTTGCTTGGGAATATTTTTCTCCTCCTCTTCTGTTTCTACAACCACAGCAACTTTTTCATCACTCGTAAGTTTCCCTGAATCTTCAGTACTGACAACATTGACAGTCTCTACTGTGGGCACATTTGACAAAATATTTTTAGCAATAGTTTCCACCTTCATCCTCTTTGCAGCAGTCTCTTCCTTGCTTAGAGCTTTAATCAAAGTGTGTCTCTTTCTAGATGTGTTTGTATCCAGCTTTTCCAAATTTTCTTCCTTAATTTCTGTAATAAGCTTTTCTTGGCCATCATACATTGGTTCCTCAGGCAAGGAACTACTACCAGGGTTATCACCCAGCTCAGTTTCAGTATCTTTTGAATGTTCCCCTGTTTCATTCTGAACATTTGCTTCTTCGGGTTCACACTCACCAGTCTGGTCCTGCCCTGTTGAGTTTCCAGCACTGGACATACCTTTTGGCTGTGTCAATGCGATTTGATAGTTCTGTTCCATTTTGTACACATTTTTAAGAACTTCCAGAGTCTTTCGCCTTGATTCTGCTTCTTTCGTAGGTAACTGGTACCCAGCATACAAAACTACAGGCTCAGGAGGCATCTTATGAGGTTTAGCCACTAAGATCTTATCCTGTGGTAAATGCTGATCAATATGACTGGCATGGTCGGGCTTTTTTGATTGGGCTTCCACATCTTCCTTTTGACTTTTCCTGAAAACTGGATTTGTGAAAGTGGGAAAAGTTTTTCTGTTGAGGAAATCTAGCCCCTCCTCCTCTTCCTTCGATATGGAAGGGTCCGGTGGGACCATGGAGACGGTGTCCACCCTGGTCTGTCCATATGTCAGCAGGAATTTCCCGAGGAAGGAATGGGCACGATTCACCGACAGCCAAGAACCCTTCACTTCGTACACACCGTCTCGAGAAACAAGTTCGACCCCGGCTTTTTGGCTCAACTCGTGCAAGTAATTCGGTACGATTTCTGCTTCATGAAACTTGCCGATGTACTCTTGAGATATCTCTGCAGTTGTCTGAGAGAAAACATGTACGTTTTCAAACGTATCCATGTCTAATTAGACTTGGGAACTCATGGACATTTGCAAATTTCCGCACCAAGATTATCGCCTTTATGTGAGGGTTTACGGTCTTCCCGTACTGGCGAGGTGGGTTAGGGGAGGTAACTCTTCTTCTAGCGTGTTCTCTGTTTTCTCAGCAACTGTGTAAAATGAAATTTGGCACCACCCGCATCACGGGTTATAGAAGGTATTTATGTACGTTCTAGCAACCTTATGCCCAGGCCACATATGTCAGTCCACAACCACATATTATATACACCCATGGTAATATATCATACAGCGCTTGTCAAAACTACTTAAAGCATCGTAAAATCTTTTCATTACCGTCAAATGTTAATGAACACACCGAATTCGGAAAGTGTTTCCCGAAATCAATACAAGTTTTATGTGTGAAATGTTTATATCGCGAGCCTTATTTTGTTCACATGATTGAAGTGTATGATTATTTCTAATATTTGAAAAGATATAGTCTGTACAATAAATGGAAATTAGGTAGTTAATCGTACCGATAATGGTGATATGATATATTGTACAAGAAATGTTCTTGGGTAAATGAATGAAAGACACATCAATAATTTGCAAAGTAATAAAAATATATGTACTTATTATTATCATTTAGTTCAAACATTTAAAAAATGTGTCCACGGAATCACTCTGCGAATTCACTGTAACTTTTGTCTATCCATGATTACAATTACAAGCTTGGAAAAACCGCTAAAAGAGACTTGGGTTTTCAGGCTGTTGTCAAAAGTGGACAGTGCGCATACTGGACTGTATACAAGTCGCCGCTGAACAGCTGGAATAAATATGGACAAACTTTATGGATGAACAACTTGTTTATTCAGGTGATGCGACGTTTCGATACAGTTTCTTGTATCGTTGTCAAGCAAAACATAAGAATCTGTATCGAAACGTCGCATCACCTGAATAAACAAGTTGTTCATCCATAAAGTTTGTCCTTATCTGACTCTCCAACTTCTAAACATGCCACTCACAGAAGTTAAGCTGGAATATAGTTTATTGTTGTGTAAAACAATACAGAAACGCTTAGGAGTATATAGTCTATTTGTGATTGTAAAGGTACGTCATTAATGTTGTTCCATATAACTTGTATCATCTCGGCCTCTTTCTCTTTGTTACAAACTTCATTCGAAACAAAGACGATCTTCAAGTGATTTTAAAAACATAAGTGATCTACGTGAAAAGGATTAAAATGGACTTCGAATCAACACATCAGTTAACATCTCAACCCATAGGACATACTATTGAAGAAACTATCGTTACTGGGAACGGTGACCCAGCAGTCTGTGCCAGGGTCTGTTTGTCGTTGATGCGGGATTCGTCCTCTATATTAAAGCATAAAATAGATCGCTAAAGGCTTTCTTCTCACATTAAGATAGCATGCTGTGATATTTTGATAAAAAGACTCACTGGACCGTACCTGTAAATATGTGGACAGATGAATTAATTGGTTTGCCACATTGTTTGCAGGGAAAAGTTTATGGTATGGCGGTAATTCTCAACAAATTGAACATACAATATCCAAATTTAGTCAACACTCTTCGTGAAACCCAAACCATTCGGACAACACTGTTTTAAATTGGTTTCAGGTTAACAAGGAAAGTAAACTTAGAGACTTCTTTGAGTGGTATTTTAGAAGTTGGGAAGTACAATATATAGACAGACTTTATGGATAACAACGTCTTTATTTTGTGAGTGCGACGTTTCGATACATATTCTTGTAGCCTTGTCAAGCTTGTCGTCTATATTAAAGTTAGAGAACAATGTATGAGCAGACAGTTATCATGAATTAGACTTTAGAAATACGCGGTTTCCTTTTTACAGCCACCGGTGTATGGAATTCTTGAAATACCAACTTTAAAACAAATTATTACTTCCTTATTTGTACCTAAAATTATAAACAGCTGACATTGTCACTTACGGCACAACATCAGAACTACGACTACATATAAATCATTCTTATTGTAAATAGGTGCTCATATTGAATAAAGTCATACCTATAAAAAGAAATATAAATTTGCAACAATATACATTAACGAATACTTTTATGAAATAGTGGTGGTTTCTTAATGTTATTGTATTTACGTCTTTATATAAAAAACACACCATCGATTAGAAATTAATAAATATTTATCGGTTATTTACAAACTTACGCAACACAACATACTGGATGAAGATTCGTTTACGTTTTCATTTTTGGCGACACGCATATGAACAAAGACTTACTCAATGTTTCGAACGAATACGCAGGGTTATTTACAATGCTACAGTGAAGCAACGGAACCACCAACGAAGTTGCGCGGCAGATTTATTACTATTATATGATAGGCATTTCAAATCTAAAGTTGAACATCATTTTTATACGGGCGACAGTAACGTATGTTTCAGAGTGAAACATTGTTGACATTTTTCAGAGACATTGGAATTATTGGTTTCACGTTTTGGCTAATGTAGTTTCGTGGGCGGAGATAGGTGAGCGGTAAACTGCATAGGCGGAGCTAGACAGGGAGGTAGATAATATGGGCGGATCTTGAATGGGGCGAACTAGAATAACGGGATGGAGGCGGATGGTTTGGGACGGAGCTGGATTGACATTTGTATGTTTCAAGCAAGACTGTTTCGAGATGTGGATGGTATGGGCAGAGCTGGGGATTCAGGTGTATGATACGAGGCTTGACGGGTGGGACGGTGTGTGTGTGTGCGAGAGAGAGAGAGAGAGAGAGAGAGAGAGAGAGAGAGAGAGAGAGAGAGAGAGAGAGAGAGAGAGAGAGAGAGAGAGAGAGAGAGAGAGAGAGAGAGAGAGAGAGAGAGAGAGAGAGAGAGAGAGAGAGAGAGAGAGAGAGAGAGAGAGAGAGAGAGAGAGAGAGAGAGAGAGAGAGTTTAGTTTTACGCTGCTTTTAGCAATATTCCAGCAATATCACGGCGGGGGACACCAGAAATGGGAGAGAGAGAGAGAGAGTATTCACCTGGTCTTCACCTGTACTGCAGTATGTGTAGGATGTATGTGCCAACATTGTGTTATGGGAATGTAGCATTACTGTATAACAACTGCGATCCCCGTGGAGAGTTGCCTTACATTTTATGGGATTCGGAGCCATTTCCGTCGCGGAACTGCAATATTGAGTTCAGGGTAACCTGAATTACTTCGGGCTTTCCTCCAAAATATCCCTGACATAATATGTGAAATAACAAACACAAAACTTGCTGAGCGGGTTAGGCGGCTGACTTTGTGTGCTGGATGGGACTCAACCCAAAAAAAGTTATAGAATTTGTACTTTACTAAGAAAGTGTAATCCCAAATATAACATATGTTGTATTTGACCACTTTCTAAATGACATCATGTAATCAAAACTGTTAAAAGCGGCTTTAAACGAATACATTCACAAACAACGTCGTTTAAGCTTCGCATGCATCATTATATTTGCTGAAGATTTTTTAACGGGAGACAGTTTTCCATACATCAGCTTAATCCGAATTTTCATTAAAAATATCTTATCCTCTCGCCCTGTAGACAATGTAGACATTTTACGTGTGGATCGTCGGTAACACAAATCAGTTAGAGTTACCTCCCCGTTAGAGGGCGTGGTGAAGTAGAAACCTCTTCCTTCCGTGTTAGTGAACGATTATCTTCCTGTCAAATCAGAAAGTCGTAAAACATCGTTCATTCTGTCCAAAATGGATAGAAGGGGAAGTCAGGATTATGTTGATACACCGTCAGCACGATCGAAAACACAGAGCTCCGACTCAATATCCACATCTGAACGTTCTGTCTCCATGCCTAACGAATCTCCCAGTAGCAGTTCTAAGGAGAGTGCAGGGTCTCCGTCCAAATCACTATGTTCCTCGACATCTACATCTTCAGAGAATGTCCCAACTGCACAGGAGATGAAGGTATGTCATGACATGCTTCATTTTATTTGTTTATGAATAGTTGTAATAAGATTTGGCCTCGAATTTTGGGCCTCTAAGTTTGTAGTGTGGTGAAATCATAGAAATGTTCTTGGTACCAACTTGCACAATTTGACATATTTCATAAGGAAATAGAGGTTAGAATGGATTCCTAGCTTCAACCAATATATCTCTTGAGTGGCTACTGTAAGGCTCACTCACTTGGCTGATTGCCTGATCGTATCCAGATGGCACTTGGAGCAGCCAATAACATTAATCACTGGTTTGTCTGGTCCACACTTGATTAATTAAAAGTGGCAAAGCCTATGTCTGATTGTCATAATATTGCAGTGTTTAACAACTTCCCATATGACGATTATTCATATCTCCCTGCGTTTAGACTCTATCCAAAACAGCAGATATCAGCAGATTTGGGTGTACTACGTGATAAGGTATTCTTCCCAGTGTATAAATCTCAGATAGTAAGGTGGGAAGCCATAATCTAATGTATACATTAAGTAGTCTTATTTCTCCGAAATCTGAATGTGTTGAAGAAATGGAAAGTCTAAAGTACTTTCGGAAATAGAAAAAAACTGTATTTTCTCATTTATCTCTACAATTTATGTAGTTGATATCTGCAAGTGTGAAATATCTGTTAAACTAAGTTTGGCTACAGTCTCAGTGGTAGGGACATAGGAAACGCAGAAAAAAGACTTTACTGAGGACAGATTAGTGCAGAAATGAGCAATGCAGGTTTTTTCTAAGTCCAAAACGATTTATTTGGAACAGACCATGGCTTTATGCAAATTAGTGTGCGACGATATTGTATTACAAAGGACACTTTTTAAATGCCCAATTTGAAATTAGACGTAGCTTCATTATAAACGATAGCTGGCGTAAAAAATAATAACTTTCATGCTGAAACTATTAAGGATGTAGCTACCATGGAGTCTCACTGTCACTATAAAGAAACAGATAGGAGGGTTCATCTCAAAAGCAAAACCTGGACGGGTGTCGCAGACGATCATTGGGGCTGGGCTGGGGATAGAGATATCAGCTAAGATAAGATAATCCTTTAGGGCAATTATACTGGGGAAGTACATGGCATGTCATAACAGTTTACAAATAATATCCAGTCCTGTCGATCTTCGCGATCGGGTGGTCATGCCACCTATATATTTTGAGACATTTAATGCGATGCGTTTCTATGGTTATCATACTCTTTTATTTATCTCAACATAAACTTTATGAAAGAAAGGCACATAAGATGTTAATCAGTAGACGAGGCATAGTCAACACACATGAAATGGCACAAAATATCTTTGAGATGACCCCTTGTGCCTGTAGGCAGCACATGCATTTCATGCCAGGTGAGTCGACGGTCCGTCGTCATACCTGGCTGAGCGACCTAATTGCCATCTATAGTCTGATCTATTGGTTTCAGCAGCTATTCGTAGTTTTGCCCGATTTTACGAGTAAACATGCTTTTCTGGATATCCTATTACACCTCCCACTGAATGCCAAGTTAGGCCGAAGTGGTTTATTTCTACATATGCTATTTGCAGTTGTGTGAATTTTAGGGATACAGAGTAACAGCCTAAAAACAGTTTTGTTCTATTTCCGACAGTACTTTAGTTCCCATTCATATGGTCATACGTGTCTCTGATGACATCCACAAAAAACATGATAACTTTGAAACAATTGTCAAACAGCTGTGCAACCTAGCTGTTCCCATTTGACACACTTGAAGATACATTTGACATTATAAAAAAAAATATGGAGAAATTGATTGACGAATTGTTACTGCAACTGAACATAAAAGTTCAACTTTGTCCTGACATATGATAGGCATATCCTCACTTAAGGTATAAGCATCAGGGCACCTGTAAAGTATTGCACAAAATAACTGTAAGTGGAGTCCATTGATATGAAACTCTACTTCAGGTAAAAGAAGAATATTAAAGAAGTGATTTCCTAATTTCAGGTTTTCAAAGACACCACCAAGTTTGGTCAAAGTGATGAACCTCCATTGTTGGAAGGAGAGAAAATCCATGGGAGAGGTAAAATACAGCCTATATTCATTATCATTCTCTGTAACAACTATTTCCAGATCACCAGACTAAAAGTAAGGTGAGCATATATTACAGCCTGTTCATCCTGCAGATTGTCTGTTTTACAGATGACACCTATGTTCAAAAGGTTCATATCCAAATTTCAATATGGCTGCTATTGCATCCATATTGAAAATCTATCAAGTCCATGAAAACCAGATTGAAAACATATGGTCAAAATGGTCATTGATCAGCTGTTTTTATTCAAACAGATTAAACATGGGATATGTTTAGTTAGTTGTGGGGCTCAAACAATATGTTTTTGCCCTTTAGCAGTAGTGGTACGATGATGTTACTGCCGCACATGCGGCTTAGAGGCTTATTTTTATTAAATAAGTTCCCCAGCCCCCTTAAAAACGGCGATGGTCTATCGAGAGGCATCCTTCGATGTGCCGCCAGCTTAGACCCAAAGTTCCGAATATTGACTGATCGGGAGACCCGGTGGTGTGATGGTAGAGCGTAGGACTCGTAATCCAGCAACACTTTGGCAGAAACTTTGGCAAGTGAAACAAGCACTGTCGTTGCTAAGTTAAACAAAGATGGCCGTCCAGCCAAGTAACGCCGGGTCTGCCTTACCCGTCGTTGCTAAGCTAAACAAAGATGGCTGTCCAGCCTAGTAAAGCCGGGTCTGCATTACCCGTCGTTGCTAAGCCAAACGAAGATGGCCGTCCAGCCTAGTAACGCCGGGTCTGCCTTACCCGTCGCTGCTAAGCCAAACAAAGATGGCGGCCGAGCTTAGCAACGTCGAGAAGACTGATCCCGGCATTGCTAAGCGGTCACCCAACCTAGCAACAGTCAAACTCGACAGCGCTAACACCGGAAGTTGAGTGTTGTCCATACTATGTCGGATATCTAGTGAACCAGGGAAACATTGATGTGGGATAAATGAGACAAAACAAACTAACTATTTCTCTGGCTGTGGCCTGTCACGCGGGAATTGAATACAAAGCAAGGCACACAGCCGTATTAGGGTTGCTGCCCAAGAGATGGTCAACCCAGAAAAACGATCGACGGAATGGGTGGTACGCTTACCGCGATTGGTGTCGGCGATCAACAACTAAGTCACTCGACTCCTTGATAAAAGACCCGTCGAAGCCATTCGAATGAAATCCATGACGACCGAATCGGCTGCGCCATCGCGTCAGGGCCAAGAGAAAAAAATACCAGACCGGGTCGTCGTGAGGTATCTGTACCAGCCAAGTGAACTCGAAGGAGGGGACAAATGTCGCGCCACAGACCCCGTATAGTCAAAGAAAACGTACCACGTCGACCGAGTGGACATCAAAGACGACGAACCGAATCTGTATTACTTGCAAGACGGACCGGGTAGGGGATTCGTCCGAGAGGAATTGTTGTAAGGCAGACCCGGCGTTACTAGGCTGGATGGCCATCTTTGTTTGGCTTAGCAACGACGGGTAAAGCACATCGAAGGATGCCTCTTGATAGACCATCGCCGTTTTTAAGGGGGCTGGGGAACTTATTTCATAAAAATAAGCCTCTAAGCTGCATGTGCGGCAGTACCATCATCGTACTACTACTCCTTTTCAACCTTTCAACCACATTCTCTAATTCTTTAAATAATCCAGTTGAGGTGTGTCTACAGATTCCAATATCCTATATTCAAAGATTCATCTCCCATGGGGCTTCAGGTTGAGAATGTTGGTCAGGAATGGTCATTAGCATGTCGTACATGGGCAATATGATGTGCAGCTCGTAATATCAATCACTGGATATGATCTACACAATATAATCCTGTCGTAAGAGGTGACTAACGGGATTGGGTGGTCAGGCTCACTGACTTGGTTGACACGTGTCATATCCCAATTGTGTAGATCAATGCTCTCATAAAAACATCAGATTTCATTTAACATTTAGTGTCCGGTTTTTTAGTTGTTGTTTTTTCAACTTGGCGATGCCTCCTATTAACTATTTTCATTGGGTAATTAGCCCGGCATCAACCAATCATGTTTCACCTTATTTTAGCACTCAAAGCTGCTCGAGTTGGAGTCAAAATTACATTCTCGCTGTGTGGAAATAATTTAAATAGATATTCAAATATTGAATCGACATAGTGATAATGGTTATCGAAAATCGAAACTAAGGTGTCAGATTTGAGTTTCGATGCATCGAATCGAATCATTGCAGCCCTAGTCCTGACTGGATTATTTAAAACCATAGCTGGAATATTGTTGAGTATAGTGTTAGATAAAAACCAAACAGCAATAATTCTCAGTGTGCGAAATAGCCACTGGCCTGCTAGCCTGTTTGGGCCCGCTAGTAAATCTCCACAGTCACTAGTGAATTTTCATGGGGTTACTTTTTAAGTACATGTATATCACTCTCTCCATCTTGTTAAGTTATAATACACTATTAAATCGTACAAGATTATGGCCTCATAATTGATGGTATTTTACCTTTTTGTAATCTTTAGCTTAGTTTCTGCATTCAACGTTCGGGCAAGTGAATTATTTTGTGGGCTAGTAACTTTCAGTCATATCTAGCCCAACTAGCATGCCAAATTTGGAAACAATTTCGCACACTGAATTCATAATTGTCATATTGCCCTAATAATAATAATAATATTAATAATGCTAATTTTTGCACCTAGGATCCAACGTGATGCTGTTCTCTGGCGTTACATTATTACCCTGACAGAATTGTACTTTCAAAGCAGCTACTAAGCGCTTTGCACGACTGTATAGGTCCGTACATCCGCTTCTCAGGTACCCATTTTAAACAGCTGGGTGGACTGAGTGCAATGTGGACAAAGTGCCTTGCCGAGGGACACAACACAGTATGAGACCCAGGTCACAAAGTTTTGGTGTCTCCACCGGGATTCGAACCCGGGCCTTTCGTGTTAGAAGCCAGCATACTAACCACTACACCACTGTGCTCATTCTTTATATGGTCACTGGAATGCTGAGCCACATCACGTATTGAGTGAGTGAGTGTGGTTTTACACGCTTTTAGCAATATTCCAATGTTATCACAGGGGGGAACATCAGAAATTGGCTTCACACATTGTACCCATGTGTGGAATCAAACATGTTGTCACCAAAGACACGTAAATGTGATTTTGTGTTTGAAAACATTTGATTTCAACCACTGGACTAGGACATTGATCGATCGGAACATACAGATGAGAATTCAACAGCTGGAAGCTAATCAAATCTGATCAATACATATCTAACGAATGGTGTTGCTATGCATTGTTGCAACACTGTTATTGGCATGTTGTATCAATATTGGTATAATGAGTATCATGAGACTATGTTGGTTTGTAAAATGTGAATAGTGATTTGAGTAAAGAGTATTTACATTGTCAAATTGAGGTCCCACATCAAACAACTTATAGGGTGTCAGCCTAAAGCTCTTAGACAGATTGTACCATGTCTGATAGCCATATTGACATTAATTGTTCCTGAGGTCATGCATGTAGATATTTAGAGATAAACACTAAGATAATTAATTTGTGTTGATTAAATCTACCCATGAAGATGCTTGTCGTAAGAGGTGACTAACGGGATTGGGTGGTCAGGCTCACTGACTTGGTTGACACATGTCATAGCCCAATTGTGTAGATCAATGCTCATGCTGTTGATCACTGGATTGTCTGGTCCAGACTCTATTATTTACAGACTGCCGCCATATTGCTGGAGTATTGCTGAGTGTGGTGTAAAACTAAACTCACTCACTCATTGATATAAATCTGTTATGCTACCTCTAATTTTCAACCACAGTAACTTTATCAAAAATATGTATCACAAATAAAGGGTAATCTGTTCCCAAATACAATACTGAGTTGTCAGTTTATGTATTATTTAGGACTGGCTATCAATAGAGATAATAGATAATTATTTTTAAAGTCTGAAAGAAATCAACATGTATCATCTAATGGAGGGTGTTACCGGTGCAATAAAGCAATCTGATAAACTAGGTATCCAAATCTGATAACTATGCAAATTACGTCAATCCATGAACTACTTTCACAAAATTCCATACATCCCATGCAAATCCTAAAACGTTTTAACATTTTATTGATGACGTCGGCGCGAGTTTACATTGTTTGTAAACAAACATGGATACCCCCATTCTCAAAATTGGTGATTCAGTAAGAATAGATGATAAAGGTTCTGGAGTCGTTACTGCAGTAATTGACTTTGGAAAACATGAAACGGAGTACTTCGTTCAAATTGAAGATACGGATTATGAGGCACGACTGAAAAGCAATCGTCTAAGAAAGGTACCAACCAAGGATTTCGATCTATCAATCACAATACAGACGACGAATTGATTCCGTCAGGTATCAGCAACTGATATTGATGAGGTGATTACCCGCAATGAAAATAGAAACACTGCCAGGAAAACCCTGCCCGATTTTGTTACGGACGGACGGACGGATGGAGAGCATTTTAATAGCGGGGGGTATTAAAATGCTCTCCACCCGTCTGTGCATGCGTCTTTTCCGGAGCAGAACTCTAAAATCTTTCAATATTTCTTCACCAAACTTGGCACATAGATAGATCTGGTGGTCTACTGGTGCCTTTTGGTAGTTTTGGATTTCTGAATATATTTTTTGCGTTTCCATTGCAACAAGTTTGACTTTGACTGAATTTGGTGGTAGTACTCTTTTCTGGAGCAGAACTCTAAAACCGTTCAATGTTTCCTCACCAAACTTGGCACATAGATAGATCTGGTGGTCTACTGGTGCCTTTTGGTAGTTTTGGATTTCTGAATATAATATCTTTTGCGTTTCCATGGCAACACGTTTGACTTAGACTGAAATTGGTGGTAAAGTACTGTCGGAAATAGAAAAACACTGTTTTTAGGCTGTTACTCTGTATCCCTAAAATTTACACAACTGCAAATAGCATATGTAGAAATAACCCACTTCGGCCTAACTTGGCATTCAGTGGGATGCGTAATAGGATATCTAGAAAAGCATGTTTACTCGTAAAATTGGGCAAAACTTACGAATAGCTGCTGATAACAATAGATCAGACTATAGATGGCAATTAGGTTGCTCAGCCAGGTATGACGACGGACCGTCGACTCACCTGGCATGAAATGCACGTGCTGCCTACAGGCACAAGGGGTCATCTCAAAGATATTTTGTGCTTTTTCATGTGTGTTGACTGTCTCATCTATTGATTAACATCTTACGTGTCTTTCTTTCATATAGTTTCATATAGTTTATGTTGAGATATGTCAAAGAGTAAGATACCCGAAAACCATAGAAACGCATCGTAGTATATAGGTGGCATTACCACCCGAAGATCGACAGGACTGGATATTATTTGTAAATTGTTATGACGTGCCGTGTACCTCTCCAGTACAATTGCCCTAAAGGATTATCTTATCTTAGCTGATATCTCTATCCCCAAGCCCGACCCCAGGTTTTGCTTTTGAGACGGCCCCTCCTATCTGTTTCTTTTTATAGTGACAGTGAGACTGCATGGTAGCTACATCCATAATAGTTTCGGCATAAAAGTTATTATTTTTTACGTCAGCTATCGTTTATAATGAATCTACATCTCATTTCAAATTAGGCATTTAAAAAGTGTCCTTTGTAATACAATATCGTCACACACTAATTTGCATAAAGCCATGGTCTGTTCCAAATAAGTCTTTTTGGACGTAGAAAAAAACCACATTGCTCATTTCTGCACTAATTTCCCTTCAGTAAAGTCCTTTTTCTCCGTTTCCTATCTCTGTACCACCGAGACTGTAGTTAGGCCAAACTTAGTTTAACAGATATTTCACACTTTCACATATCAACTACATAAATTGTAGAGAAAAATGAGAAAATACAGTTTTTTTCTATTTCCGACAGTACTATAGTACTCTTTTCCTAAGCAGAACTCTAAAATCGTTCACTATTTCCAAAGGCTCGCATAATACAATTTTTATTCCTAATATATGATATTAATGATACGAAAACACACGAGGTTAATAATCTCTATATATCATCATTGTAAGAGAAGACACATATAGACCAAATTGAAAAACAGCCCATCAACAAAGAACAACCAACATTGTGTAGTGTTTGTGTACTGGGAAGTTAAAACTAATATTCATCTCAATAGTTTATGTATGATATTATCCATAATTCTTGTATCAATAATCATTAATAAATTCTTCTCATCAATGATATTTGTGATTATTTATATCTGTAGCACTAGTATTATTATCCCCCGCCACAACAAAGTAGTGGGGGATATAGAAACAAGTTCTGTCCGTCCTGAGTCAGTTACACTTTGTCCGAAGCATATCTCCTAAACTATTCATGATAGCTTAACCAAACTTGGTACACCTGTCAACCATGATCCCTAGATGTGCCTTTTGAGGGTTAGACCCAGATATGAATTTTATTTTTTGTGGTTTCCATGGAAACATGACTTAGGCTGTGACTATGAGGATGTCATCTTGTCCGGAGCAGATCTCCTAAATTATACACGCTAGCTTCATCAAACTTGGTACACATATCAAGCATGATCCCTAGATGTGCCTTTTGAGGGTTAGACCCAGATATGAATTTTATTTTTTGTGGTTTCCATGGAAACATGACTGAGGCTGTGGCTATGCGGATGTCATCTTGTTGCATTTCCATGGCAACAAGTTAAGCTTCAACTGAATTTGGTGGTAGTCCTCCTTTCTGGAGCAGATCTTAAAAACCTTTCAATACTCTCCTTCCACTTTGCTGTATACACTCCAAACATTTGACATAATCATAACTAGTAGACATGTTCACAAAGAGTATTTTGCCGTTGCGGGGGATATTGATGACTTTGTCTTCTTGTTTATTATGTTAAATGAATCAATAACAAATAGATTATTAATTAGACATGGATTGTCAGTGGTGACAGTGTTAATTTATCATGACAGTGTCACAACTTACCACTTACAACCTGATGTTTAGGTTGACAGGACTGTAAGGAGTCTGGGCAGAGTGACAAAAGTTACACTAAAGATTTTTTCCATTTTTCAGATCTGGCTTTGATGAATAACAGATATGTTTAAGTGAAAAACACTCTTTCTCTAAAACATTTGTGAATATTTCATTCAATGACCATGAATTATGAATTCTTGAATAGCTACGATTAGTTGACTGAAAATGCAGAGAGTTAATAGTAAAGTGTAATGTGTACAGTCATGGCTATGTTTTCTGTGTTACAGGCTATGATGTGACCTATCTATGTCCATACAGTGGGCCAGCGAGAGGCACACTGACTGTCACCAACTATAAACTCTACTTTAAGAGTTCAGAAAGAGTAAGTCAGAAACAGTTGATTTTCTGGTTATTTTCTGTTTTCAAAATGTTCTCTGTATACAGATTTTGAACTGTTCCTGGTAATCTTGTTATTCATATTGTATCCATGTTATTGTGTTAGGCAAAAATAAAAAGTCCGTTTCCGGTAACCTGACCGACCCTATCCTAACCACCCCAACCCTAAACCAATTAATAACAGCGATTTGAAACTACGATCGTTTGTGAAACAACTTTTATCCTAAGTTGAATAAAATTCTGAGATTTTAATGTCCTTTTGGCAAAATAAAGTTATGAGGATTCGCAATCTTAATTTCACTTTATTTGATTTACTTTTTTGTTTAAAGAACCACTAAACTTTGTTTTTTGTTACTCTTTTAACCATTACATATGAAAGATTTGTGGTTAGTCTTATGCGGAACACCAAATTTATTCTTTAAAAACTTGTGGTTAATTAATACCGAGCGATTAAAAGTGGCCAAAAAGTCGCCTGCTTCCCTCTCGCCAGCCAACGAAACCACAGACAGGTTACGTAACTCTGTCGCCAGAGCACTGCAGTGACGCCATATGAGGAACGATTTTCAGTTAGTTGTATAGAAAATGTGTAGCACGCCATCATTTTGATGATTTCTCGACATCAACGATGACATGCCGAATCGCTGCTTTGTGGTCAATTGTTCTAGGGTCGGGCGATGGTGTCCCCATGCACAGATTTCCACAGGACCCCGCAGTTCGTAAGCAAATCGGTTATGTTTGTGAGTGCTGGCGAAGCGCTGCTGGAAGCCTGAAACGATATCTTACTTGTGTTCAGATCGCTTCACTGAAGTTAAAGAATCAAAACTACTTACTAGTTGTTGTAAAATATGCATATGATTGATGACCATAAAGATTTTCTATGACACAACTTGTAACATAACGATTTCTTCCTCGGAAGTGAGGTTGTGGTCGGTAACAATAATATTGTAAGTAGTATTATATTGACACCCACCTCGCTGCCAGGAGAGAAATTGTTATGTTATATGCTATGTCATGCAAAATCCTATTGGCTATCAATAAAATACATATTTTACTACCAGTAGAAAGTAGTTTTGATTTTGTAACTCGGTGAAAACAAACCTAAATACCATTTATCCTCAGACTGGCGGATGTTCCCGACAGGCCTTCCATTTTAAAAATAAAATAATCTGTTAGAATTAATGAGATTATAGTTTGTTTTCATCAAGTTAGATAATCAAGACTACTTTCTACTCAGAGTTAAATATGTATTGGAATCATAACCAAACGGATTTTGCATGACACAACTTATAACATCACGATTTCTTCCTCGAAGCCGCAGGTGGGGGTCAAGTCACAATACTGCGCGATAAATTTCTTGCTACATTCCCATGGTTAATGTCCACTCACCAGTATGTAGATACTAGTCAATGTGCGCCTTTATATTTGGTCTTATAATCCTAATTAGTTTATTATCATACTTGTATGCATTTTGAAACTAAATAAAAAGCAGACGATCTGCTGATCCTTATAGTGAATTTATAACAGAACTGTAATATCTAGACATTTTATAGTTTGCCAATGTGAATCATAATTCGCGACACACACCCCTAGTACATGTTGTCTGACTCATTACACTTCACGGCGAAAACAATGATTCTGTTGAATGCTACGACAAATGAATAAAATCAAAATGCAAATATTAAAATTAAAACAGATTAAAGTTATAGGAACAATATCAGGCCATTACCTTGTTCGAGGAATGTATCCATCAATATCCACAAAACTGTTCCAAATGATGTGTCTTTTAACAGTTTAATATACTAAAAAGTGATAAATCTTTTCAGGTATTGGTGTATAGTCTCATTGGTCACCCAAGATAGCACACCTGGCAACTAATTGCATAATGTCCGCCTTTCTTTAAAAACAGTAATTTAGTTAGCCAATAATGGGCAATCAATCAATGTATTGCCGGTTAATCCTTTGAAAGAAGGACGTTGTTTTACGCGAGACACCGACACGACAGAGTGTATTCAGTATAGATTAGTAAATCTACATACATAAACACTACCTTTGACAATTCCGCTGTGTAAGATAAAAGTAATTAATCAATCAGGGTGTTATCGGTTAATCCTTTGATCGATGTTTATAATGTTGAATATTTACTCCAGACACAAGGAATGCCAAATGGGAACCTTTGTCGGGTAATCTAAGTGTGTTACCACTAATTATACCTGTTATAAATTCATTAACTGACCATCAAGTGAATGATGACAAATAACATGTGTAGGTTTATACCACCTAACACGGGTTACAACAAGGGGTATATTAATTGCTGTATTGCATGTGAAAACTTATGGGCCGACACTGTTTTGAGAATACAAACAGATTTTTACATGACATGATTAAATATCGAGGTTAAAAAACACAGAAATGGGATCGATTTGGATCAGTCATTATACAAATAGGGCCTAACGACACCAATCGATTTTGACAGAATCTTCTATGAAAACAAGTTGTAACTCGGAAACTAGGCAAAGCAGGAGACAAAATTAAATGACAGTAGATTGTGAGAACATATAGCTTTTATTTTCCACAACAATTGTCACGATTTCAGGTTTATACAAGCCTGTAAACAAGATAATTTAACCCCTAAAATGTAGATGAATTCTGCATCGGCCCTCAAAGCTATTCCTCATATGACGTCACAGACGCGCGCAGCTCTGATTGGTTGAAATTTCGTTCGCGGGTGAGAATTGTGCACTGTTGTCAAAAAGGTCGATTTAAGTCAATTAAAGGTCGAAATGAGTAGTTTTAATGACGGGGATTTCATTTATAACGATGCCAGTTAGTGATTTATGTATTTGTACCCCCTAGGGTTTATGTGACCTTTAAAGTGAAATTCATTGGTATGTTTTCTCTGCAAACAGACTATAATAGGAAATGGACATATATTTTGGGGGGGCCTTAGCCAAGAAAACACTTGTTTCATCTTGATGTTTCCTCCAGGAGCCTCCCCTTATCCTTGACGTACCACTGTGTGTCATTAGTCGTGTGGAGAAAATAGGTGGCGTCTCCAGCAGGGGAGAGAATTCTTATGGCATTGATATTCTATGTAAGGTAAGTTGCACAGCAGACAAAAAAGCTCTTTGATAAAAGAAAACAAGAAAAAAGAGAATGTTTTCAGATTTCAATTATAAGAAATCAAATTCTAGTACTAGTAGACTGGTGAGAAAATATGTTTTCGTGTTTAACTTTTGAAGTAAAGACTTTTTAAACTTATCCTATTTATCTTGTTCTGTTTGTTTTTTTCCTGTGAATTTTTTATAGAGTAAAAAAATAAAATGAAATGAGGACAAATTTGTCTTTAATTTTTGTTTGAGTTATTGAATGCCATGTTAGCGATGTCAGACAGTCACAGTAGTGATCATTTCCTGATTTTGTGTCTGATATGTTTACCTGTTTTCAGGATGTAAGGAATCTTCGTTTCGCCCACAAACAAGAAAACCACTCCAGACGTCAGGTGTTCGAGAAAATCCAGCAGTATGCTTTCCCTGTCACAAACAAACTGGTATGTGCACTGATAGAAGATGAGTTCTCTGTAAAGAGATGTAGACGCTTTATACTTTGATGTAAAACCAGAGCTGAACCGTTTGTTTTAGTCATTGTTCTCATGAAATTAAAAAGATGAGCGTCAGTGCTATAAGCAGGATCTGCATAAAGAGTGAGTTGGTGAATGAGTAAGGTTTACGTCTGCTTGGCAATATTATGTCGTCTTCTTGGCAATATTATGTCATCTGCTTGGCAATATTATGTCATCTGCTTGGCAATGTTATGTCGTCTGCTTGGCAATATCATGTCGTCTGCTTGGCAATATTATGTCATCTGCTTGGCAATGTTATGTCATCTGCTTGGCAATATTATGTCGTCTGCTTGGCAATATTATGTCGTCTGCTTGGCAATATCATGTCGTCTGCTTGGCAATATTTTGTCATGTGCTTGGCAATATTATGTCGTCTGCTTGGCAATGTTATGTTATCTGCTTGGCAATATTATGTTGTCTGCTTGGCAATATCATGTCGTCTGCTTGGCAATATTTTGTCATGTGCTTGGCAATATTATGTTGTCTGCTTGGCAATATTATGTTGTCTGCTTGGCAATATTATGTCATCTGCTTGGCAATATTATGTGGGTGGTCACCAGAAATGGGCTTTACTGATTGTACCTATGTTGGGAATCAAACCTAGGTTAGCAGGCACTTTATCCACATGGCTACCCCACTTCTGGATGAGCATAGTGATACACTTTGATGTCATGATTATCTTCAAAGTAAGATCCCATTTGTTAAACAGGAATAACTTCAGGACAAAATTAGATCATGTGTTACTTCAGGCCTTCCAGCCTCTCTATGTGACTTCATGACTACCTTAACGGAAAATTTCCTCAGTTTGTTCATTATATTTTTTGCAGCCATTCTTTGCCTTTGACTTCAAAGAGGACTATGGAATTGATGGATGGAGAGTCTATGATGCTACAATGGAGTTGAAACGACAGGTCAGTAGAGTCAGAGGCTACAGCCAAATGGAGACTCAAATGTTGAAAATTGTTGCACCAGTTGAACTCATGAAATGGTTACCAATTTTCTGATATGGTTTCCTTCTATTTCAGGGTTTGCCGACAGAGAGTTGGAAGATTATGAGGCTGAATGAAACGTTTGAGCTCTGTGATTCTTACCCTGCCACTGTAAGTTTGTAGTTAATAGATGAGTATTTTGTGCTGCTTCGCCGTGGTAACATACTAGTTCAGATGAAACTGGACAAATAATACAGCTGTTACAAGGATTTTGGAGCGATTGAAATTTACTGGTTTTGTGTTTAAGTATTTGTATTACATATTTAACTAGTTCACTTTTTATCCCCCGCAACGCGTTTGGCGGGGGCTTTTAAAATGAACCCTGTCCATCCGTCCGTCTGTCCGTCCGTCCGTCCGTCCGTCCGTCCATGCACATTTGTCTTTTCCGGAGCAGAACTTGAAAACTGTTCAGTATTTCTTCACCAAACTTGGCACATGGATAGGTCTGGTGGTGAACTGGTGCCTTTTGGTAGTTTTGGATTTCTGAATAAGATATTTTTTGCATTTCCGTGGCAACAAGTTTGACTTTGACTGAATTTGGTGGTAGTGCTCTTTTCCGGTTCAGAACTTTAAAACCGTTAATATTTCTTCACCAAATTTGGCCCATAGATAGGTCTAGTGGTGAACTGGTGCCTTTTGGTAGTTTGGGATTTCTGAATAAAATATCTTTTTTTCATTTCATGGTAACAAGTTTGGCTTCAACTGAATTTGGTGGCAGTGCTCCTTTTTGGAGCAGAACTTTAAAACCTGTCAATATTCTCCTTCCACTTTGCTATATACACGCCAAAACATTTGACAACTAGTAGACATATTCATGAAGAGTATTTTGCCATTGCGGGGGATATTGATGACTTTGTCTTCTTGTTAGTTGGTGGTATGCATCAAATTATGGATTATTTGAACTCTCAAGTCAGCAGCTTTGATGATGTCCCACCTGTCATTGTAACACAAAAAACTCAGTTCAAAGACTGTGGTGTATTGACAAGCTATCCATGTCTCATAAGTTGTACATGTCATTGAGTCAGCTAACCAAAGCAGACATTTTCAGAAAATTATTCTAAATGGATTCTGTTTGGCTTTTGATTTTTCACATAAGACCACCTTTTTGGGTGCCGCCATATAGCTGTAATATTACTGAGTGCGGCGTAGAACTAAACTCACTCACTCACCTTTTTGGGTGCCGCCATAAAGCTGTAATATTACTGAGTGTGGCGTGAAACTAAACTCACTCACTCACCTTTTGGCCGCCATATAGCTGTAATATTACTGAGTGTGGCGTGAAACTAAACTCACTCACTCACCTTTTTGGGCGCCGCCATATAGCTGTAATATTACTGAGTGCGGCGTAGAACTAAACTCACTCACTCACCTTTTTGGGCATCGCCATATAGCTGTAATATTACTGAGTGCGGCGTGAAACTAAACTCACTCACTCACCTTTTTGGGCACCGCCATATAGCTGTAATATTACAGAGTCTTCTAAACTCACTCACCTTTTTGGGCCATATAGCTGTAATATTGCTGAGTGCGGCGTAAAACTAAACTCACTCACTCACCTTTTTGGGTGCCGCCATAAAGCTGTAATATTACTGAGTGTGGCGTAAAACTAAACTCACTCACTCACCTCTTTGGGCGCCGCCATAAAGCTGTAATATTACTGAGTGTGGTGTGAAACTAAACTCACTCACTCACCTTTTGGGGCGCCGCCATATAGCTGTAATATTACTGAGTGCAGCGTAGAACTAAACTCACTCACTCACCTTTTTGGGCATCGCCATATAGCTGTCATATTACTGAGTGCGTCATGGAACTAAACTCACTCACTCACCTTTTTGGGCATCGCCATATAGCTGTAATATTACTGAGTGCGGCGTGAAACTAAACTCACTCACTCACCTTTTTGGGCACCGCCATATAGCTGTAATATTACAGAGTGCGGCGTAAAACTAAACTCACTCACTCACCTTTTTGGGCGCCGCCATATAGCTGTAATATTGCTGAGTGCGGCGTAAAACTAAACTCACTCACTCACCTTTTTGGGTGCCGCCATAAAGCTGTAATATTACTGAGTGTGGTGTAGAACTAAACTCACTCACTCACCTTTTGGGGTGCCGCCATAAAGCTGCCATATAGCTGTAATATTACTGAGTGTGGTGTGGTGTGAACTAAACTCACTCACTCACCTTTTTGGGCGCCGCCATATAGCTGTAATATTACTGAGTGCGGCGTAGAACTAAACTCACTCACTCACCTTTTTGGGCATCGCCATATAGCTGTAATATTACTGAGTGCGGCGTAGAACTAAACTCACTCACTCACCTTTTTGGGCATCGCCATATAGCTGTAATATTACTGGGTGCAGCGTAAAACTAAACTCACTCACTCACCTTTTTGGGGTATGAGGATTGGTTGTTAGGAATAGAAGAAGAAACAACAAATGTCTTGGTTTGATTGGCTGTTGCATATAGTATTTAATCATTGTCAGTGATTGATATTGTTCTGCTGATAGCAACAGTAATAGTATATGTTTTAAAACAGTTTACACATTTATGGTTGGTGGAAATAAAACCCACATTGCTACTCATAATTTTTTAAATTTCTACTTTTTGGTTTTGAATCTTTAAAAAAATCAGGCCTAAAATGTTTGTCTCATTGAGATCATGAAAATTTCATTGTCAGGTCGCGAGAGGACATAAGCAGGAAAGACAGCTTTCTAAGTATTGTGTCATCTTTTATTCTGAAGAGATGAATGTCATAAAGAGCATGAATTTGTTTTTCACTTTGTGAAAATATCAGTTACTATATCTCAGAGGGATACAGCTTCTCATCACTTAATCAGGTTTATGAGTTTTAATCTGTATGAAATACATGTTCATGTCTAATACTTGTATTCCTACACCACCAGATTGCCATGCCCACAGCTGCTAATGATGAAGATATTCGAGCTGTAGCTAATTTCCGTACCCGAGGGAGAATGCCTGTGAGTTATCTCAATTCATCATTAAGTTTTTGCATGTTATTCATTCTCTTAGATGTCCAGAATTTACTAGTCAAGTCAAGATCTGTACATATTGATTAGGGTCCAACAAAGCGATTTTTGCGCTTTAACGATCATCAAACTATGTAAAAGTAAAGAGTTAAGATCATCTTAACAATATGAATGTTTGTTACCAAACCAGTGCTGTTGCAGAAATGTTTTAGCATAGAAATATAACAATAGTCTTCAGTAATGTTTTTCTCCAATATGGAATTTTACCATGTTAGATAATGCCTTTTTGTACACTTCATTTTCTTTTAATGATAGCTTCCAAGAATACACACTTTGAGTGTTGTGTCTACAGATAAACCCCAAGTAGACATTTAAAGTAATATGATTAACAATGCCCTTTTAGAAAGTTATCAAATGCAGCAAATGATATATTTTGGATAATAGTTTCACTTTTTGGATTGAGTCCCAGTTGGATTTGAACCCACTCTGTTAGAGTGAGGCTTCTAGTTGCCAACACAAAGTCAACAATCTAACTCACTTAGTTACTTAGGCTTCCACAAAATAGAAGTCTGACAACTGGTTGTCTAGATCACATACTTTGCACTTATCAGAAGGGGTGAGTGAGGAAATGTTGCTTTACGCCACGTCAGCAATTTTGGAGCTATGCGTGGCTAGTATCAGAAGGGTACACAAGGGACATGATCTAGACTACCAGTTGTAGGACTTCTAATTTTTAAACTTATTCTATCTCACGGTATGCACCTCTCTTCTTCTTCTACGACCATGTGTGGAAACGTGCTGTAGGCTAAGTTGAATCAAATCTTACTGGCCTCTGACTCCCCTGACCTCTGACCCCACCCCAATATCAGCACCTGTCAATCATCTCTATAAGCGTGGAGCTCGCTCAGATGATCACGTGACTACCTGTGCCAGTCATTCTTTTTCTTGTCGCTACGTCGTGTGGACGTGTGCTTGTCTCTAAGAAAGTTTGATTGTTGTTTCAACATGGGTAAATCAAATCAATGGGTCTAAGAATCGCAAACATTGTGACAATTGTAACAGTAATTTCTCGGCGGCAGATCTACATGCTTTATGTGTAGATTGTTTAGGTCGTTGTGATTAGTCTCAACATTGCACTTTTTGTGCTGGCCTCGACGACGATATACTTTCTTTGAATATCACCGGGTAGCTTGTAGACGCATGTGACATAGGGATCGTTGCAAAACATCTGAGGGTCCGTCTGCATCTAAACGCCCTAAGGCAGAACACCTTAAGAAAACTGCAGTGCAACGTTCGAAGTCCCCATCTCCTAATGAAGATTTCCTAGGAGAAACGTCTGATCTTACCTCAGTGAAAATCTGCGTCGACTTTTCCGTCCGCATGCATCCAGCCCTATCACTTTAGAAGACTCCTCACCACCTAGGGTTGTCGTTTTATCTACATCTGCTGTTCAGCCCCGTCTTCGGTGATAACTGTTTCTCATGCGGCGCTTGGTGTGATTCCTAACATTACCTCTCAAGCAACGCTTGCTTGTAGTTCGGCGCTTTCCACTTCGGTGGTTGGTTCTACTTTTACTTCCCATTCGGTGCTTGTGTCTACTGTGACACTTGGTTCTGGTACAGTGGATAGTTTTGGTTCGGCGCTTTCTCATCCTTCGACATCTTCCGTGGGGTTGACAAGTTTGCCGATGATTCCCAGTGCGACTTTTTCCACATCTATCCCTTATCCTGTACCATTTGGTTACGGACCACCACTTTATTCTAGTGCGTTGTTTACCTCCGAAGCACCGCTTACATTGGGACAGGTACCTGGTTGCAGAGCGCCGCTTGGTGCTGATTCCACGCTTTCATTCAGAGCGCCACTTGTTTCCAGTTCTGCGCTCTTGTTTGCCCCTGGTTCGGCGCCTTGTCACAGTGCTCCCGTTTCGGCGCTTAGTGTATCCATTTCGGCGCTTCCTCATAGTGCACTGGCTTCAGTGCTTCCTCACAGTGCATTCGGTTCGGCTTTGCTCAGAGTTCAGCGCTTACTTCCAATGTGTCTGGTTTGGTGCTTGGTACACTCAGCTCAGCTCTTGATTTCAATGCGTCTCTTGCTACCTGTTCGGCGCTTGTTTCTTCTGCTACATTGATTCCCGGTGCCCCGTTTATTCCCAGTGCGACGCTTAGTACACCTTGTGTTTCCTATGCATATTCAGTGGTGGGAGCGCCACTTTCCATGAGTACTACTGTTTCTTCCTGTGAAACTGTCACAGCGGGGTTTGGTTTACCACCTAGAGTGGCGCGTGTGAGGGACCCTACGCCTTCATCGTTTCATCACGAGAACTTGTATCAGTCAGCTGGTTGTTCGTCTTCTCTTAGTGGGGCGCCTCGTCATCCCTCGTATCTGCTCCTGTTTCGTCTTTGCCTCCTCCAACAGGGGGCCTGTGTCGAGACCTATTTTTCACGTTTTCCTGGAATCTGGGGTCTGTGGGTCTGACTTCACAACCTGTTGATTTTGACGCTATTGTGCAAGCGGTAGCCTCGGCTTTACGGCATCAGACTCCAGCATCTTCCTCTGCTATTCAGTCTTCGGGCCCTACGTCCGCTCCAGTTCAACATTTTGAGGAAGGTTCATCGTTCGGTTATGCCATCTCCCTCTTCAGATGGTACGTCGCCTTCGGATGTTAGCGTTGATGCTGTTGACACACCTCAATTGTTAGTTTGGATTGCCGATAGCCTCCGACTACAGCGTAGTAGTTCGCCTTCGGATTTGTTATCCAGTTTTGATATGAAGACAGGTGATTTTGGTTCTATCACCTTTCCGCCTCGCCTTTGCATCACTCAATTGGCAGCGTCTTTGGATGAGGAAGGTTAAGGATAGGTTCGCTGGCTAACCGCTTCAATTTGCATCTGCTCACGTTCATGGTTTCTCTACGCTGATCGTCTCCCCTCCGGTGGATGATGATATTACGTTGTTCGGAACCAAACAGAAAGCCTACTCGCTGCTCTTGGTAGAGGAACTTGAGCTCTTGCATTTAGATGGGGTCATAAGGAAGATTATGGCGCCACTCAACATGGTGTTGACGACAACTGAGGCGGTGGCTATGTCGGCTGCACATGCTACGTCCCATCAACAGGCGTATATTCGGGCGGCGATAGTGCTATTACAAGAACAATTTCAGACCATTTTGGATCAGTTGGCTCACTTCTTTTCGTACGTCACAGCTATGCATCTCAGGGGGTCTCTGCACTTATCCTCAAGGGAGGATAGGTTCCGAACTGATCATTTTCGTCAGCCATGATCTGGCAGGTCACTTTTCAATGGGGCGATTAGAGATGTCGCCACCAGAGTTGGTCAAGATGTTCATTTACAAGTGTCAGTGGAATTGTTTAAATTCCAACGTTTGCAGGTGGAGGACTCGTTACGCCAGCGACGGCCAGCCCGTTATGTTCCTTCCAATCTAGACCTTCGTTCGGGTTCTGCTGCTTCCTTTCGTGGAAAGGGTTCCAGCAGAGGACGTTCCAGTCATCAGCATCGGGCATTCACTGCTTCACGACCAGCTCCCACTTCCGACCAGTCCTCCTCTCAAAGACCTGACAATCAGTGACTTGCTGACATTAGAGCCCGACTGGGTTCTTCCTCCTCCAGTCATGCCCATCCAGACCTCCCCAGTAGGCGGAAGACTTGGGACTTATGCTCCCAACTGGACCATCTTGGGCGACCCTTATGTCCTATCCACATTGTCCAAGGGGTTTCAGCTGCCGATCATCGGGGATCCTCCTCTGACTTTGCTTCTGGATCAAAGAACGTATCCTGCTCAGCAAACGGCTGTTCTTCGATCCACAATAGACACCTTACTCCAGAAACTTGCAATCGAATCCCTGGGTCCGGCCCTGATCGACCCGGGGTTCTATTCTCCAATCTTTCTGGTTCCCAAGAAGGATTCGGACAAGTTGAGACTAATTTTCAACATGAAGGTCTTCAACGAGATGTTTCTGCAGCCTCCGCCCCATTTTCGCATGGTGTCGGTGGCCCTACTCAAGACCATTATCAAACTGGGAGACTACATGGTCAGTCTCGATCTCCAGGATGCATACCTTCGCATCCCGATCTTCCCGGCTCATCGCAAGTTCCTTCGGTTTGTCTTCGAGGTGACCCACTATCAGTGGCGTGTCCTCCCATTTGGAATTTCTTCAGCCCCGTGGCTGTTTACATGGGTGACGAAGCCTATCACCAGCTTCCTCCACCGCAAGGGGATAGTTTTCGAAGCCATCATCGACGACTGCATTCAGGCGCAGACCGATCATGCCCTGCTGCTTCATCACATGCAGTTTGCGATACAGCTTCTTCACCAATTAGGCTGGTTAATCAATCTGCAGAAATCGGAACTAGTCCCTACGCCCGGCTTCAATTCATTGGAGCAGTGTTCGACACAGAGGTCAACAAACTGTTTGTCCCGAGGGATCGTTTCTGCAAGATACAGCGCTTGGTGTCCCTTGCATTGGCGCAACCCAGGACGCTTCGTCAATGGCAGGAGCTCCTGGGCCTCTTCACGTCAGCTCAGGCACTGACCCTCAGGGGTCAACTGCGACTTCGACCCTTGCAGCTCTTTCTAGCGCTCTACATCAGAGTGGGCGATCCGGTTGCCTTAATCGCTTTACCTCCGGAGCTCCATCCCCATCTCCTGTGGTGGATGGAAGAGTTGAACGTTTGTGGCGGAGTTTGCTTAGGGCCGTTTGTTCCGTCTCACCACCTGTATGTGGACGCGTCTCAACATGGGTTGGGAGCTCATCTTCTCAATCAGCAAGTGGCAAGGCAGTGGTCTCTCGCAGATCGCGCCTGTCACATCAACATTCTGGAGTTCAGGGCAGTGATTCTTTCAATCATTCACTGGCAAGATGTCCTACGAGCAACTTCCCTCATGGTCTGATCGGACAACACAGCAGTGGTATGGCATATCAACAGGATGGGGTCAAAGGGGTCTACTCAGCTCCTGCAGTGGACTCAACAGTTCTTCGACCTGGTGGACTCTCTCAACATCTCTGTGCGAGCCAACCACATTCCGGGAGTGAAGAATGTCATCGCGGATTCCCTGTCCTGGCCGGTCGTCCCTCTCCAACAGAATGGAAATTACATCCTCAGGTGTTTCAGACCTTCTGCCTTCCGTTGACGACGCTGACAGTGGATCTATTCGCGATTCAGTTCAACCATCAGCTGCCTCTGTTAGTGTCACCGATTCCGGACCCTCTGGCTTGGGATCACGATGCTCTAGCCATTCTGTGGGACGACCTGAACGCTTACACGTTTCCGCCAGTGGCCCTTCTTCCTCGCATACTAGTGAAACTGCTCGCAACTTGGCAGATGACACTATTTTTGGTCGCCCTACTGGCCGGCCAGAAGTTGGTTCGTAAATCTTCAAGAACTAGCCGAACCAAATCCTGTACCACTTCCCCATCGGCTCGATCTACTAGTTCATCCGCACTCTGACCAGCTACATTGGTCCCCGCTCACGCTTCATCTTCACGCTTGGTGTATTTACATTGGTCGTTAACAGCCAAGGGCTATTCGAAGCGTGTTGCTACTATCATCACTACAGCGCATCGCACCTCCACTAGGTCACTCTACAATGACAAGTGGAAGAATTTTGAAGCGTATTGCAGGAAGAAGGGCATAACATCTCCCACTACGCAGATGGTAGCAGAGTACCTTCAGCATCTTCGAACCTCCAGAAAACTCAAAGGTTCTACGCTATCTACTTACCTGGCTACCCTTAACACGGTTATTGCGTCGGCCTCGGGTGTGAAGGTGTCCACTGTCCCTGAGCTCCAGTCTCTCCTCAGGTCTTATAACCTTGCTGATCAATCCCGTAAGTTCCGGCCTCCAGCTTGGGATCTTTCCGTTGTGCTTGCTCATCTCACGTCTCATGAACCTCTGGAGGAGAAAGATTTCGAACATGTCTCCTTTAAGACCTTCTTTCTCCTGGCCTTGACCACTGCTGCCCGTATTTCCAAGTTGCAAGCTCTCGATGTCTCTCAGGTACGATTTGAGAGGTCTAGACATGCTAGAGATTTCCTTGGTTTGCGGTGGGATTTTCTCGCTAAGAATCAGTTACCAGGACAGCCAGATCGCACATTCACGATTCTGCCGTTGTCCACTATCTTGGTCCCAGATGACATAGAAGATCTATCCTTGTGCCCGGTTCGAGCATTACGGATTTATCTATCTGCCTCGCAGGATCGCCACAGACTGCGTTAGAGATTGTTCATTCCATTATCTACTGCCTCCGCCTCGGAAGTCTCACTCACTACCTTGGCGTTTTGGATGAGAACTACAATCCTGCGTGCTTATGCCTTTGCTGACCTGCCTCCACCATCGACGGCGAAGCCTCAGCAGACTCGGGCTCTCACTTCCACCATGGCGCTTCACAGGAATTGTTCCCTCCAGTCCATCATGGAAGGATGTTTTTGGAAATCAGATACTGTGTTCGCCTCACACTACCTGCAGGACCTCTCGGTTGAAGACGTGGATGGTCTACATCAATTCGGCCCCCTGGTCCTGGCGCAGCAATTGTCATCGGCCCGAGTTCGCAGATAAAGCAATCCTTCTTTGGTCAGTTTTGCTCTGTACATAATAAAAGATATCGATGTAATCCATGTCTTGGTACTTTTTTCATTTGGGCTTAGATCATTCTCACCTACGGGACTAGGGCGTGTTTGCACTGTCATAAATATGACTGGATAGACTGTGAGGCAAGTCTTGTGCTACATGCAGAGATGGTCGACATTCCGCTTACTGACCTCTACTCTTTGAGCAATTACGTCAGTGAAGTGTTGATTACCTACATGGTTTTCGATGCGTTCCGCTCCTAAGTCCATTCTCACCTTTGGTAAGTTAGGGGGATTGGTACTGAACGTTAAACTAGTTGAGCAACTGGGCTATTCGGTCTTTCACCGCCTTCCAGCGTGTGTCTGTTGGGGGTAGTTTCGAAGCAGGGACTGGCCAGATTAAGGTCTTTGACTTTAATTCACTGGGGTCACCAGATAAATCGCGGGGCGGCGGGGCCTACTTGCCTAACTGCGTCCTTTTGCTTGTCAAAAGTTGTGGCTGAAAACCACATTAATTCGGGAGCACCCACATCCCAGAGTTTTTGTGCTGTGTAAGCCAAGGGGTTACCTGAAGAAACCCATCACAAGTTTGGAGTTTGCATATCGGGAGTTGGTGCTTTCTCCTGGCCTCCTTGGGTTATGTGTCTTCACGGTTGTAAGTATTGACAGGGTAATGTGCGGCCCTCCTACCAACCGTGGGATTATGCATACCGTGAGATAGGATAAGTTTAACAAAATTAAATTTTACTATAAATTGTATATTTATATACTTATCCTATCTCACGCGATGGATACCCACCCGACCTGCCCCACATCACATTTACTGGAAGCTCTGTACTGACAGGCACAGGTAGTCACGTGATCATCTGAGCGAGCTGCACGCTTATAGAGATGATTGACAGGTGCTGATGTCGGGGTGGGGGCAGAGGTCAGGGGTTCAGAGGCCAGTAAGATTTGATTCAACTTAGCCTACAGCACGTTTCCACACATGGTCGTAGAAGAAGAAGAGAGGTGCATACCGTGAGATAGGATCAGTATATAAATATACAATTTATAGTAAAATTTTCAAATTTGTTAAGTTTCAAAATGATCTGGCATTGGTCTAGGGTATCATAACAGAATTGAGATATTGTACAACGAGTAATTGATGATGCAGTTATTATGAATGCGATTTCTTGGCAACCTTCCTGTCTCTTAATACTAAATGCGATGAGTCCTGACAACAGATTCTCGCATGGATACACCCTGAGAGCCAGGCCACCATCACCCGCTCCAGTCAGCCCATGGTGGGTGTGGCTGGCAAGAGGAACAAGGAGGACGAGAGGTACATCCAGATGATCATGGACGCCAACGCCCAGTCACATAAACTCTTCATCATGGATGCCCGGCCCAGTGTCAATGCTGTAGCTAACAAGGTAGCTAGCTGTGTTTCCATTCCCTCAAACTTATAGTGAGTGTGTAACTCACTCAGTCAACCACAGACTTACTGACCTTCTCACTCACTGACCTCACTCACTAGCATGCATGCTCACTCACATGCACTCTCACTCACATGCATGCTCACTCACATGCTCACTCACTAACATGCATGCTCACTCACATGCACACTCACTCACTTACATGCACACTCACTCACATGCATGCTCACTCACATGCACACTCACTCACTCACATGCATGCTCACTCACATGCACTCTTACTCACATGCATGCTCACTCACATGCACACTCACTCACTTACATGCACACTCACTAACATGCACGCTCACTCACATGCACACTCACTAACATGCACGCTCACTCACATGCACACTCACTCACTTACATGCATACTCACTCACTAACATGCACGCTCACTCACATGCACACTCACTCACTTACATGCACACTCACTCACTTACATGCACGCTCACTCACATGCACACTCACTAACATGCACGCTCACTCACATGCATGCTCACTCACTCTCACTCATTGACATGCATGCTCACTCACATGCACTCTCACTCACATGCATGCTCACTCACATGCACACTCACTCACATGCACACTCACTCACTTACATGCACAGTCACTCACTTACATGCACACTCACTCACATGCATGCTCACTCACATGCACACTCACTCACTAACATGCACGCTCACTCACATGCACACTCACTCACTCTCACTCATTCACATACACACTCACATTCACACTCACTCACTCACATGCACACTCACTCACTTACATGCACACTCACTCACTCTCACTCGTTCACATGCACACTCACATTCACACTCACATGCACCCTCACTCATTCACATACACACTCACTCACTCTCACTCATTCACATGCACACTCACTCACTCACATGCACACTCACTCACTCATTCACATGCACACTCACATTCACACTCACTCACATGCACACTCACTCACATACACACTCACATTCACACTCACACTCACATGCACACTCACTCACATGCACACTCACTCACTCACTTCTTGTACATAATCTGATAAGGAAATTTAAATAGAAACAAATACATTTTCCCATTCAACAGAGGACTCATTTCTCTGACAGATATTTAGCTGTTTCATTGTTCCCACCGCAACACGGAACAGGGGACTATGCATTCAGCAGCGTCAGTACGTCCCGATTCTTGTTAACGTGATATCTCATGAACTGTTGTACCCAATGTCATCAAATTTGGTGACAGCCTACATTTGGGGGTTACACAGACACTAGTCGATTTGGGTGACCTCGACCTTATTTTCAAGGTCACCACGACACTTTGACCACTTTTCAAACTCTTGTTAACGTGATATCTCATGCACTGTTGTACCCAATGTCTTCAAATATGGTGACAGCCTACAATGGGGGATTACGCAGACACCAGTTGAGTTGGGTGACCTTGACCTTATCTTCAAGGTCACCACGACACTTTGACCACTCTTCAAACTTATGAAATGCGATATCTCACAAAACATTGCACCCAATGATTTCAATTATATCGCCAGCTTACATTCGGTGATTATGTCATTTCAGGCATCTTGTATGTGACCAAAAAAATAAATAGTAGTAAATATGTTATACATATTCCATTCTTCTTTAGCCATGGGGGACATTGCCATATTAGTGGCAAACACTTGTTGTGTATTATCATAGAAGTTATTGTTGCTACCAGGCCAAGGGAGGGGGCTACGAGAATGAAGACGCGTATCAGAATGCAGAGCTGAGCTTCCTGGACATCCACAACATCCATGTGATGAGGGAGAGGTAGGTCATTCACTGTCCTTACACACTCCACCTGGACATCCACGACATCCATGTGATGAGGGAGAGGTAGGTCATTCACTGTCCTTACACACTCCACCTGGACATCCACGACATCCATGTGATGAGGGAGAGGTAGGTCATTCTCTGTCCTTACACACTCCACCTGGACATCCACGACATCCATGTGATGAGGGAGAGGTAGGTCATTCACTGTCCTTACACACTCCACCTGGACATCCACGACATCCATGTGATGAGGGAGAGGTAGGTCATTCACTGTCCTTACACACTCCACCCTGGACATCCACTGTCCTACATCCATGTGATGAGGGAGAGGTAGGTCATTCACTGTCCTTACACACTCCACCTGGACATCCACGACATCCATGTGATGAGGGAGAGGTAGGTCATTCACTGTCCTTACACACTCCACCTGGACATCCACGACATCCATGTGATGAGGGAGAGGTAGGTCATTCTCTGTCCTTACACACTCCACCTGGTTAGAACCCCAGGAAGTTCTGGGTGATAATACGTCCAGAACAACTAACTCAACGTATAAATCACAGGAGTTTTTGTATTTGTAAGTTTTACAGTTTGCTGTCATACAGCTTGAATTTTTCTGACTGTAATGTTAAACAACAGACACACACTTATTTAGTGTCTTTGGGAGATAAGGAATAAACTGGAAAGTTGCTGATTACACAGTTCATTAATGCGATTATAAATTTAATATGAAGGTCACACAACATCTCCAGAACATACTTGATGCCCCTTCGCTCTGTCTTCTCATCCTGAGTTGAAGTGGCGGTGGGGTAACCTAGTGGTTAAAGCATTGGCTCGTCACGCTGAGGACCCGGGTTCGAATCCCCACATGGGTACAATGTGTGAAGCCCATTTCTGGTATCCCCTGCCGTGATGTTGCTGGAATATTGCTAAAAGCGTCGTAAAACCCAAACTCAGTCAGTCAGTCATCATGAGTTGAAGATCCTTTTAAGTCACCCTCTGGTTCTTGTTTTGTTGTATCTTCAGAATTGTCTTTATACTTACAAGGTTCTGGTCGTGGTATTAATCAGTTGTTTTTTCTGCAGCTTGCGGAAGTTGAAGGAGGTGTGTTTCCCCACCATAGATGAGGCTCACTGGCTGTCTAGTATAGAGTCAACACACTGGCTAGAGCATATTAAGGTAGGATTGTCATCATCATTTTTAGCATTGATGACATCATCATCATCATTATCACCATCATCGTCTCCACCATCACTGTCTTTTAATTGTCATATAGGTAAGGTGTATGGTGTATTAGTCTTATTGTACATACAATATGATGCAAGAAGACAGAAATATGCAAAGAAATGTGTTCTTATTAAAATTCACACCACCAGAACGGCATCAAAAATTTAAGACAACCATATCCACATTTATGCACTGTTTATTTTATAAATGGCTTGAGAAATCAGAACAAAATGTTTGCTCAATGTCTTGTATCTTTTCTATTTGAGTTAACTTTTTATACATAATTTATTCAATTTTTTTGCTATAAACCGTCTCAATGTTTTTGTCTGCAGCAAATTCTGGCGGGTGCAGTCCGGATCGCTGATAAAGTGGAGAGCAATAAAACGTCAGTGCTGGTGCACTGTAGTGATGGCTGGGACCGTACTGCACAGGTGACCTCTAGTTAAATATCAGATTCTCCGCAGATGATTTGGCTATTCCCCCAGAATGCTGTAACTGTGCTGTAACTGTATCAACTCGCATACCTACATCGTAGATTTGTGACAGTCTTAGTGCTCAAGTCACTCACATACCTATACCTCTGTTCTGTGATAGGCTTAGTCCTGCATCCTCTGATAGTGTTAGTTCTGCTACTAGTGTTAGACCCGCTCAGATTTGGCCACATCACCACATGTGTGTTGCTTTGTAGCCTATGGTTCAGGTCAACTAGGTCTAACCTTGATGTGTGTGAGTTGCCTTGTTGACTGATCGAGGTTAACTAGGTCTCACCTTGATGTGTGTGAGTTGCCTTGTTGACTGATCGAGGTCAACTAGGTCTCACCGTGATGTGTGTGAGTTGCCTTGTTGACTGATCGAGGTCAACTAGGTCTCACCTTGATGTGTGTGAGTTGTCTTGTTGACTGATCGAGGTCAACTAGGTCTCACCTTGATGTGTGTGAGTTGCCTTGTTGACTGATCGAGGTCAACTAGGTCTCACCTTGATGTGTGTGAGTTGCCTTGTTGACTGATCGAGGTCAACTAGGTCTCACCTTGATGTGTGTGAGTTGTCTTGTTGACTGATCGAGGTCAACTAGGTCTGACCTTGATGTGTGTGAGTTGTCTTGTTGACTGATCGAGGTCAACTAGGTCTGACCTTGATGTGTGTGAGTTGCCTTGTTGACTGATCGAGGTCAACTAGGTCTCACCTTGATGTGTGTGAGTTGTCTTGTTGACTGATCGAGGTCAACTAGGTCTCACCGTGATGTGTGTGAGTTGTCTTGTTGACTGATCGAGGTCAACTAGGTCTCACCGTGATGTGTGTGAGTTGTCTTGTTGACTGATCGAGGTCAACTAGGTCTCACCGTGATGTGTGTGAGTTGCCTTGTTGACTGATCGCGGTCAATAGGTCTCACCTTGATGTGTGTTAGTTGCCTTGTTGACTGATCGAGGTCAACTAGGTCTCATCGTGTTAGTTGTTGTGACTGAGTTGCCTTGTTGACTGATCGAGGTCAACTAGGTTGACTAACCTTCAACTAGGTCTAACCTTGATGTGTGTGAGTTGCCTTGTTGACTGATCGAGGTCAACTAGGTCTAACCTTGATGTGTGTGAGTTGCCTTGTTGACTGATCGAGGTCAACTAGGTCTCACCTTGATGTGTGTGAGTTGCCTTGTTGACGTTGATCGTTGTTGATCCAGATTAACTAGGTCTCACCATTGTGGACTGAGACATAGGTCAACTTGATGTGTGTGTTGCAGCTGACGGGGTTGTCGATGTTGATGCTGGACCCCTACTACCGCACAGTGCTTGGCTTCGAAGTGCTCATTGAGAAGGAGTGGATCAGTGCAGGACACAAGTTTGCCCAGGTAAGTGGAGCCAGGGCAGGTGTGTCTATTAGTTCTTCAGTGCATAAATCCAGGGCCCCGTTTCACAAAGCTATCGTAACACTACGACTGTTGTAAGTCTATGTTACAGTATAGGAGGTACGACAGTCGCAGCGCTACGATAGCTTTGTAAAACGGATCCCAGGATTATCTGTTGAAAAGAACTTTGTGTTTATGAAGCATGAGAACATACATGATGTATTGATGTTAACATTATGTGAAACGTTCAAGACTAACACCAACCATTTCTTCAGTCTGTAGTTCTTCGCTGTTTAACTCACTTGATTTATACCTGTATGAACACATCTGACGCTGTGGGATAACCTAGTGGTTACAGTGTTTGCTTGTCACACCAAAGACAAGGGTTCAATTCCTCACATGGGTACAATGTGTGAAGCCCATTTGTGGTGTTCCCCATGTGATATTGCGGGAATATTGCTTAAAGCAGCGTAAAACTAAACTCACTCACTGCTACGTTGAACACCTATTTATGTCCATTCCTCACTCAGCCATTGTTAAAAAAATGTTCAAAATGTAATAAATATTGGTTCTTAGGGGCTTTCAACCAAGAGGGTCAAGACTCGCAGGATCTGAAGCGACAGTGTTTCACTGTAAGTTGTCAAATTGTAAACTTGTGCCTGTTTTAGAGAGTTGGCCATGGGGAAGACAAGCACTCGGGCGCTGACCGGTCACCTGTATTCCTGCAGTTCATCGACTGTGTCTGGCAGATGACACAACAGGTAACTGCCTCTGTAGCCTGGGGCCAGGGTTAGAGATAGGACTGAAACAATGTTGGTACTAACTGATATGATATGTATCGCATTGTGTCTTGAAGTAATTGGGTAATCAGGACTACTACTAACTGATATGATATTTATCGCATTGTGTCTTGAAGTAATTAGGTCATCAGGAAGACTACTAACTGATATGATATTTATCGCATTGTGTCTTGAAGTAATTGGGTAATCAGGACTACTACTAACTGATATGATATTTATCGCATTGTGTCTTGAAGTAATTGGGTAATCAGGACTAGTACTAACTGATATGATATTTATCGCATTGTGTCTTGAAGTAATTGGGTAATCAGGACTAGTACTAACTGATATGATATTTATCGCATTGTGTCTTGAAGTAATTGGGTAATCAGGACTACTACTAACTGATATGATATTTATCGCATTGTGTCTTGAAGTAATTGGGTAATCAGGACTAGTACTAACTGATATGATATTTATCGCATTGTGTCTTGAAGTAATTGGGTAATCAGGACTACTACTAACTGATATGATATTTATCCAATCGGGACTAATATTGACAGATAGATCTGAAAATTTGCATTGATGGTTCTCCAGTTGATACCTGTTTGTTTCTAGTTCCCCAATGCATTTGAGTTCAATGAGCACTTCCTGATCACGATCATGGACCATCTGTACAGCTGTCTGTTTGGTACCTTCCTGTACAACTGTGAACAACAGCGCCAGAAGGAGGTGAGCTTTAGTCCCCATTGAGGGGGTTACGATGATTGACACTTTCATAAACATAGCTTCAGAAACAATTAATAATTGGAACATGTGGAATTGTCTCACGAGTGATAATTGAGAGTTTATACTGACTGACTGACTGAGTTTAGTTTTACGCCGCTTTTAGCAATATTGCAGCAACATCACAGCGGGGGACACCTGAAATGGGCTTCACACATTGTACCCATGTGGGGATTCGAATCCGGGTCTTCAGCGTGACGAGCGGACGCTTTAACCACTAGGCTACCCCACCTCCCCTGAGAGTTTATAAGTACAAAATAGTACCCGTACCTCCATTGCTAAGCCTTAACAAACCTCATTTCCTACTATCTGACTAATAGTTTGGAATTTCATTTTTATATTTTCATGATAATTTTTGTGATTTAAAGACTCATTATATCAGTATATTATCATGATCTATATTTTTCTTAATTTATTGCAAACAATTGACACAAGTGACAGACTTACAGGGTCTTCTTCCATATGCATTTCATTACATTACGATGTGTATATATCTACCAGTATAATGACAGGTAATTAGTGTTGGGAATTGGTTGAAATCTCACAATTGATGATTGCTTCATTACCAATGAAGAATCAACGAAAAAAATTGGTTAGCATCATTTTTCAGATTTTCCTATCCAGGTTGTTATTGCAGAAAAGTATAACATGATGCAACTTGCTACTTTAAAGTGATGACTAATATATCATGAGCATAAACTTCCTGGAGTCTTCAAGAAATATTCAGCCATGACTTTTCAGTTAGTGAAGTGAGTTTTCTAAGAATTAAACAAGTTTGCAGGCCGTTTGTGTTCGATTATGAGAAAAAGTGATCGATTGCTTGGTCGTTTGGTCACTGCGACCAATCTTTGATTATTTCAATTAATCGGAAAACCGCTACAGGTATTCATAAATTAGTCCCTTCTGTAACCACTGTAGCCTGCTTGTGGAATGATATGCCAAATTTCAAGAATCTTTGGATACTGAATATGGTTTGGTTCATGGTATTTATGTGAACAGTACAGCGATGGCAATATGGGAGTAACTTCCGTTGCTGGTTCTCACAGGGTGTGAAGGAGAACACTGTGTCACTGTGGTCCTTCATCAACTGCCAACTGGAAGAGTTCACTAACCCGTTGTACGCCGCCTACCTCCATCAACACGTGCTGTTCCCCGTCGCCAGTCTTCGACGCATTCAGCTGTGGACAGGGTACTACTGCCGCTGGAACCCACGGATGAGGCCACAGGTAGGTCCTCCATGTTACCCCTATAGGCCATTCTTCTTGCCCCTGTAGGTCATCCATGTTACCCCTATAGGCTATTCTTCTTGCCCTGTAGGTCCTCCATGTTACCCCTATAGGCTATTCTTCTTGCCCCTGTAGGTCATCCTAGTTGCCGTTAGCCATTCTTGTTGCCCCCACTGGTAAGCCATTCTTGTTGCCATCTGTAGGTCATTCTTGTAATCCCTATAGGTCATTCTAGTAGCCTCTTAGCCATTCTTCTTGCCCCTGTAGGTCACCCTAGTTGCCTGTTAGCCATTCTTCTTGCCCCTGTAGGTCATCCTAGTTGCCTGTTAGCCATTCTTCATGCCAATGTAGGTCAACCTAGTTGCCCATTAGCCATTCTTGTTGCCCCTGTAGGTCATCCTAGTTGCCTGTTAGCCATTCTTCTGGTGCCCCTGTAGGTCACCCTAGTTGCCTGTTAGCCATTCTTGTTGCCCCTGTAGGTCATCCTAGTTGCCTGTTAGCCATTCTTCTTGCCCCTGTAGGTCACCCTAGTTGCCTGTTAGCCATTCTTGTTGCCCCTGTAGGTCATCCTAGTTGCCTGTTAGCCATTCTTGTTGCCCCTATTCATCATTCTTCTTGTGCCTTAAGGCTCACCTTCTTGCTCTAAAGGTGCAATAATCCACTGTGATGTTTTGTTCTATCACGTCCTGAAATGTCCTTTCGCATAAAAAGATCCATGAACACATATTCTGGCTGATTCCGAGTAGCAACAGGACCTGACATGACTCATGTGTAAACGTATTTCCTGTCAAGGTCTATTGAAAGTATGAGTTGAGTCTAACAGTTATATTTCCTGTGTCTTACAGGAACCACTTCACCTCCGTAACCGAGAGCTGCTGGTTCTGAAGACCCAGCTTCAGAAGAAGATAGAGGAACTGCAGAAAGAACTAGAGAACAAAAATGCTCGAGCAACTCTCCAGCCCTCCCCTGCCCGAGTGTCCTCCCCTGTGACAGTCTAGGGTCAGTTGTAGAGGAAGTCATAAGGACACTTGTCACTGTACCATGGCGACATGGAGAAGACAGACTGATGTCAAGCAAGGGACTAGTACAAGCGGGATAGACAAGGGTTATTTTAGTGGGTCACTGTCTTAAGGAGTTATTTGGAATGAGCCTATGCAGAACACAGTGGTGTCATTTTTTTACTTTGAGGTTGAGCTGGTTGTGCAGGAAATACATCTTTAGGAGACTCTGGTAATGAGTTTGTGAGGAACAAAGAGATGTCCTTTGTCATTTTTCAGAGAAGTCATGAGGGTGAACTTGATTTAGATAAAAGCATAAGTTGTATTTTTGTAGTTCTGACATCTTCATGAGACACTTTGATGCAGCAAGGTTCATCATTAGACAACTGAGTTCTCATATACCAGACGAGTACAGGGAATGCCTGTAGTTCAAGACCAAAATCAGGCTGGTCCTGAACCACAGTGTTTGAAGGGAACATTGAAGGAATTTTGGATGACTTTAGTCTGTTGACTACAAAATATAATATGTGAGCAATGTATGGTCTGTACAGACTGTAGAGTTACAATACAGATGAATGTTATGAGCTCCAAAACCTTGTCAGCATATCGGCCATATGTTCCAACAGTATTCATATTTGACATAAATCACAATGTCTTCACGATTTGTTGTCTCAACAAGTGGATGATGTACATGAAGACAAACATTGATCAAACTGTAAATATTTAATGTGTCTTTTAGAACCTGGTAATCATGTATAGCCTTTTCTTTTCCTAGTGGTTAAAAGCCCAGTCACCTGCTGTGAGAGTTGTGTCCCTTTCCAAGGATTACGATCCTGGGCCTGCTACATCACTTTGCCCTTCCTGTAAGCTGGCATTAATGATATATAAATTATATACTGTTGAAGGTCAGTCAGCCCTCTTACTCACCTCCCTAAGGACCTCCTCTGTGGATAGGGTATTTGCCCAGAGAGCTGAAAGTTGCCCAGTTGGCATACCAACTGACATTCAAAGACGGTACTTGTTGTTACCCTGCCTGGTGCTTGGCATTAAAAGGATAAAAAAAAAGACTGGTCGACTGGTCAGTATACCGTGTCAGAGTGGGGTGTAGTATGGTATCCCAGGGGGCTGGGATTAAGAAACTCTGTACATGTACAGACACAAATATGTGAATGTGTGATGTTACGGAAGTGCAATAATCTCTAACACAACATTCAATGCCACGTTTGACCTCACTGCACCGCTTCCCTTATGTAAAAATATGCTTTTATCATCCAAAATTGTGTTCCACAGGAGATGTTGCTTGTGTGAGATCAAACAATATCGTTTTGACAGTAGATATTGTACAATGCCTTGACGTCATCAATTACATGACTCACAATGCTATGACGTGAAAAACTTGATATCACAATGCTATGACAGTGCTGCACTGCAAGTTTAATGGCAGTACCTTGTTCAGAGATATACATTTTTCATTGAAAACTAATGAAGAGTGATTCTTGATGATAAATAGAATCTCACCCTCGTGTCTTCGGCAAGCCTTGGATATTTGTAACTTTATCAACTCATAGTGATATATTTGATGTCAAAAGATACTCGGGTGAGATTTCCATGTAGTCCAAATTTGATGATATTCGGGCGAGATTTCCATGTAGTCCAAATTTGATGATATATCTGTTACCTGTAATGCAGCCTTGTATCAATTGCAAATCAGTCTTTCCTCATGTTGTTGGGCAGTGGGATAGCCTAGTGGTTAAAGTGTTCGCATGTTAGCCAAAGACCCGGTTATTATTACTCACATGGGTACAATATGTGAAGCCCATATCTGGTGTCCCATGCCGTGATGTTGCTGGAACATTGCCAAAAGTACTGTACAACCATACTCACTCACTCACTCCTCATATTGTGGTGCAGGTACAAATTAACAACAGTTACGCATTACAGTGTTCATTAAATTCCTGACATTTCAGGTACTTTTCATACAAAGCAGGGCGGTGGGGTAGCCTAGTGGTTAAAGCGTTGGCTCGTCACGCCAAAGACCCGGGTTCGAATCCCCACATGGGTACAATGTGTGAAGCCCATTTCTGGTGTCCCCCGCCGTGATGTTGGAATATTGCTAAAAGCGGCGTAAAACCAAACTCAGTCAGTCAGTCATACAAAGCACAAATGCTGAGATGATCAGTGTTCTGTTTACACAGGATTTTGTAACTACCTCCTTGACTGCCCACTGTATTGTTTCTCCATGTTGTTATGATAAATATATCTCAAAATGAACAAAGATGGTAAATATATATATCGAAATGAACAGAGATGTGATAAATTGGATAATGAAGGATGATGAAACCTCGAACCAATCTCATCAACTTCGTTGATAGGGCAGTGGGTATCCTTGTAATTTCAATGTTTGCTTGTCCTGGGGAAGATCTGGGTTTGATTCCCATAATATACAATGTGTTACCTTGTGGTGTCCCTGCCATAATATGCTGATATATTACTTACGAGGGCGAAAATATAGGGGTTCATATTTTTCATACAGTGCACTAGGGCAAAATATCACTTTGTCATGGTGATGTGACGTCATGAACAATGCTATGATGTCATGTTTCTTCTATGACATTGTCTTCTACATGTGGCAACAGCGGGTAGCCAGCCTGTGTTTGAAAATAGATTTGGGTTATTTTCCTCAATTTGATGACGTCTGTAATAAATAGAATATTATATTTGTGCCCATATCATACTATGTTTACGACACTCGTGCCTAAATATTGGTAGATCCCTCGACCAACATTTAGGCACTCATATCATAAACACAGCATGACATGGACACTCCTCTCTTCAGTGCTAAAAGCAGCATGAACCAAGCTTTGAATGAGGCAGTTATATGTCAACTCTATTGTATATATGTGTACAGAAGAAGGCCCTGAAGTTCTTCTTTCATAGCCATATTTGTTAATTTATGATTTCATTAGATTATTTTATTATTGTTGTCAGTATGTAACAAAATGCATTTCATTTTAGTCATGAATCGTTTTGTACATGTTACCTACTGGATATTTCCTAGTGCAATCATCATGAATAAATTCTGCATTCTCATTTCATCTTTGTGGACACATTCATGTTGGAGAACAAAAGTTCGAAGTTTGGTCACTGGTTGTGTCATAACAAAAGAATTTGAAGATGGTGCTTGTTGTTACCCCACATGAAGCTCAAGGGGATAAAACAATAACTGGTTGGATCAGAGTCTGCATGCTGTGGCTCTTGGGTAATCAAGTAAGGGCATGGTATTTGTTAGAAAATTGTTAGAGAACGACCAATAGTGCAGTGCTAGTTGTTTGTTGTGTAACGCATCAATCAGCAACTTTCTATATGAGACCCGTGAAGATCCAGGGGAAGAATAGGTCTTCAGCAACCCATTCTTGTCATTAAAGGCAACTATGCTTGCCGTAAAAGGAGACTAACGGGATCGGGTGGTCAGGCTCGCTGACTTGTTTGACATATGTCATCGGTTCCCAATTGCGCAGATCAATGCTCATGCTGTTGATCACTGGATTGTCTGGTCCAGCATCAATTATTTACAGACCGCCGCCATACAGCTGGAATATTGCTGAGTGCGGCGTAAAACTAAACTCACTCACTCACTCACTTTCTATATGACAACAGTCTGTAGACATAAAGTCTCGATCAGATCATCCACTGGTTGACATCACGAGTGTTGATGTACATAGTTGGGATACGATGACATGTGCCAAGCAAGTCAATGAGCCTGACCACCCGATCCTGTTAGTCGCCCATTCTGACAAGCATGGGTTGCTGAAGACCAATTCTACCTTGGATCTACATAGGTCATTAGGGTTAGTACAAGCTTTGGTTGGTTGGTTTGCCACACTCAGCAATATTCCAGCTATATGGTGGCGGTCTGTAAATAATTGAGTCTGGACCAGACAATCCAGTGATCAACAGCATGAGCATCAATTTACACAACTGGGATACGATGACATGTGTCAACCAAGTCAGCGAGCCTGACCACTCCATCCCGTTAGGCGCCTCTTTCAACAAACATAGGTTGCTGAGGACCAATTCTAACCTGGATCTACATAGGTCATTAGGGTTAGTACAAGCTTTGGGTGGTTGGTTTGCCACACTCAGCAATATTCCAGCTATATGGTGGCGGTCTGTAAATAATTGAGTCTGGACCAGACAATCCAGTGATCAACAGCATGAGCATCAATTTACACAATTGGGATACGATGACGTGTCAACCAAGTCAGCGAGCCTGACCACTCCATCCTGTTAATCGCCTTTTTCAACAAACATAGGTTGCTGAGGACCAATTCTAACCTGGATCTTCCTAGGTCATTAGGGCACAAGCACATGGCCATACAAGTGCAAAAATCTTGATAGTGACAACTCCATTCATCTCCCCTTTAATAAAAGAAAACACCTTTATTGAGAAAGAATATGTTTATTTGATGATACATGTGTGACTGAACCGTGAATGCTGCTCCGAGCTAACATCAAAGGTCACTGCATTGGATTGGCTACATACACAGCTAGATATACAATCAACAGCCACTTCCCAATCTTAAATATTAAATAATTACTTGCAAACCATAAAATGCATATGACAGCAGGAAATTTGTGGGGGGAAACAGAATCAAAGTACATTCTGTCACTGAAAAGTGAAAAGGACGAAAACACATCACACATGTGTAGTGTGACTTTGTTTCCTCCATGTGTGAAGAGCAGCCGACAATACAACACAGTGATGTTACAGCTATCATAAGTCTGCACAAGATACAACAGTGCTAAGATCAGCTCTTACTAACATTTATGGCTCGGTGATCATTCATTATCAACACTGCAAAAAAGATTTTCGCAAGTTACACTAACAATATTTTTGACATCTCACAAATCAGAACATCACAAAATTATCTCTTTTACCTTCTATCATATTCCATTCTTATTCATGGGAATATAAATATTAACCTCTCACTTTGTTTCATCGGAACCATATAAGTCAGGCTGAAGTAACAACTTGGCAGTAATGCAATATATACAGCCGTGTTTTGGATTACACTACTGGCAAAATAACTACTTGAGGTGATTGTGTGCCTTGCAACCTTCTTTAGTGGCATTTAGAAGCTGGTATGATGGAGAGGAACACTTTTTATGGATAGACAACTTCTTTATTGCAATCGATGCAATGTTCATTGTAGATCCCAACTCCGTCATCAAGCAAATGATATATGTTACCAAGCAAATGATATATGTTATCAAGCAAATGATATATGTGTATCATTTGCATGATAATGGTGTTAGGATATACATTTTTGCCATGCAACCTGTTGCACAGTTACCCTCTTTACATAGAGGCAGTTAAAAAAATTCCAAAATATCACTTGTGGCTACTTGAGGGGAATAATTCTTCAGAGATCATCACCTCCACTTCAAACCAGCATCAACATACAACAGAAGCTGACATCAGTTTGTGATGACTGTTTCCTTCATTTGAAGGTCAAATGAATGTCATCTAAGTGGAACAAATCCAGGAAATCAATTATGCCATTTCAACATTTTGCATAAGATGTGAACGGAAACTTGGACTTGAAGGCACAAAGGACAGATGTACATGAGATTCAGGTTTTACAAACATTAAACACGAACACAAGTCACAAACAGTTACACATCCAAGCCATCCCATACTTGTAAGTCAGGAGACAACAGCTCAAAATAGATCTCTCCTTGTTGTTCAAAATAGAGGTCTTTAAAAAATGAAACGATTTACCTGATTCTCTTAAAAGATAAAACTAAGGTACATTTACAAAAGACCATGATAAGTTTTAAAGTGTACCTGTGAAAGGGGGCTAAAATTTAAAATCATTTTCTAAAATGGCATCAGTGTAACATTCCGATTTCAAAAGACAAGTCATCTCACAATTTATCAAATTTCTCATAAAAGAAATTTATCTTCCATTTAAAAGAAATATATGTAAACTAAGATAAAAGTTTGTGTTAAAAGACAAGAACTGACCTCAATAAAAATACTTACTGGCAATAAAGTGAATTTTGTGTTACAGACTGAAGATAAGTTAACACACAGGAGTTGGGGACTGGGTTGGCTTTGGATAACGGAGCCTAGCTTTGGAGCGATTGATCCCAGTTATCAGATCTACATCTGTTGATGTAAATTAAGGGGAGGGCCACGAACAATGACACTACATAATGTGCAAGTCTAAAAACTATACTTGCGATGTTTGTTCATAAATATTGCATAACTGATGTAAACAAGAAAACAAAGAAAATGGAATGATAGAGCAGACGCACACCAACGCCAACATGCCATAGGTCACAGTCAAGGTCAAGGTCACATGTATAATAAAACATTGCTTTACTTCATCAAGTTGTCAAAGGACTGATGTCTTCATCTGGGCAAAACCAAAATAACAGAGTTTTTTTCTTGCTTAATGTATTGTGTCAATTTTCAGGAGGGTTTAAAAATATTATCAATAGACCCCCCCAACAACATGGATGTGTAGTCGACCTAGCTGTGACGGATAACATACACACATTGTTTTGTCTTTGAATATAAGGGTTGAATAGAAAATTTTTCAGTTGTCTTTTCTTTAAAGCTCGATGAAATATCCTAACCAAACGATGATCAATAAAGCCAAATACTCAACTGAAGACTGGTACAGTAATCCTTCAAAACAGTCAAGAATGATTACTGGATAGTTGTTTCGGTATTTATTCAAAGTCAAAATAATGTGTGATTATTTGTGAATGCTGGGATGGGCAAATACTGTAGCTGAACCACAACAACACCACGATCATGTGACTGACTGTATATGTAGATATATATCCCAGGTACAAA